TAGATTTTCTGCGAACCCAATTACATGCCGCAGAGCAGGGGCGTAAAGATGACAAGCGAGATCATGAGATTGCTTTAGATGATCTTTACCAGCGCCAGCGCATTGAATTGGACTCAGTCCAACAACAAAGCAGGAAAGAAATTGACAACATCACTGGCCGACATCAAGAGGAGATTCGCGACCTGAAACGACGATTTGATCGTGAGATTGAGGGCGAGAAAGCAGCACGAGTAAGCGCGCTCGGAAAGCTGACTTCCCAATCTGCAATTGATATCCAGAAGTCCCAAATTGAATTGGAGCGGAAGGATCGCGAAATTACGACAATGCAGGATAGGCTACAGGCCCTGAAGGCAGACCTTGATCGCGAGCGAAGAACTGTGCAGGAACTCAAACTCAACCTGGATACCACAAGCAGCAACAGTGTTACTCTAGAGTCATCGATTCGTGCGCTCAAGGCACGCATTGAGTTCCTTGAAAGCGGACGGGAGGAGCAGTCTAAATCCTTTGAGCGGTGCAATCGGGAGATGATGGATGCATTTGCTGCGACAGAGGCGATAAAGGAGAAGCTGCGCCGGGAAGAGACGCTCCGACGCAAACTCCATAACCAGGTGCAAGAGCTCAAAGGCAACATCCGCGTGTTCTGTCGAGTTCGCCCCTCGCTTAACAGTGAACCTGCCTCCGATCTCACTCTCATGCAGTATCCCGATGAATCCGACGATGCAAAGGAGATTAATATCCTTGGCCCTGAAGAGAAGAGTAGCCTTGGAACAGTTACTCGGAAGAACAACACTTTTTCCTTTGATCGTGTATTCAATCCATCCACCCAGAATGCCGAGGTGTTTGATGAGATTAGCCAGCTTGTTCAGAGCGCTTTGGATGGCTACAATGTTTGCATTTTCTGTTATGGCCAAACTGGTAGTGGCAAGACGCACACAATGTCATCCGCCGATGGCATGATTCCCCGTGCTGTTCACCAGATTTACGAGACCGCGCAAGGTTTGGAAGAGAAGGGTTGGCGGTACTCAATGGCCGGTAACTTTGTCGAAGTTTACAACGAAAACTTGAATGATCTCCTAGGCAACCCGGATGAACTGGACAAGAAGAAGCATGAGATTCGCCACGACATGCAACGGGGCAAGACTACTATCACCGACATTACAACTGTCAACCTGAACTCCCCGGAGATGGTTGAGTCTATTCTCAAGAATGCGGATGCCAACCGCTCGGTAGCAGCGACCAAGGCCAATGAGCGCTCATCGCGGTCCCACTCCGTCTTCATCCTCAAGCTCACCGGCCAGAACCACATTACCGGTGAACGCAGTGAAGGCACGCTGAACCTGGTTGACTTGGCAGGAAGTGAACGCCTGAGCCACAGTGGAGCGACCGGCGAGCGTCTGAAAGAGACCCAAAACATCAACCGTAGTCTCAGCTCTCTAGGTGACGTAATTGCAGCTCTCGGCCAAGGCAAAGAGGGAGGTCACATCCCGTACCGGAACAGCAAGGTATGTTTCCTTTACTCCCATTTTTATTTGCTAGATACTAACTCACTCTCCAGCTCACCTACCTGCTCCAGTTCTCCTTGGGTGGAAACTCCAAGACTCTCATGTTTGTGATGGTTAGCCCGCTCCAGGCACACATGTCGGAGACCTTGACCAGCTTGAAGTTCGCCACCAAAGTACACAATACCCACATTGGCACCGCAAAGCGACAGTCGCGTGTTCGTGACGCCTGATTATGACGATACCTCTTTACTTTCTTGCATATATTTTGTTGGTTTTCTCTATGGGGTAGGGGTCTTTGACGATCCTGTCCTCTACCCTGGCGTCTTGGTCGGGCTGATTGAAGATTTTTCTCCTCTGTCAAAGCCTTTGGAGATATTCGGTTCCTGTCTTAGCGTGTGATTTACTGTATGGACAATGATACATTTGGTTTAATCAGTGCACAGTAGCAGGCTCTCAACGTTTTACCTGTTTGGTTTAAATTGCGAGAGATATTCTACTCTTGCTTTTGAATGAATTTACGGATATCCAATATCGTCTGTTCCCTTTTCTCAATCCAAGGGAAATGCCCACATTCGCCATAGGTAATGAGTCGGGCATTTCGAATGTCCTCTACTGTCCGTTCTGCAATCCCTGTTCCACAGATCATATCTTCGCGGCCGAATATCACGAGTGTTTCTGCTTGTACATCACCAAGCCTCTCGACCATTTGCATCGGATTCAGCAATTCCTTATCACATCGACCCTGGGCTTGGTAGCACCAAACCGACAGCTTGCGATCACCAATATCACACAGTAGCTCTGGTACGTACTGCTGCGGATCAAAGAAGTACAAAGGCCACATGCCTCGCAACGACTCCGTAAATTCTTCGTCGGAACCGGCTTTCCGATCCAGTATACTTTCCCAAGCATCCTGGTATCGAGGATCCATGCGCGTCGCTTCGAATTGCAATAACCTCTTATCCTGAAATCCTACTAGCTGGTGATCGAGGAGGATGAGCTTGCCAACGCGACTGGGATACATCTCCGCATAACCTAGCGCAATCGCTCCGCCGTTGGAGTGGCCTAGTAACACCGGATATGTTTCCAGATGCAGGTGCTGTCGGAGATCCTCCAAGTCGGAGGCAAGATCGGGCATACTGCTCATCTGAGATCCGAGTGGTCTGGATGATCTGTCCGTTCCACGAGAATGGAAGAAGACGACAGTATAGCCGCGAATATTTGCGCTACCGGTGTGATCTTCGGGTCTCCATAACCCTTGCAATCCATTTTGAAGATATTGAGATCCCAACCCCCAGCCAGGGCATTGAACAACAATTAAATTGTGTGGATCCTCCTTTTCGGTGGATGGACGATGCACGACATATTCAAATATCAACCCTTTTGCTGGAACACTGAAGGTATGGGCACCTGAGTGTAATACTTTCGACATTTGGAATGAGTTTGAGCAGTGGTATTGATATCCGAAAGCTATGCTAGGTCGTGTGCAATTGAAACCAAATTCGTTCTTTTCTAGTTTCAAATTATGACGTCATTCGGACTAACTAGTACTGTGTTGGAAATGCAGAAACAGACAGGAATCAAAAGAATTGTATGATCAGGTACTAGAGTTGACCAAAGTATTTTTCTGCCTTCTGCTTTACCTGCTGGGCCTTCTTTTGAATAGCTATGACGTCCAAAGTCCCCTCCTCACAGATATACGCATCTATGAGTTCAGCTGGAACCCATTCGAAGTAGATATTCTTTACTTCGACTGCGTAATTGAGGTTGCCTCGACCAGTCGCCTCAATTCCATCAGTAATAATCTTGACTCCTTTCATGCCGCTGTCAGCCCAACAACCCAACAGCTCTTTCGGGTCATTCTCTTCGTGGCTATTATTACTATCGGCGCCGGGCTCGGCCACCTTTTCTAGCTCACTGAGAACCAAGATTTCGGCGCTAGGGCAAACATGCTTGGCACTTAGAACTGTTGGCAAAGATCCAGTTTTGTTGCTCACTGAGCCTAAATCCGAGATCCGGTCGGCCCCAAGCAGGACGAAATGCACTTCCTTGCTGGCGAGAGCAGCAGATGCATCAGTGTACACAGTTAATTCCAGATGTCGATTGGAAGGTGAAGAAAATCTTGACTGAAAGGCAGAGAGGATGGAAGACGCCATTCTGACTCCTTCGCAAAGCGGACGAGATTCCAGTATCCTAAGGTCCAGCTTAAGAATTGGAAGGGATGCGAAGGCCTCCAGGATGCTATCTCGGACGGTAGAGCTCGACGAGAGGGTTAGAATAATGAGAGAGGGCGGAGGCTGTGATTTTGCTGTAGGCAGTATTTTGGACTGAAGATAGATCCCAAAGGAGTGTTTGATGTGCGTGGGCATTTGTTCGCGCTTGTCCAAATGGTGGTCGAGCAAGGTCAACAGGCGTTCCCATTTGACTCTGCAGTCAAGAGTCTCATATACGATCTCTTCCATGTCGGCGAGCAATCCTAGAAATGCATTCAAGGTGGCTGCCCCCATGCTTTCTCGTCCATTCTTCCACAAATGCCACGCAGCCATGCGAGCAGTCTCCCACCACTTTATGTCAATGGCCTTGCTCATCTCCGCAATAACGTCTCGGAAGGCCCTCAGCGCAATCGAGGTCAGCTCGTGCGCTCCACTTTGGTGATCTGCCTTCAGTTCTGCCAGGCCTATTCTGAGTGCCTTGCTAGCGCGCTTGTTCAGTTCACCTTCAAACCAGACTCGTCGCAGGCTTTCTTTCAGACGTGGCACACCACCGAATTTCTCATCATCTTTGACTGTATCGGGACTAAACCACTGCCAGCTTTCATGCTCCCAGTCAATTTGAATACCCTTCTCCCCGCGACCACCTTCATTGTAGTCTTTGAGGCGGAATAGAAATGGGAAGATGGTCCATTGCCGACCGACAGAAGGATCGCGGAAGGTGTATGGTTTTCCCTGTCGCCAAAGATCAAGATCTCGTGGGGTGAGAGTAGTCTCCTCTTTCAACTCGCGCCATGCCGCTGCTACTGGAGTTTCACGACTCTCTATACTGCCTGAGATTGGAGCGAGGTGGTGTCTTGAGAAATCAGTTAGTCTGGACGCGGACAGTCGATAGCAAAGCAGGGGTTTGGGATACATACTGATATGTCCTGACTTTCTCACTTCGCCGAAATAGAGCAACTTTGGTTTCTCCTATATCTGAGCAGATGAATGAGGATACAACAGACCTCTGCTTGAGCTCTGTTTCGCTGTTCATCTTGTTCTTGTAGGAGGTAAAAGATCTGGAGACAGGGTTGGGTGTAGATGTAGATAAGCTCAAAGTTTCGGGATATCCGCAAGACCGTCACCATTGCATCATCGCATCGCATTGGCATCCCTAGAATAACTACTAGCAGTAATGTTTTCCAAAAAACCTGTCTCGTTTATTTCTTGAGCTAGCGTTGGGATTCAAAGGCCAGTGACTCTATCGTCTATTGTATATCCCAATATCAAAGTGATCCAAAGCTTCAAGATGCCTACCCTTACAGGGTCATGTATTTGCCGGAATATCGAATACGAGCTGAAGCTTGCTTCCAATGATGATGCAAGAACGTCTCTCTGCCATTGCCGCAACTGCAAGGTATACACTTGAAATCGAACGGGAATTCCATTTTGCTGAATCGGAATAATGAATAGAAAGCCTTTGGAACTAATTATGGTCTGACAGCGAAAGTCCCAAAGGACACATTTAATCTCACCAAAGGGATAACAAAGGAACATGCCGCAGATAACGGATCTGGGGCTATGATTCATCGAGAATTTTGTCAAAATTGTGGTAGCTTCATCCTAGAATATGGGGTATGATAGCTTTATTCGATAGGTACGAAGACTTTCTAACAAAAATATCAGGATGCTGCCAAAGACCGTTTTCGCTATATCTGCGTCGGATCCTTAGACGATCCCGAAGCATTGCCTCCCAAGGGGGAATTCTTCTGCAAGGCTCGGGCGAGCTGGATGCCGGAGATTCCGAGTGAGTTTGGTATGCTGATCTCCTAGCCCCTTCTAGCTCTGACATATATCCGTAGATGTATTCCACAATCAGATGGTAAATGAGTAAAGAGTAACGAAATGCACGTGTGCTCAGTTTGTCCAATACCTGTCTATAGACACAGTCTCAATAATATACATATCAAACGGTCACGCTTTTCACAACCATATCCGTGGCCAGCAGTTTCTCTCGAATGGAAATCGCATTCAAAAAGTCATTGCTATCCACCCGGCGATATCCATCTTCCAATGTCTTCTCAATACCTGCCCGTAGGTGTCGCTCGGCCAATCGGCTCCGTGCTTCTAGCGGATCGGAGTCGACAAAGACGCGATAGTCAACAAGCTCAGCAAGTTCACGCCAGCCGGGCTCATCAAGAAGCAGATAGTTACCCTCGATGATAATGATCGAAGCATCCGGCGTGATGGAGATCCCGTTCTCGACGGGGTCTTTCGCTTCGTGATCAAATGTTGGTGCATGAATGACATCCGCTGACGACCAGTTTTCAGAATAGGGAGCTGCTAGTGGTGTCTCATCTGCCCAGGTGCGGAGCCGAGAGATAAAGGCTACAAAGCGGTTCACGTCGAAAGTCCATGGAGCTCCACGACGGATATGTGCCTCTTTGGGGTTGGGCAGCTGATCCAAAGCTGCCCGAGAAAGATGAAAGCCATCCATAGAGAGCAGGGCGGCGCGGGATGTCGGGCTCTGATTCAAGTGTTGCACTACTGCCTCGGCTGTGGTGGTCTTCCCTGAACCAGGGATGCCTGCAATGGCAACTAGGAGGCGTGATTTGGGATGAGCATCGGCTTGGTTGCGGATAGCATCCGCCAGTCGCCGGTACTCGGTTTCCATCTGTAAGCTGAAGTTAGATTGGCTACTATGAAGGCTTAGATATGATTTTTACCTTGAATCAATCGCACATGGATATATCTTATAGTGATGCAAGCTGAAGTAGATGCCTCGACCACGGCTAGTGACAATCAACGGATCATAATGCACAGAAGCAAAGAGCAAATTCAGCAGCTATCCGGGTATTCTTCAAATTGCTTGATCAAAGTGCAGGGCCGAGTTATGTATGTGTTGGTGGAGCGGGTATCGGGTCACAGTGTTCCGAAGCAACACAGTGGCTCTCGGTGTTGTAGTGGCTCTCGGTGTTGGCCCGACTCGGCGTTTCTCCTCAATTAGGATCGTTACAACTGGTTTTTTTTGGGGGTAAAGTCAGAAAAAAAGGGGGAAGTGGAGGTGTTGATGGTTCATTCGAACCATTTTGATACCAAAATCATTTCGGAACACAATTCTCCGGCGTTACACCCGGTTTAGACTCTATGAACTTCAAAAGAAACCGCATTTGATTTTGATGAAATGAGACTGGAATCAAAATTCAGTGAAATCTGACATTCAAAAGAAAACAGAAATGCTCAAACGCAAAAATACCCGGGCAAAAAACATGCGCCTCATGACCTTTGATACCCTTAAGACGTCAGACCTGCGACCAACCCAAGAAAATCAAAACATTCAAGTAAATTCTCAAAGGGAACAGAAATCAATCATATTCACATCGCGTCTTTGGTCAGAACCTGTGTAGAAACCGTTTCCACTTCACGAACTGTTGGCTTTCGATGTTTTTTCTGTTTCGGGTCCACATAGAAGCACAGAAGCTGTTGTGACCAGCAATGAGAACACTGAGGTCGTGTATGATCACAAGCAGTGCGTTGTTCACGACAGGCTTTACAGTCCCCCGGATGAAGTTGATATGGTTGAAAATCCGGGGTGTCTTGGAATGCCGTACCCCGCCATCCAGACCATAGCCACTGAGAGATGCGACCGCAAAGTCCACCCTTCATCCTGTATATAGGATCACGGGAAACCTTTCTCAGAGCAGAAATCTGACTGGGTTCTTGATGGATCAGTTCTCTGTAGATCCTGTCAGACCTGGTCACCTTGGAATAACCTCAAAAAGCCTCTAACCGCTGACCCTGACTCATTGTGGGAGGTCCACGTTCTCCTTTTACTAGGACTGTCACTGAGGATATTGATTCATGGCAAATTGAAGCAAAGTGAAGATGAACCAGAAACAAGAAAAAGGCCGAATACGAGATATGTACCCAAGGCATTCCATGCATAACCCCCTCCGGCCCTCCAACCCCTGCATTGGAATAAACAAATAACGCACTTCGGGCACTATGCGTATGTCATATCAACCTGAGAGGTCATGCGGTCAATGGGAATTAGTATGTTCTTGGCTTTTTTCAATACTTATTTTTGGATGTAATCTCAAGAGTAACGGCGATATTCGATATTCGAAGTTGTACAGTTCGGAATCACGTTCCACGACTGTGAATGTGGCGGTTACTGTAAAACCGTTGAAAGTTGAAACGTCATGATGGCTTCAGTCAACCAACATGTGAGGCAACGAAAAAAAAAAAATATAGCTCAGATGAACTTCTCTTGTAGTTTACAATAACTAAGTCAACATGGTTCGGATAAGCGAGGCGATCAAGAATGATCACCAGAAACTGGAATCTTATTACAACATCATCGTCAACTCCGAAGATGAAGATGAGCAAACTCGATTTCAAAACCAATTTACCTGGGAACTTGCACGACACGCTGTCGCCGAGGAATTAGTAGTGCTCCCTGCATTGGAAAAGCTTCGCCCTGAGGGCAAGGCGAAGACAGATGATGATCGGCGTGAACATTCAGCGGTAAGTGTCACATCTCTCCAAGGTTAATAGAGGGCAATGCTGATACCGTACAGCTCAAAGAAATGCTCGTCGTTTTCCAGGACCTAAACTGTTCCGATCCGCGCTTCGTCCCTACAATTACAACGCTGATGGAAGCTCTTGCCCAGCATATGCAAGACGAAGAAGCAAACGACCTGGTCATATTGGAGGAGTCCCTCACTTCTGATGACAGCGAGAAGTTAGCTGATTCTCTTAACCGCACCAAGATATTTGTGCCCTCTCGTTCTCATTCATATGACCTAGACCAACCGCAGTATGAGACTGCAGCCGGTCTGCTCTCAGCTCCACTGGATCATCTTCAGGATTTGTTTCGAAAGTGGCCAGAGGAGGAAAGCATGCTAAGCGCCCCAATAGAATAGATAAAACAAAAGAGGTATTACAGCAATATAGAGATTTATTTGCTTTTCCAATTTTGAGCCTCTAGAATATGTAAACGCGTGAACGTGGTTGAATTCCTATCCTGGATACTGATCAAGTCTCGACGAGTCATTTTCGCTTTGAGTGATGTGGTGAGATTTGCATTTAGTCCTAGGTAAACTATTGTTAGCGACTCGATATTGTACGCGAGTTATCTCTCACCTTTCCAGATCACCTAGACCACTCGGGTTACTCTGGTCTGGAGGAGCCTCATCAAGGTAATGTCGAGGTGTGTCCCCGTCAAGCTCACCGTTGAGAAGGTCTAACGCATTACGCTTCGACCTCCTGGATACCTTGGGACTGTTAACAGCACTGAAAAATATTAATAACGGTTATAAAATGCAAATGGGAACATCCAAGCTCACGCTGTATAGCCACGCCTCGCGTTCAATTGATCTTCGATAGATAAATTGAAATCTTTAGCTTCCCCGAGGCTTGACATTACGCATTTAGGTATTTGAAGAAATCACAGTCAGGTACCCACAAAGATAAAATTGGTGGTAATTATCAAAAAATACGAAGATGAGGCAATAGCGGCCGAAAAGCCCGGGTTTGTAACGTCACATCACCATCATGATCGGGCAATAGATGCTGAAAGCACCGGAAACACCCCGGGCGTATAGTTCTAACTGCCGATAATACTTGCAACATATCTCAAGATTAACAAGGGGCTTGCTCCTAGATCGAAGCCTAGAGGATAGTATTTATTTCCAGCACAATATTCATTGATAAACACCTCTCTATTATACAAAGAATAACGTAACCCAACAAGAAAGGCATATTTAATGAGGACTGTTGTACCTGGTTTGTCCTGTATATCCGGTATAACCACCGTGATTCATCAATTCTACATCCGGGTCCTCCTGGGTTTTGTGATAACCCGAGAGGATCTTGCTCGGATGGAAGAAGTTGAAAAGCAGACAGCAAACAAACATCAATGCTGCATCAAATACATATATGAATGCCTCTTTGCTTTGGAGAAATCCGTCGCTGCCCTGGACATATTCTGCCACTCTGTAGATTGATCGGACCAAGACCAAGACACTGGCCATATAAAGAACCTTCATATAGCGGCTCCAGGGAATTCGAGTGTCTCCCACAGCATGCAAAGGTGTAGATAGCATGCGGCGATGGAAGACTAAACAAACGACGATAAAGAAGCCAAAGAATAGAATTTGAACAAAAAGCCCGGCAACAATCATGTTGTTTCCGAGGTTTACTTTCGACTTGTCCTTCGCGGTAGCAAGCATGCCACCTCCTTCAAGAAAGAAACAATATTAGTGAGACTTCCATCTGCAGTGGTTCCATATAGCGTACCTCCACTCTGGATGAAAAATGACAACACATCACCCGTCACAAATATCTTGGTCAACCATGACGGCCTGACTAGGGAACACGAGGCTGCGTCCAGCAGACGAATAATACGGCCGAGAACCATGTATATAGAAGCCGCAAAAAATGCAGGTGCTAACAAGAGCATCAAGCTCTGTGCAATGTACGGCTTTGTGGTGAAATCCGGGGCTTCCTGTGCGCTGGCATATCTGGCCAAGTAGCCGAACGCCTCAACTGAAAATAGTTCACAATGATGAGCATGGTTTCAAAAGAGGAGAGAGAAAGTAACGGAGTCCATACATAAACCACCGATGACAAATGGTATGAAGTACCAGGTTCGGTTCCGACCTAATTGCCAAATATGTATAACGGTAGTGAGTCCAAAGACTGCTGCAAAGGCGACAGCAGAGCCAGCAGACGGGTCATAATGGTATAGTCGGAATCCCTCGGTCATGATGAGAGAGCGTAATGTGCAAGATGATTATGGAATAAGATGGCTAGTCTTGAAAAGTGGTAGGATTCGAGAAAGATAGGTGATGAAGTTTGAAGACTAAAAGGAGTGAAAATACCGTCTGCTGAAAAGATTCACTAGAGATCCAGCCTCTCTTATGAGAAGAACGTTATTTAAATATCTTTTCATCTTGCCTGATCACTACACGCTGTGCTGATATTTCTCTGCCTTGGAGCTAGGAGATGCTTCAGCCCCACAATTAGGGAACGCTTTTTTGTTGAGAGGGCTGAAAAAAGGTAAAAGCTAGTCCTTTTGAGTATAAGAATACGAATTATCCGAGAGGAACGAAAGAGGGTCAAGCTTGCAGTTTAGTTTCTGGTCCACCTAGAAGATTCGTAGTTGTCCAATCAGACGTGCTATGGATCTCCCGAAATGGAAAACGTTACGAGTACGAGATCCCATTTTATAGTTCTGATATCTCTTCCAACGTTACTATATAACCTTAATGGATAATATTTTCCTTCACCGCGTTTCCTATAGAACGAGAAAGGAAATGCGAAAAGAATTGCTCATTTACAAGGGGAACAGACATGCGTAGGGTATATATATATATTGAGGGACATACACTTAACAATGAACTCGGATATATACACTTGGCTGCTGGAATAACATTTTTCAAGTTCTTTTTGGGTTTTAATAATGTAATCTGCACTGGAATAAATCTTTTCTATATAACATCACGTTCCATTGCATTGTCATAGGGATATATAGTTGCTATCGGCACTATATGAGTAGAGAAATGGAACAATGTGAAGTTTGCAACTGGTTTACTTCAATGAATACTTAATGATGCACACACCATTGGATAAATATATAAAATGTCCACGAAGTTTGAATGCTCCAAGGATACATTAATTGTGGCAAACCCACTAGCCCCTAGTCTTGCTAGACATCCGATCACAATTAGTAAGAATTATTTATTCTTTTTATGAAAACTCCATACTACAGGTACATGAGCACAACATCGATTTTTCTCAAACTTTCAAAATAGCTTAAGGCAAAAATAAGAGTAAGGATAGTTGATAAAACCTATCAAGGCTGATAATGAACTTGGACTTTATTGACACACACCTTCCCATATTCCCCCTAACTATTTTGAGCGTTAATGAAATCGGGGTTATGACTATGTTCGGCTTATGTACCTTTTGTATAGAGTTGCTGTACAAAAGATACCCAATCCTTGCTATTTGTGATCGAGTGTCCAACACCTGGATTATCGCCTGTATTCTTTAGAACGTATAGAATAATACTTTTTCCCAAGATCCGTGAATTATGTGATCTGGTAACATTCCTGATTCATCCAAACAAAATAGAAAGTCTAGACTTCAGCGCTAAAAGGCCAAGACCTCGGAAGGAAGAGTTGTAGATCAATCCAAACGTTGGAGGCAAAAGTGGAGAGCGGCAACTCCGATCATAACATCTCCGCGTAAACATTTTCACCTTTTTGACTTGTAATGTGACAACTAAAATTGAATGACAGACCTTGAGATTATCTACGTACGTGCACTTTCCGTCTACCTTTCTACGTCTTTATCGTTCTATTCAGATGCAAAAAAAAAAAAAAAAAAAAAAACTCCTGTTTCACCGTTTGTTTTGGGTTACCCCTCGGGTGGGCTAGGAGTTTCAGGTTGACACACCACCCCCCTTAACCGCCGTCACAGCGACTAGTCGATCTTTTTTCTGTTGCTCGGCCTATTGCTCTGAAGAATGGATCATCATAAGTGGACTTGGACTCCTGGACTAGAACGCCACGGAGGCCCCTCGACTCCGCCGCAGCCTATCACAGGCCTCTACTCACTACCGCAGTCGAAGGTCTCAGGCACTGATGAGTTGTTACTGGATGGACAAATTGATCCCCAGTCTTCAACGCTGTATCTGGCATAATTCAAGATAAAAAGAATATGGGCTTGTGCCGCTGGTGAAAGATATTTGGGTCAAATACCTCCCACTGTTGCTCCGATATGTTCGACACACTCACATTCCTTTCTCCTTGTTGACAATCTGGAATTGTCAGTCTTTCTTTTAGTTACTTTTCTCTGTTTATCAATTGCACTTTCTCTCTTTTTTTCTCTTCATTGCTTTCTGGATCATCTCACAAGCATTTGGTCTTGTTATACGTCTCCAGCCACAAGATGGTTTCTTCAACACGTTCATTGAGCGCTGGATCGCTGATGCTTGCTTTATTAGCTTCCCCCGTGGCCGCCACAAGTTACTCCCTGGTGGAGACTTGGCAGGGGAAGAATTTCCTGGATTATTTCAACTTCCACGTTGGCTCTGACCCGACCAATGGCTTTGTCAACTACCTCGACAAGGAGACTGCTGAAAGTACAGGCCTTGTCAAGGTTACCGATTCTGGCAGTGTGTATCTCGGTGTCGATTATGCTACCAAGCTCGACCCGAAAGGCAAAAAGGGCCGTGATTCGGTACGCATTGGCAGCAAGAAATACTACGACCAGTCTCTCGTCATCGCCGACATCGCCCACATGCCTGGTAGCGTCTGCGGTACCTGGCCCGCCTTCTGGTCTGTCGGAAGAAATTGGCCGGGAGACGGCGAGATTGATATAATCGAAGGTGTCAACATGCAGGATTACAACAAAATTGTCATGCACACAGCCGGCACTTGCAGTTTGACAGATACGGATATGACAGGTTCGGTCAACGCTACAGGGTGTGGTGAGGATCTAGGCACCGTTGGTTGTGTGATCGAGGGTCACCAGGGCAGTTATGGCACTCCTTTCAACAAGCAAAACGGTGGTGTGTATACACTGCAGTGGACCAGCGAATCCCTCAAAATTTGGTACTTCCCCCGAAGCTCGATCCCGCCCTCGATTACTAGCGGCAAGCCCGATGTAACGCAATTTGGTACTCCGATGGCCGTGGTGCAGGAATCGTGCGACGTTGCAACCGCCTTCAAGTCCCAGTCGTTCATATTTGATACCACTTTCTGCGGAGACTGGGCAGGGAATGTGTATGGTGATTCTGGTTGCCCCATGACTGGCGGCGATGGCCTCCAGAGCTGCCACAACTACGTCGCCAACAACCCGACCAAATTTGCCGAGTCGTACTGGGAAATCAACTCGGTCAAGATCTATCAGACTGGTGTGAAGGGAATTGCCGCAGCTGCGTCCGAGCCCAAACCGGATACGACTGCCGCTGCTCCTGTAGTGTCACATACTACTGCTGAGACACACGCTACTCATACTAATGCTGTGCACTCAACTGCTTCCACGGAAGATGAAAACGTTGGAGTCATTCAGGAACTGACTCCTACGTCTATTCCTACTGTTGCAGCTACTGCCGAAAGTCCTGCCACCGAACAAGTCGAACAGCCTGCCACCAGCAAGAAGACTCGTACTATCACCTCTGTAGTCACTGCGACTGAAACCTTCTGCCCCGAGGACGAGAAATCCTCCCCTATTGCCGCCCACTCCGTGGCAACAACTGCGCCCGGGCCAGTTGTGCAATCTGTCCAAATCTCAGCCAACGGCCAAGATACTGAGGCAACGACCTCTGCGGCTGGTGTGGACCCTCTCTCCAACCACGCATCTGTCCCAGCTGGCCAGGGCCACAAGAGCTACACTTCTGCCCCAGCTCACAGCTTTGGTGCTTCATGGGCCAATCCTTCCGCGCTCCCCTCTGCCTTTGTTTCCTCCGTTCCTTATGAGGCCTCCAAAGCCCCGGCCCCAGCTCCTACCGGTGACTCCCCAAAGGAGGCACCATCCGCTACATCGGGCTTCTATGTTCCTAGCGGCTCTCAATCCGGTTTCAGCCCCGTTTTCACCGGCGCCGCTGATCAGCTGTCTTTGAGCATGTCGGCTCTCTTCTTTGGATTCATTGTTGCCTTTTTGGCTTAAATATTTGTGATAGATTTCGTTTCAAACAGCAAATTGGCGGTGGTTTTTGTTTTCTTCATTGTATAGCAGGCCCTAAAGATGGCCGTAGACTTAGGTTTGTTTCGATTCAGTCTGTCTTTTGCCTCCCAGGGCCTCGTCTTACCTTTTCTTGCACACTACACGCAAAAGGAAACGTAACTAGTTAATGAACAATTGTTTCCTCGAAATACTAGTGATACTTTTCGCCAATCACATATGCAGACACCATTTATCCCAAAACTCCACGCTTTTTCGCCCAAATACGATGTTTCGCCCCCTAGGCCGTCCACCTCGCCAACCAATCTTGAGCATAGCATCTCAGAATTCCATCATCAATAATTCTCAGTCGGCCATCTCGTAAAGTTACACTACTCCGCTCTGCTTTCTCTGTAATGAACCTTTTTGGTCCATTCTGCAAAGAAGATTCCTTCCCATGCGTCGTCTCATAATGATGAATGAGCTTGACCGCCGGATTGACAAGTTCCTCGCCCCTCGTCTCACTCTGACGAAGTCTCAGCAACCACTCTTCAAAAGGCACAGTGTCGAATCGGAAGCCACAATCCTTCAGAGTATGTAGCAAAGTCGACCAGGTGAATTCGCGAGAATTACACAAGTTGAAAATCGAGTCATCAACGTACTCCACCACAGCCGAGCCGGACGCCTGACTTTCCTCAAACACACTCGGTGCAGCACAAGTACTGGCTAATTCAAGAATAGTGGACGCGAGCTTATCCACCGGAAGCCAAGAACATGTCTGCGACAACTCAGGCAGTGCACCCAGTGTCAGCGCCGACCGGATCATCAACGGCAGAGCCTCGGTGTCATTCCAAAGGCCCTTCTTCGAGTGACCAGAGACCTGGCCAATTCGAAGAGAATAAGCTCTTGCTCCACTGCGTCGCGCATTACTCACAATCCGTTCCCCAACTAATTTGGACTGCCCGTAGCCCATAAAGGCGCAATCCAAATCGACTGGTTCTTCGAGGATCTCGGGCGATCGAGATCCGAGCGCGGTCGAGACGGATGAGCAGAACATCATGACGGCAGGCTCGCGTCTCTGCACACATAGGGAGAATTGGATCAGATTGTATAGACCCTGGATGTGTGGCTCGAACTCGGTCAGGGGGAGATTGAAGTTGACGGGCCATGCTGTGTGGATAATGAGCGAGACCGTCTCGAGCATGTGTGTGATTGTACTTTCATCCAGAGATAACCCGAAATCAGGCTGGTCAATCCGACTGTTGAAGGCGACGATCTTTGCTTTTTGTTCGGGGGATATGAAAAGATCTTTTTCGGATAGAGTGCGGAGTATTGCTTCCAATGGGGATTCTCGTCGTGTGAGACAGTACACTGTGGAGATGGAATCGTCATTCAGCAGCTCGTACAAGACATGGGCTCCAATTGACCCAGTGACTCCTGTTAGAAGCTTGGCTATATTAGCGTCTGAATGTAAACTCCATCAACGAGATAGTCACTCACCACACTGTTCGGCCCTGAGAAATCATGCGGTTGGGGTATGTGCCTCTCAAACATGGAGTACTTCTCAATCAGTTCAGTCATCACAGATATATCACTCTCAGAATTTTCGTATGTCTCCCCCTTTTGTAAAGCACAGATATGCCGAGCCAACTGTGATATACAGCCCGCTTCAAATATGACATTTGGACCAGGAGCCTGGCTCATCTCAAACTTGAAATGTTGCAGAATGAGACGTCTGAAGTGGATTGCCTTGAGACTATCCACACCCTCAGAGAAGAAATTGGCGTCGGCACCAGAGATGGGTATTTCCAGTTCTTGCTGGGCTAGTTGAAGAAGAATACGTTCTGTCTCCACAACCTCAAGCAGCAGATTTCCAAAGACCTGTTCCTTCTCGGTATACAGGTCTTCGATAAGTTCACTGTATTCTTCGTAGACCTGTGCCCGGATCATGGAGCCTTTGTCGGTTCGAGCAAACTTGGCGTCATACGACAAAATAGCAACCAGATTTCGGGAGATTTGAGAGAAAGCCTCTGCCTGAGAGTTGGCTTCTTGGATCGTCGGCCAGATTGAATCGAGGTATTTGTCGTCCGAGAGATGGTTGGCTTCAGGATCGTCCGCTCGAAAAATCAATAGTCCCGGAGCAGCCTTGCCTACCCCGACCACAACTGCGTCATGGATAAAAGGGTGTTGCTTGATGTGACCTTCAATCGGAAGTGGTAAAACCTTTTCACCATTCACTAAATTAATTCGATCGTCCAGTCGTGAGATGTATTTCCACCTTCCTGCAATCGTAGGATGAGGGACAAAGACGTCTTTCGAATGGAATGACCCTGGTGGCTCATTTGAATTTGAAGTTGTCAATGCTGGATGACCAGTGAGATATACGCACTCGAAAAGCGAGTCTGATTCAGAGATGGGCTTCATCCAGACATATGATCGGATATTGTCAAAGAATTTCAGGTAGTTCCAATAAGGGTCACCTTTTGGTCGTGAGATTGATTCTGCAACAAGGCCAGCCTCGGTGCTACAACGTGTTAGTCTTTGTGTGACTCTGTATGTATGCGCAGGACCCTACTTACAGACCGAATGAGCCTCCAAAGTGTACTCCTTCGCTTACTAGGCGGTTACCCAGCTCGTCAGGACAGGGTGCACCTCCGTATGTAACCAACTTGCATTGCCTTAGCGCTGTGATACCGCGGGGATCATCAATCAAAATTTGGAGCATGTATGGAACCGCTGCTACAGACTCTGGTCTGGCTTCTTCGAGGGCGCTAGCAACGAGTTCCGCAGTTAAAGGCAGCGCAGCGTTCCACATATAGGCTGTCTTTCTCATCCACATTGCCTGCAATGCGGTTGACAGCCCATGGAGGTGATACCATGGCAGTGTATTGAAAGAAGTCAGCCCAGGACCTCTCAGCGGATGAGTCATGATCGCTTTGTGTGTGAGGAAGAGCGGCTTCGGGGTGCCTGTCGATCCCGAGGAATGAAGGATTAAGGCGACCTTCTCAGGGGTTTGATTTCGATGCAGAACAACCAATGGCGAGTGTAACTTGTTATACAAAGAGCATGGCAGCATTGGGCGGCAGGACACCAACCTGCGGCGGAAGATCTCGCCCAATGTTGAGCGGATATTGGGGGATTGGCCATATATGATTGATTCGCAGTTGACCGTTTCCAGCAATGAAACGCAGGCTTCACCCGAGAGTCTTGGTGAGAGCATCATGACAGTATAGCCCAATCGACTGAGGGCAAAAAATGTGATCACCATGTTAAGGTCGGATAAAGTAAGAAGTGCCACGATGGATGGGCTTTGCGTTCGCTAAACGTTGATTTGTTAGAGTGTTGAGACATCGCAGCTCGATTCATGACCAACCTGCTTGAATCCATCATCTATGAGGATAGTGACAGCTTGGTTTATCATAGTATCCAAGTTTTTCCCGGTGTAGTACTCATAGGAAGCTGCATCGTTGTCGAAACGGGGATAGGCAAGAATGGGACATTGAACGACATCAGCGGCACGTAACCGAATCAAGTCATCGAGGATTTGAAGAGATCCGAACTCCTGCACTAACGGGTTGATAGTGCTGGAGGGACCAGCGTGTGCTGCCTGACTTCCACGTTGGATGCCCATTTTGAGTGGAGAAGTAGTATAGAATGAGGAAAGGTGCCACAGCAGCTTGGTGTTTCCAGAACTATATTGAGGATCAAGCCGTATTTAAGGAGCGGGTATCCGTTTAGACCACTAGACTGACCCATATTACCAGATTAGCCTATACTGACTGCATTCGGGATGCCCGGCGAAAGAAGGTCTTTCTGCATCGGGAAGGTATACATATCGGGTATACATATCGCACGGATTCAGCTAAATAGTAAGCAGACAGGATCGGCAATGTACCATGTTGTGATAGCTATGCAGATGCCAACTCAAGTCACCAAGGCGCGTATTGAATAGTTTAGATTTGAGGGAATAGTATTGTTATCGGCAATAGTATGCACATACTCCATGTACAACAGCACAATTTCAATGCACAAGGATTGGCTCGCTGAGCGAGTTGTTTGTGTCACCAGCAAACACCCAGCTTGCAATCACAAATTTCATGTGCCAAGATCCAACAATGGCGTTGCTTTGACGGCAAGATTGGCCCACTGCATCTAGTGTGGCTTAGGCTATCAACTAGCTACACCACTAGTGGCCAAATTCCAACATCCGGGGATAATTTTCCTGTCTAGCTTTAACTAAGTGCATGTATTCTGCATGTATTCTGGATGATCGGAGTAGAATTTCAATCGCGACCAGCGGCATTGGTTACACCGCAGAGCTGCCCGAGACACATCCGCCCCAGGTGAGATGAAAATACCGTTGAGAAAGCCCAAAAAAATTTCTAGCCGTTACTAGACGGAAAAGGACCGGTTTGATACGCATCGAGGGGACAATTAACTGCAGCATCACCTGGTGGCATATTAATAGTTCTAGATCATGTGTTGGGACTCTGAAACCTACTGTGCAAGTCAGTGTAACTAAGAGCGGCAGTAAACGTCAGCTGTCAGTCTGGAACATCTTAGGTGCCATAGGTAAAGGCTACACAAAACGCTGTGTCCAGATAAGCCCCGATGAAGTGTTGGTTCTGTGTTTCATTGGCCGTTAAAAATGTTGTTGAACTACTTTTTGAGGTCATTGTAAAACTAGTCCTCTTCTACCGGTACTAAATCGGACTAAGACCATTCCAGACAGCCAAGGAGTAAAGGGCCAGGCTTAGCGATGTCTCACTAAAACCGTATTATGAGAAGTCCCCCTACACCCCTGGATACCAAAGGGAATGAACGGCAAGCATTGACGCAATGAGATAATGAAAATGGGTCAAAGCAATATTCTAAAGTATCTAGAGCCTATGTCAAACGGCTGTTCTTCCAGTTACCTTGGAAGTCTGGCATGGAGATTCCAGATCTATGGTCCCTCCAATAATAGAAGTGGATCGGGATCGGGCCGGGAGAAGCATCCGGAAAGCCGGGAACCTTGGAATGCTTTGGTCCAAGGTTCCAAGGTCCTGATCTATATAATATTAGGGGTATAAGCGATCTCGGGAACCATCCGGGGACCCATCTGAAGAATGCTGATCCGTTCGATCGGGTGATCATTCCACCCTTTTTGTATTCTCTTGTGTAGACCTCAGAATACAAACCTAGGCATAGCATTCCAGGTATCGGGAATGATCCTGTGGCGTTCCGTTAGAAGGCGGAGTACCCGAAGGTTTGGTTCGGCATAGCATTCCTCCTGAATATTTCTGGAACGTTTAGTAGTTTCCCCATTTAGATGGAACATTTCTGAGATCTATGACATTTGGATCGTACCAAGGAACCTAGGAAGGGTATGTGTGTAGGCATCGAGCATGACTGCAATTTATCAAGATTAAGAACCAGTCTACAATTCGAGACAGGGATGTACAAAGAGATTGCAAGACACCAGCCAATTTTATCATCAAAACTATCATTCCTCTGTATTGGTTGAATGCATATGAAGGTCCATTCATGAACCTAAATGCAGAATAGCACTAACTGAAACAAAATGCGCTGATCGCTTCACGCCCAAGACCTAGATGGATTTCTTCTCCGACTTCACTTCTAACAATTCCAGGACCCGCAGCCAGGAGTGACTAGCCCGGGCAGCATGCTCCATCGGAACGGCCGGGTTATCTTCCCCGGTTGATCTCGAAAAGACTTCCATACTGACCCACCCGGTATAACCGAGACCGTTAATGCAGGCATCCGCCACCTCACGGATCGGAAGGTATCCGCCCCTATCCTCTTCACACGGAAACAGACGAGCATTCCGCGACCAGGCTAGCAGAGTAGGCAGGCCTGGTGCGTGAAGAAAGGGAGCGAGCGGGTCGACCCGCTCGCCGTCGGCAAGTTGAACCATCATCACTCGGTCCGGATCGATCTCCCGTACAAGCCGGTCCATCGATTCCCGCAGATCGTCATCTGCGCTTGGGGGCAGTCGCCCTGTTGTGGAGGTGGGATCGGCCCAGACTCGCGCTGCTATGTTGAATGTGTCAAGGCAAATCCCGAGATTAGGTCGATTGGCCCGCTTGACCAAATCCCATGAGTCTTCCCAGGTGTTGATGTACGTTCCCCATGCCAGGGCCTCGTATGCGACGCGCACTGGGAATGCGACATCTGCGGCCTCGGCTAGGTCTGCTGCGAGACGCTCTCGGTCGGAGGTGATCTCGGAGGCGTCGAGGAAAGATGAAGGGATCAGGATGAAGAGCGAGTCACCGAGAATCTTGCATAACTGAACCCAATGCCTGAGTTCGTCAATGCGTTCTGCATGCCTTTCTTGATCAATGAGGCCTTCGTAGTGTCGGAAAGGTTGGAGAGCTACAACCTGGAGATCACGCTCAGCGCATAGATCTCGGATAGCGTGCGCTGCGTCAATCTCGTAGTCTCGATCAGTGCGGGGTACACTGTCAGGCGCTTGAACTCGAATAGTCTTGGCGAGCTCAGCTAGATCATCATGAAAGAGTTCAAGTCCTCGTTGGCCGTTGATGGCGGCTGCGTCAAGTTTGGCGATGATGGGGTGTAAATGCGCAGCTCCCAGACTGACTGTTGCAATAGCTGGCCTCCATCGCGAGTCAACTTCGGACTTGGGCGTAATTGAAAGCGAATGCATCGTTAAAATTGTTTTGGGGATTGATCTGGGAATAACACTCATTAGTGCCTCACACTCTTTATAGCATAAATAACAATCTCACATCAACAGGAGATTTCTGTTTCCGTGCTGATCATGTATTTCAGATCCCTTCTTTTTCTTTTTCTTTTCTAAAAAAAGACTCCAATGTGGGTGGTGAGTACAGAAAGCGCACTCACAAATAGTCCGGATTCAAATCACACACCGTAGGGCAAGCATGTACATCCTAGATCATCTCAATCGGGTCAATTCCTCTCAAATGCGGCATATTAAGACGACGGGCCGAGAATGACTGAATAGTGGAGTGTCTAGAAATGATATGCCCCGGGTGTCACCTGTTTTCGGGGTAAGCTTACCTTACCTATATTGCATCCGTCTGTTGTAGGAATGGATTGAACGCCGATGGAAACAAGGGTTCTTAATTTATTTGGCTTGTCTGATGTCACTCCGAGGGGAACCAGGGACTATAAGATGCAATCGAGATCCAGCCAAATAGTTCCCTCATCCTAGCTTGTGCAACTCGAAGCAGACAATTACACACTGAACATCGGTGTTTATTTTCCTTGAACAGCCAAAATGACCATCACCACACCCTTTCACTATCTGGTTAACCGACTCGGCCAAATGGCCCTGAAGGAATCCTCAGATCCATCTCCACACGCCCACTTCGAGCTATTGCGGATGATCGACCAGCTGAGGTCTGCAGTGGAAACGCCAACAGAAACTGTGCTGCGTCTGATCTACCAGGTATGGTGTTTGTTCCACAAACTATAATCGAGTTTATATTCTGACTGGATTCTTTCTAGCCTCCTCAAAATGCCGCGCTGCGCGTTGTCATCGATCTGGGCATTTTCGCTATGCTTGTAGAGAAGCGCCACAGAGGAACGGGACTCTCAGCCGCTCAGCTAGCCAAATACACGGGCGCCGAACAAGACCTAATTGGTACCTTTTCCTGCAGAGATAGTAGTTCGTCACACATTGTGGATCACACTAACTCCGTGAAATAGTACGCCTGATGCGCGTTATGGCTTCTCTTGGGCTGTGCGTCACACCGACCCCCGATGTTTATGTCGCCAATGACAAGACCGTGGCATTGACTCGTCCGATTGGGAGAGACGGAATCCCATGCATGTATGTTGGTGATGTGGCTTGGTCCCTTGCATCTGTTCCCACCGTCACTCGCTGACCATTCTTTTAGTTACGATCTTACCTTTCCAACATTGAGCAAACTCCCAGAGTATCTTCGGGCTCATGGATATGCCAACCCCCAGGATTATACTGAGTCACCTATGCAATGGGCTGTTGGACAGAGTCAGTTCGAGTGGCTTTCGAGTCATCCGGAGCAGCAGGAGCTGTTCAACTCGTACATGACTAGCCGTCGCGAGGGTAAACCGATGTGGTACGATATATATCCCATCGAGCGACTGTTTGGTCACGCTGTCCCATACAAAGATACGGTCTTCCTGGTAGACATTGGTGGCAACCAGGGACATGATCTGGGCAAGTTCCGCCGGGAATACGGTAATCTTCCGGGCAGAATGGTTCTGCAGGATTTGCCAAGCGTCGTTGAGCGGGTCGATGGCGAGAGCGCAGGAATCGAGGTGATGGGATACAATTTCATGGATTCTCAACCCGTCAAAGGCGCCCGTGCGTACTACTTCCGTTCCATCTTCCATGACTGGGATGACGAAATCAGTCGAAAGATCCTGCGAAATACGGTATCAGTGATGGCGCCGGATTATTCTCGAATTCTCATTGTGGATTTCGTGCTGCCAGACACCGATACGCCTCTGATGCAGGCTTCGCTGGATATTCAGATGATGAGTATTGGAGCTGGTGTCGAACGGTCGGAGCGACAGTGGAGAGATCTCTTGCATAGTGCTGGACTGGAGATCACAGGGATTTGGAATCAGAGCCCGGCGATGGAGTCGGTGATTGAAGCGGTGCCAATGTTGAAATAGAGTAGATAGTGAAATAATTTGAGCAGTTTTGGTATTTGAATTTAGTACAAATATGGAAGATGAAATAGAGAAATGCAAAGAGTAAAAGAAATCTAATTATTGGTTTTAAAAGAAGCCCAACAAGGCTCAACGACTCAAGTAAGTGGCGCCCGAACGGGTTGCATCTTCAACAACCACCGTTCCCTTGAAATACAATCTGTGTGAGTCCAGTTCCTTCTCAAATGTGGCCCGGTATCTTTCATTCTTCATCAATCCTCCCGCCAACACCAACACGGAGGCCTCAGATGGCTGATAACCAGTGGCTTGAGGCTTCACCAAGCGAGCAAGGGTATCACCAACAAGCAAAGCAACCTGAGAGCTCACGATAGCTGCTGCGGTCTCATTCTTGTCCATTAAGTGGAGAACAACCGGCGCGATACTAGCAATGCGTGACTTCACACCCTGAGAATGGTTCTGGGCCAGGATATTGTTCAACATGTCGATACTGGCACTCTCAGAGACCTGACAGCCCAGTTTCTCCGCGACCGCCTTGGAAAGTTCATCGCCTCCAGTTTTGTCAAGCCCCAAGGTGATATCCTCAAAGACTCCCAGTGTGTGTTGGATGGCTTTGATACCGATTGTGTAGCCACCGCCCTGATCGCCGAGCATGTGTCCCCAGCCCCCAGACCGGGCAGCACGAGCGTATCTTTGTTGATCCTCGGCCCATTTATATCTCATTGCAACACTCCCCGTGCCTGCAATCACCACCAGGACGGACGGCGTACCGAGCGATTGTGGAACACCAGCGGTCAACAGGTCTACGTCGTTGGTTAATTGGAGGTCCTTTTCCTGAGTGATACCGAAAGCTTGTCTCAGCTTGGGTGCTAGCACTCCCTCCAGCCCAGCTCGGTCAATACCAGCCAGTCCGATCCAGACAGAGCTGAAAGATGTTTGTAGAAGTTCCTTCCATGAAGACTCTGTTTGTTCCACGTGGCTTGGCAGAGCGTCTTTCAGAGCAGCCTTTGCGGCGTCAAGTAACGTGGAAATGACTCCGTCTATGTCTCCGATGCTATCGGTTCTGGAGCAAGTTAGCTTCACGATACGGGATATAACCAGGGAAAAGAGATCATACAAATTGCAAGGGCCAGCAGAGCCTTGGCCCACGACGTTGGCGCCGGCGGCCACAGCAGCAGCGCACTTGGTACCGCCACCATCAATACACAAGGCAAACTTTTGAGTGGGGGTACTTGCGGGCTTCTCTTCGATGGGCTTAGCGATAGCAGCCAGCGCGTTGGCCAACACTCCACCCGCAGCGTCGAAGTATCCCTGACAAGTCTCAACGGACTCCCCGGTCTCTGAAACCAAGATGGCCAGCTTGACACTGCCATTGCATTTTGCAAGGACAGCGTCCAGTTCAGTGTCGGGCGCGGACTGGCACTTTGCACTCAATCTGCGCAGAATATTGCGAGATCTTTGCTCAAGCTTCAAGTTTGATGCCACGAGATCGACCATCTTAAAATATGGGGATTAGCGGGAGTATACCAGTCGGGGGAAATCACCACATACCATATTTCCATAAGTCTTTCCTGTGCGAATCATGGTACCGGTACTTAGCATATTCAACACCAGCTTGGTGGCGGTACCAGCCTTGAGACGGGTACTACCAGTGACCACTTCGGGTCCAGACACAGGTGAAATTACGAAGTCCACATCTCCTGAAAGGCCAATCGCCGAAGGAACTGTACAAACAACCGCGATGGTCACACATCCGAGACGTTTCGCGAAAGCAAGACATCCCATCACATAGGGCGTGCGCCCGGAGCTTGCAATTCCAATGATATTATCAATCTCTGGATTCAGATTGAGAGATTTCATCTCCTCTTCGCCGGCTTTCTCATCATCCTCGGCTCCCTCCTGGGCCGATCGGATTGCGGCATCTCCACCAGCAATCAGACCCACAAACTGCCCGCGAGGAGCATTGAATGTGGGAGGAATTTCTGATGCATCCAAGATCCCAAGTCTATTGTATTTTTTTTGATTTAATTTTTTTGATCAAAATAGGGGACGCTGATTCACGTGACTTACCTTCCACTGGTGCCAGCACCGACATAAATGACCCGTCCGCCTTGTCGAACTCGCGGAGTCAATGCGTCAATTGCTCCTGCAATAATTGGCAGACAAGGAACAACACTTTCGGGGACTTTGTGATCATCAGAATTGATGACAGTGCACATGTCAAGTGTCGACATGCGATCAATATGCACGGTTCGGGGATTGACCCCCTCCGTTTGGAGTTGAGATAGACTCCCGAGATCCATTATGCAGGTTATTGAGTGTTAACTTAGAAGACGACAAGCTTGAGTGCCGTGTTCTTGTTCAAAGTTTTATTTATTTTCGCACGAATCACCGACCAGACTTCTGCGGAAAAGAGCGATAAGGGGGCTTTTTAGACGATTGGGGAGGCAAAGCTGGACCCATTTCTATTTGGCGCTATACAAGCCGAATGCCTATTATCGCCCCATTTCCCGAGGACGATGCCGATGCGGGATACTGATAGGAATTTTGTACGTAAGGTGAAGGCAATCCCTGGTATTCTAGAAACACCTCAAATGGGGGCCGTTACAAAGTAGAGTAGCAATGAAGGACTTGAACTGCACGGGATTGGTCCGGCTCGCAAGCGACCGGGGTGGATATTTTACTTCTTCTCCAGACTTTTCCCAACAAGGAGGTTGATGTGGGAGATTAGTGGAGTTATGCTCCGGTATTCGTCGGCCGAGAAAATAGTGTCGTGTGATAACCAGTTGCACTATACAATGTAATCTAAACCACATGGGTGTACTCCACCTTCGCTACTACTTCAGGCAAAATACCCAACAGATACCCCGACGATAACACGATCCCTGTTTGGTCTGTTCTTCTATGCAACCTTAGCCCCCTATCGCGTGGGGCCCCAGACTCGATAAGCTGGCCCACACACGTGCAGTAGTCCGGTATAGGGGGGAGGGAAGGATTGCTGAAGTCTCTAACATAAGACCCCGGTTATTCCCCCCCCCCGGACTTTTGTAGTTTCAGTTTCATACGCACAAACATGTCTCAAACAGTCGAAGAAGGGCAAGTTGCCGGCTATGAGCAAAATGAAAACCGCTCAACCATATACAAGATCTGGACCAATTCTTGGTTCCAGATCATTTTGATGAGTTTCATCTGCTTTTGCTGTCCGGGAGTGAGTTTTGCCAATAGCTATTGTGAGACCCAGGTGAACTAATGGTATTAGATGTACAATGCCCTCAGTGGTCTTGGAGGTTCCGGTCAAGTTGATCAGACCGTTGCCGCAAATGCCAGTGTAGCCCTTCTGTCTTGTACTGCAGGAACTGCTTTGTTCGTTGTCGGCCCTATCTTCGATCGTGTTGGACCCCGAGTTTGTCTCTTGCTTGGAGGATGGACCTATGCCTTGTATTCCGGCAGTCTTCTGTGTTTCAACGGTATGTTCAAGCTGTCAACCCACAGTGTGTTGTATACACAGCTAACGGAACTCGAACAGCAACCAACAACGGCGGCTTCGTCATTGCCTCCGGTGCCATTCTCGGTGTGGGTGCCTCCTTCTTGTGGGTGGCGCAGGGTGCTATCATGACGACCTATGTGCCTGAGTCGCAGAAGGGTCGTGCAATCGCCGCCTTCTGGATTATCTTCAATCTGGGCGGTGGTGTTGGATCCCTCGCCAGTTTCGGCCTTAACTTCAAGTCGACGAGCGGCACTGTCAGCGATGCCACATACATTGCCTTGCTTGTCGTCATGGCCATCGGATGGGTGCTGGGAGCGCTCATTTGCCCACCCTCGTATGTCAGAGTTGCCCAGTTGCAAGTCACACCTGAGAGCAACAAGAACTTCCGCCATATTATTCGCCACTCTGTGAAGACTATCTGCAACTGGCGGGTGTTGTGCATGCTGCCCCTCTTCTTCTCAGCCAACGTGTTCTACTCCTACCAGCAGAATGCCGTGAACGGTATGAACTTCAACATCCGGACGCGTTCCCTCAACGGTTCGCTTTACTGGATTGCCCAGATGCTGGGTGGCCTCGTCATGGGTCTCATTCTCGACACCCCCGGTGTCAGCCGACCTAACCGCGCTCGCATCGCCTGGGCCTTCTTGTTTGTCACTGGAATGGCCATCTGGGGTGGCGGTTATAAGTTCCAGGTGTGGTCTGATGAGCGTCTGGAGCATGGCCTGAAGCAGGATATCGATTACACAGATTCTGATATCTCAGTTGGCCCGATGTTCCTCTACATCTTCTATGGTGCCTATGATGCGCTGTGGCAATCATTCTGCTACTGGCTCGTCGGTGCTCAGTCCAACTCCCCGGCCACAGCTGCCGTTCTGGTCGGAGCATACAAGACCTTCCAGAGCACTGGTGGTGCGATGGCGTGGCGCATCAATGCCATGGGCAAGCCCGCGATGACTCAGTTCGCTATGAACTGGGGACTCTGCATGGGCTCGTTGGTCATCGCCATCCCAACCGTCCTGGCTATCACCATGACCAGTGATACAGAAACACCAGTGGTCGATGAGAAGGCATACCCAGAGGCGGAGGAGACCCGGGAGGTGGTGAAGTGCTGATTTTTTGTATGTCAACCTCTGGTTAGGGGAAAATAATCTTGCCGTCGAAAGATGTATATATGTAAAGTAGAAGAAGAAAAAAAACTTGGAAGTTTGACACTGCAGATCAGCTTATTCCGATTGATCCAACATTCGGTTGCTGTAGACCACGATTAGGGATATATGATTAGGAATATGTACACGGCACGTCCCAACCGAAAATTTAGGATTTTTTGTATGCCGACAAATTCCGTCTCCAGGCGGTTGAGGGGTCCTCCACTCTACCTTACCGGATGCACTTCTTCAGCACGGCGGTTTCCAGCAGTAACTTGGTATACTGACGGTGTGCCCAGGCCACTTTGTCATCCATGGGGGCACCTTCAGCCTTTCCGAGACCCTGGTAGAAACAGCTCTTCAGACTGAATTCGGCCACACCTTGATCCGGCTTGACAACAGCAGCGATTTCGAAGAGGCCGTCGGAGGGACGGACATCACGGATACGTGGGGAGTCACCGCATCGAATGAGGATACGGTCTTCGGTCTTCTCGACGACTTCAAAGTGGTCGGTGACGATGGTTCCTACTTCGTATTTGTTTGAGAGGAGGTCCGATCGGTCCCAGAGGTGGTCGGCGGTCTCGGGGCCACGGTACTTGCGTTCAAGAATGGCTCGTTGGGGAATGTATCCTGGAGAAAAAGTAACATGTTAGAGTGCGTTGCATTGCGACAAGGCTGGTTTCCCCAGTGTAGGACTTACCCATGCCACCCCAGACACCGGCACAGAAGGCTTCCACCAGCTTGCCCTTCTCCTCGATCAGCGAGGGTTGGATCTTATCTAGGGGAATTCTGCGAATGCAGACATCATGAAGAGTTGGGTTGCGACTCGGGTTGAACTTTTTGAAAAAGGCCGATTGGAAGATGGGATCGGAGGTGTCCATGGTCTCGAAAATGTCATTGCGCGTGGCGCCCCAGAAGACACCGACCGAGGCAATACTGCCTGCGACGGTCGTCTTCACCAATTTGCTGAAAATACCCATGGCTGAGGAGAGGAAAAGAGAGAGAGAGAGAGAGTTGGAGGTGAGCAAGAGGCAAGAGGGGAGAGCTCTCGGGTACCTCGGGGAAAGCTCCGACCGCCAAGGCCAAGGCCTTGGGCCAATTCCACTATGGATTTCACTGTCAACTATATATCTACCTCATTTTATACTTCGAAATTCAGACAAAAGAATCGGTCTCTGATTTTCCATATTAGTTCCAATCATTGTTTTCTCGATATTAAAGATAGAAGTTGGTTTATATCAACATATTCGCATCAATTTCAATGCTCAACAAAGCTAAGTCGGTGTAATGGCTATAATAAGAGCCGAGAGTAAAACTCTATATGAGTTGATCATTGGACCATAACCTAGAAGGCGCAGCTTTCCTTGGCCCTACTGGTGTATGCAAGCCATTTGACTCTAAGGCAGATGGGGACTGCAGAGGTGACGGTGTTGGCGCAGTGTTTTTGAAACGCCTCACTTCTACAATCGCAGATGGTGACGTGCTTGGTTTGATTGTAAGCACAAAGGTTTATCAGAATCAGGATTGCACCGCAATCACCGTTCCCAACGCGAACTCTCTATCACAGCACTTTGCGGATATTGTGCGTCAAGCAAGACTTGAGCCTACATAGGGAAATCTCTCTCGTCGAGTCACATGGAACAGAAACTCCGCTGAGGAGCCAGCTGAATATGGTGGCAGTCGATCTGTCTTTGGAGGTGCTCTACACTCCAATGTATTTTTAAATGCTCTCTTTAGATGTCTTTTGGGATGTCTTTTGGGATATTCTTTCATGGTGAAATAGGTAGGAAACTAATAATTAACATAGAAGTATCATCGGGAATGGGAATAATAATAGGAATAGGGCGAGATCAAAGAGTAAACGAATGAGTCATGTGATGTGACTGTTAACTGTCATTTTCCTCTGTTCGTTCTCTGCTCCAATTCTCTGTCAGCTTGCAATGCGACTGATCGATTGACTGCGCTTTCTGTTTCCTACCATTGATAATACTCCAGGGCAGCCTACTACAGTACTCTGTACTAACACTAACGTCCACAGATCCTCTCAGAATGTCGTCACCTCCCCAGTATGGAACTTGCCCGCAAGACGAGAGCAACCTTCGTTTGGACCTACAGCTTCCCCTGCCATTCACTCAGCAGATATTGATGCCGTTTGATCTTCGAGAACATCCATCAAAATTCCTGGAGCCTCCGAATAACAAACTCCTTGATATATTTCCAGGAACTCAGGCAGTCGAATTAAACGATCGAGTGTTAGTGTATCGTTTCGAATAACTGCCACCCAAGCCATGACCTCGGCAGATTGCGCGTGTCCCTTGCTACCTAACAAACAATCCTAACGATCAAGAAGGCATTTATATCCAGATGGTTGGACAACGGGCAGAGGAGGAATGTACCCGCTGTCAACAAAAAGAGGGGCCATTCGCCTATTGCGTTGTCATTGGTGCTCCTGGTTGGCCAAAAGAGTGTGCTAACTGCCACTGGGGCGGCCATGCCCATCGATGCTCCAGGTTGAGTGAATCTGCTGGCCAACATCCCAACCTCCACCAGCCAGCACCATCTTTCCATGACTAGGACTTGGCTCGCCAGCGGGTGAACGACCGCTTGAAGTTCTTCTGCGAGCTTTGTACTCTCCACTTATTCGTCGCTGATCTTCGCACCGCAAATATGCGTAATCGCCTGGCTGGAAACGATAACATCGCGGCGTGGAATAGCGCTAGTGAGACGGCCGTGGAACTGCTACTACGCCTGAGCTCTGGTAATGATATCGAATCCTCAGATTTCCAATGGGTCCGGACACGGGCCAGATCTGCCGCCCATCGAGGTCATGCCGTTTAATATGCCGAACAGGAGGTTACACAGAGCGGCCGGGATCTCATGAGAGCACTTGATGGTCTCATTCGCCGGTATAATGAGTAAGAAAGATCCTACTTGATCTCGATTACTCATGTTTCATTTCAATCTAAGTGGTGTGACCGGGATGACCTGGTCTACAAGAGTTCAGACCCGCGTCGGCGTGTACAACAAGTCCAAATGAAGTCATTTTTCATAAAACAAAAGCATCTGAACAGAGGTTTGAGATCTATATCTGCAAAGCCATCGGAGTGTTATGGCATATAGCATGCCTTAGATCATCTCGAGCGAGATAAATCCGATTATTAACGGCATTCGAGGCTGATATGCCACTAGGTATACAATACTGGCTAGCACATTTCATGTTCGGATAAAGAATAGCCAATGAAAACCAGTGCCGACAAGGTTATGATTGTCTATATACTCAAAAGATATGTTCAGTCTAGCATGGCGATACATAGGTCTCCGTATGCCCGATATTCCGATGCCGAGGCTCGGTGCTTTCCCGGTCGGAAAACTCAACTGACAAATGGGATGGAGATGAATACAAATTCTCCAGAGCTCATATATCGATGTCGCCCCAATTTCTCCGAACCACTGGATCTTCTCTCCAAATATGAGAACGCAATGTTCTCTCCACAAACCAATTCCCCATATCCCCGGGGCTTATTCCAAATCCGTCTATCAGACCCACCATGCGTCCTTGGAAGTCCCACGTGCATGCCCAAACTTCGATACCTAGATTGCTTCTATTCGCACACATTGTGGAAATGCGAGATGTAACCTTGGAATGAATTGGTGATCGGCAATAACATTTTACAATTTTGCGACTGTCTCTTGACCATACCCTATGTGTACCACTAGTATACTCCCAAGGGCAACCCCAATTCAGGCCCTAACCCAGGCAATTGATCGACATGGAATATCAATGAAGTTTATCACCTCGGACTCGGATGTCGCGAACCCTTCGAGAATACCTAGATCCAACCGATGACGAGATCTGGGGATCGTCCATTCTCAACCAGTCAATGGCTGTCCTCAACTTAAGGAACAAAAGTATGGAGGAACAGACCCACCATGTGCAGACACAAGCAGTGGTTATTTGTTCTGGAGAATCGATGGTGTGCTACGGCCTAGGAGAGGTATAAAATCCCTGGAATCTGTCAGTACAATTCTTTTTTTCATCAAGCAGATCTGGGATCTTTTTGTATACCAATCATTATCTTCTTTACTTCATACATACTTCCCTCGCTGTGCGAGCTACTGTTGACCAACAATCTTTTATTTCTTCGATATTTCCACCTCTTTCTTTGAATCCCGTTTCAAAATGAAGACCTCACTTGCCGCTCTTGCCCTCGCTCTCTCTGGCTCTGCTATGGGTGCTCCGTTCTCTAACGGCACTCGCATTGCATCCAACTCTTCTTCTGTGTCGACTCCTATTCATCGATCGACCGACACACCTCCTAACTTCCTCGCTGCCTTCACCACTGGATCACCATCGTCTTCTGCTACTCCTTCTGGATCCGCACCTTTGAAGTCGACCCCTATCACTAGCGGCAGTGTTGTGAAGCGCGGAGAGGCCATCTCCATCCCGACAGACCTCCCGTCCCTGGCTTCTGATGCTCAGTCAGTGGCTGCAGCCCTCGCCTCCGCTGGAGTCCAGAAGCGTGGCGAGGCTCTGTCAATTCCCACGGATATTCCCTCTCTGTTGGCTGATGTCCAATCCATCGGCAGTGCTATTGCCTCTGCGGGTGCCCAGAAAACTGGCGGATCGCTTTCGATCCCCACTGACATCCCCTCGCTGGTTTCTGATGCTCAGTCAGCTGGGGCTGCACTGGCCTCCGCTGGAGTCCAGAAGCGTGGCGAGTCTCTGTCGGTTCCAACGGACCTTCCATCTCTGCTGGCTGATGTCCAATCCATCGGCAGTGCTATTGCCTCTGCGGGTGCCCAGAAAACTGGCGGATCGCTTGCGATCCCCACTGACCTCCCCTCGCTGGTTTCTGATGTTCAGTCAGCTGTGGCTGCACTGGCCTCCGCTGGAGTCCAGAAGCGTGGCGAGTCTCTGTCGGTTCCAACGGACCTTCCATCTCTGCTAGCTGATGTACAATCCATTGGCAGTGCTATCGCCTCTGCAGGTGTCCAGAAGCGCGCCGCCGAGACCCTTCCTCTCTTGACCCCCACTGGGACTCCCACTCCTACCGCTCCCCTTGGTTTTGCTTCCTCGTCTGTGGCTGCTTCCTCTACTGGTGTTGCTTCTCCTACCGGATCTGCTTCTTCGTCCGGAGTTGCTTCGTCGTCCGGAGTTGCTTCGTCGTCTAGCGTGCTCTGATCTGAGTGCTGCGCATTTTTCCTCTCACAATGGCTGCCATGTGAATAGTAGATCTCGACCTCCGCTCATTTGTGCATATATGGATCTTTGCTAGATTGTTCCCAATTGTCGCTCGTTTGAATTGGGGATAAATGCTTGTCTTGATATTTGATGTTACCTTTAGATCTTAACCAGAATGTACTTAGAAGATCAGTTGAAATCCAATAGATTTTTTACTCACAGAAAATTCCGGATTAATACGATCAAGTTGATAGATCATGTGCTGTCACTGCTGTGTACTCCGTACTCCCGTAGTCGGGGAACTGTTGAGGATTGGTCCCACGTGTGGGTACAGGCACGGCACAGCCTCACAGCCACAGCAAAATCGATTCTCCCCTTCTTTTGTTTCGTCATGCCTGAGACCCATCCCATTTTCTTGGCTTTGGGCTGATCATTATTTTCATTCTGGTTTTACGAGCTTTAATGATCTTTTTTTCCCTTACACCTTAGCCTCTATTTGTTGAACCATGGCCCGTGTTTGCGCCAGAGTCTTGTTGAATGGTTGAAACTTGATTCGGCAATGCTCTTCGATTGTATCAATTACATTGTCCGCCTTCGGGACCTTATATAGCATGTCTGGTAGTGACGGGGCAGGGCGCTGGGCACGAGATATCGGTGAGTGGTGGTTCTCGTCTGACACCCCTTCTCCCTTCGCGTCCCCGTTGAACCTCGTGGCGTATACGAGTATATGCTGACCGAGATGTGAACTAGGTCGCTTTGCACCGTCTCGTTTGTTTCGAATCCGCCCTCAACCTCGTGGTTGGCGCCCAGTGGCTCTGCGCCCGCCCTACCTGATCTCCCTTATATGTTTGATGTTGACGATGCTGCTGACCCTCGAAGGGTTGCGGCAGTATAGCGAGCGCGAAGGGGGATTGGTCTTTTTTGGCTACACAGAAGATGTCAACTCCGGACAATCATTTGCTTACAATTACGTTCCTATCATCGTGGCCCTCGTGCTCGTCGTGGTGTGGACTGTCACCGATTTCGATGTCCTCCGCCTAGAACCATACTTCCAGTTGTCTCGACCCGAGGGAGCGCCGGCGACCGTTCTCTTCATCAACTACAACTTCGGCCAAACGATTCTCACTCCGATCAATGCTGCACGCCGCCGCCACTGGGTGGTGCTCTGGGTTTCCCTAGTCACACTCTCGATTCGGATGATTCTTCCCGCTTTACAGAGTACAGTACTTGAGCTACGCGAGGTGACGGTAGTCGACTACGGAACCGTAAAAAGCTGGTCCAACTTGGTGGATTTGAACACACAAGCGAACTGGATCTCAACGCAAGCCAACAATACTCTTGACGATGTGCTTTCCTCAAACGAGCAATTGCGCCGGTCCCGGTCCTCCAAGTACGCCGTGGGGGCCCGTGGAAATACCCGATAGCCACCAAGACGAGAGCATAATATGGACTGTTGATCAGACGCTGTATTGGGCGGAACTTGCATGTGAGAATGTTCCAATTGTGGACGGGCTCACCGTTGCTATCCATGATCCTGAGGCGGCATATCCAACAATTTCATGGAAGGCTAGTGGTATTGATCTGAATGATGCGTACGGAGGCGCTCCAAAATGCGCCATTGGTTTTGAATACGAGAGTGTCTTCTTCCCTGCCACCGATTACCTGCAAATAAGGTATTGGGAGCCGATGATCAGTGCTACTGCCAAAGAAGCATTTCCAAACCGAACCCAGGCCTTCACGGAATTCGGCTGCGATCCGTATGATCTATATGGTATGCTCATCGGAGTGAATATGACCAGTACACACTCGAATCCGACCTTGAGTGAGTACTCAGCGTCCGGTGTGGCCTTTGCTTGTGATATCATCTATCACAAAGCGGAGGGTCGCGTGGCTATGCACTCCAACAGCTCCATAATATCTATTGATATCGATCGAGCTACCAAACGTAAGCTCACAAAAGCTGAGTTCAACATTGAACACTTCCAAGCTCTGCTCTCTCAACGCGCTCCGTTCACCAGTGACATGCTCTTCATCCGGGAAAATGCTACCACTGGGGCTCGCACGGTGACCGAACTCCCTATCATCAGCCAGGAGTTAGGAGATATACAGCCTGTGCTAGTACTCGATACATCGACCGTGATGACAGAGACCGAATTTGAAAACAAAATTGAGCGGGATGTCAAGCAGAGCTTTGTACTCACGCTCGGTCGCCTGTTCGACCCTGATAGCGCACCAAGCAACCTTGCCGCCTCACGCATGTCGAACCAAGTTGCTATCGCCGTCGTTAAATTTGCGGCTCTGTGGTCTGAGCTCATTCTTACACTGGCCATTTTGACCGCGGTGTATCTCCTCTACATGTATAGTTCCCGTGAACTGTTTCTCCAAAGTGACCCAGGGTCCATTGGTGCCATGTGCAGTATTGCCGCTGATATCTTTCACCCATCCAACATCCTCGCAGAGCCAGTCGCGGAATTTCATCAATTCTCTACTCGGCAACTTCGCCGTATCTTCAGAAATGCTCGATGTTACTGGCGACCAGGCCCTTCTGGCAACAGGCTAGAGATCCTCGCCGAAGATGGTCTGTGCCACCCGAATGCTGTTCATCGTCGATAATTATAACTGACTATATCATTAGGCTCCCCTGTCCAGCTTGGAGAGAATCTCCAAACCCGTGTTGATCCAATGCCTCACTTTCTCGTAATTCCTTTCTTCCTTATTGAATTCTTGGCGCTAGCTGGGGTCATTATCCTCATCGGACTAGTGGTTTCATCTTTAATGCGAAACGGCCGCTTCCGCCACATGACCCAATCCGACTCGAGCGCGTTCCAAGTCGTTCTTTCCTTCCTACCGTCTGTCGTTGCATCGTCCGTGGGAGCTCTATGTACCTCGATTCACCGGAACCTCAGTGTCTTGGAGCCTTGGGTCCACTTGCAACGCGGCAACGCCTTAGCAAAGACGTCGTTGTCACTGAACTATTCGTCCCAAAGTCCGTTCGCCATTTTCTTCAAGTCAGTTCGCGACCGGCATCTCTTGCTGGGCCTCGTATCAATTGCATGCGTCGCTAACATGGCGTTGACTGTCGTTGCGGGTGGGCTATTCACTCAACAATTGACAACCTCAACATTGGACACCAAGGATTTGTCCATGAACTACAGCCAGTCTACATTTTGGCAGACGGACTTCGCCGCAGAGTTCACCGAGTATGATTTGATTCAGACTAGCATCAGTAGTGGAGTCCCTATGCTGTCTTGGACTAGCCCAAACCAGTCTTTTGTCCCAATCCACGTGACCAATCGTAACCCGGATGTGATTTACGGCGCCTCAACGCTTGGTGTTGGAACTGAGCTCAAGTGTCAGCCCCTTTCCTCCGACGCTCTAGTCCATGATAAGGGCAATGGTCGCCAGCATTGGCGATATAAACTATTTGACAATTCGTCCATGGAATGCATGGCACGCATGCCACCGCTGAAGAGCAAAGAAGAAGGAATCTCGCTCTCTATTCACTTCCTGTCCCCAGATGACGTCGGCGAATCGGACATCTGCCAGACGTCGACCGTTGTAGTTGTCGGTCGCTGGGATTATTTGGCGGGCACCCCAATCACGGATGACAACACAATTGCATTGCACTGCGAACCCCAGGCAAGATTGCAACACTATTCTATCTCTTTCGACCAGAAGGGACAGATCTGTTGGCATGAACCTGTCCCTAAAACATCAATCACCCATGGAACCATGTATGACAATGCAACCGTGAGTCTCGGTCAATTCAACAAAGTCTTTGCTGCTATTCCTAGCAGCTTTGTAGGAAATACTACCATGCAGAATGGAACATACAACATTTCATCCTATGATTGGGCAGGCTTCCTTGTTGCCCGGCTCTACGAACGCGAAGACCCCAATTTTGACGCTCTGAACCCGGATCTTCTGACCAACATGACTCAAAATGTATATCAATGGGTCTATAGCACTTACTTCTCAATTTGGCGCGATATTTATCTCGAACCTCTTGCTCACCCAGTCCTGGCCACAAATGCCACTATAACCCGCAGTACTTGGCGCATGGTTCCGTCGGGCCCATCACTTGCCATCGCTCTAGCCATCATTATCTTTGACACGCTGGTCGTGCTTGTGGTGTTCGGAACACGACACGGGCGGTTCCGGGGACCCAGAATGCCACGCTCCATTGGAGCCATCATTCCCTGGATTTCGCACAGCCAAATGCTTCCTGATTTTGCCGATACGCACAAATGGAGCAGTGCCAAACGGCATGCTCATCTCACGACTCTAAACAAACGCTATGGTTTCCGCATGTTCATGGGTGCCGATAACCGCTGGAGGTTCGCTGTCGACCAGGAAGCGGAGAATAACAACCTTCCCGATTCCCCAGACGGCGCCACGGAAGTGGAAGTCGACAAGACTACCTCGATTCAGCTACAGGAGATCCGGCGTCCACCATCTCCTCCTCAGACCTGATGACTCATTTACGCGCTACGAATTTTTATTTGATTTGAATACGTTATATTATGTTTCGAGGGTATATATTTATTTGGACGTGGGCTTTTCTTATTTTTGTGAGCCCCCTGCGATAGATTATTGGACAAGTAAGCTGGCTTGCTTTACCCATTTCATTTTGGACTTCATAACTGGTCACGTCGTTTTGACATATTGTAAAAAGTATCTGGAGCCCTGGTCTAGGTTCTTTGCAGCGCATTCTTTTGCATATCCCCCGTCGTGGGGGTTTGTTTGGGATTTGGGGAGGTTGAGAGACAGCGTCTTGTACCATGGATGGGACAGATCTTTGAGGAGCAAAAAGATTACATTCTCGCGATATGTCGACCATCTTGCATGAGCCCTACTTGCTCTATAATCGACGCCGAGTACGGCCGAGCAAGACGAAAAGGGTATAGTATATGGTGCTACGGATGACATCCACCCTCATGAAAAGTGGCCGACTGATCTTTATCTCGAGTACGTTAGAGTATCACGGACGACTGAAATAACTTTGGTCCAATCTTGGTGGGACCTGTGAAATACATACACCCTTCAATTTATGTAATTTCTATAGCAAGCCTTACACCATCGAGCTGAATCCGAATCAAGCATCGTATTCCAAGTCCTACCGCGCGGCTCTCAGTCGACCATCAACCGCTCGAAGAAGAACGTAGAGGGTCTCTAAAAAGGGGGCTCGGATGCCGAGTTCACGAGATTTCCGCACTGGGAATCCCAAGATGACATCAATCTCCATTGGTCGACCACTTTTGCAATCCGTCTGCATGCTGCTTCCAATCCCAGGCATAGCATTGATCTTGTCCATAAGCTGGTCAACTAGATCATCTTTCAGCGGCACACCACAGGCACGAGCGATGTCAATGACCTCCTGCATCAACTGGCGTGTAAAAGGCGTAGCATCTTCCGATGACTTCAACCATGTTTGTGTATCCACCAGGGTGAGGGTAGTCAAGGAGTTCCATGCGACATTCCAAACCACCTTCTCCCATCGCTGGATCTGCATATTCTCAAGAATCTGGAACTGAGTTTGGCCATTTCGGAGGAGATCGGCGAATGTTTGAAGTCGTTGTTGCTCGACTTCGCTTTCGACCTCGGGATTGGGGAATAGGCCGATCTGCATATCCTCGGATTTGCCATGTGCTACAATTCCGGGGCTTGTCTGGGTGGCTCCTACCCACGTCTTTGGATGTCAGATGGGACTGTGAAATTGACGATGGGAAGAGAACCTACCACGCAGGTTATGATCGTGTTCTTTGGGAACTGCTTTCGGAACGGTTCCTCGTTACCAACGCCATTCTGGATGACGACAATGGTAGTCCTGCTGTCGATTGCTGGCTGTAATTGAGCTACTACTTCATCCTGATCGATTGCCTTGTGGGCGCACACGATGTAGTCAACTGGTGGAACTTCGGTAACGGATTTTACCACTAGTTGGACTGTCAGCAGAATATTTCGATTTGAATGGTGCATATATATCGCATGCCTCGGTGTGGATGGACAGTATGTTGACCATGATTTTCGCTATCGATGGTAATTCCCTTTGGAGCGCATCTGTTAATACTAGAATGGCTTAGTGGCCAGTGAAATACTCACATTTGCTTTCACAGCCTCATAGTTCGAACGTGCCACGACTGATAGTCGCACACGGTTGGAGCGACTCAGAACAAAGGCATAGAAGGAGCCAATCCTACAGAAGTCAGCACATATTATTATTGAAATATGCTGAACTTACGCTCCCAATCCATAGACTAGGACATCAATTTCAGACATTTTGTGAGGATCAAAAGAGAATTGTATGCTTTTTTTGAGACTCGAGTTCCCCCGCATCGGAGGATCCCCGCGTGGGGGTTCAGAGAATAGTCTTGGCATTTGATATTCTAAGCTTAGAGCTTTACACTGGCTATCAAATGTTTCTCCAATCGACTGATATTCACCATTTCGGGTCTCAACTCATCGAGACTGGTCACTCCCAGAAAAACCATATTCATTTCGATCTCCTGTCGTAGGATCTCGATCATCCGCCGCACCCCCTTCTCGCCATATCCAGACAAGCTATACAAAAAGGGTCTACCCAATCCAACAGCAGTGGCCCCTAGCGCAATTGCCTTGAGTACATCTGTTCCTCGGCGAATGCCACCATCGATAAAGATCTGCATCTTGCTCTCAATCAAGTGAGGCGCGAACTTTCGAATCTCGAGTAGAGTCAGAAGTGGGGATTGTGCCCTGTTTATATAAGTCAACATACCACCGACGAGGGAAATGAGTCATGTTTGTGAGATATCATACGTGTCTTGTGAGCGTCCTCCGTGGTTTGAGAGTACAATGCCTTGCGCACCATGCTGGTAGGCAAGGACGGCGTCCTCCACACATTGGATTCCCTTGATCACAACAGGGAGATCTGTTAGTTGGCGAATCCAGGTGAGAATCTCCCAGTCAATGAATGGAGAGATTGAGCTGGCCATGATCTTGGCTAGCCCCTTTCCTTGTGCAGTATTACTCGTGTCCTGAAACACATTAGTAAATAGAGGAAAGATACAAAGGCACCTACCCGCGCAGGCTACATACCGTCACGCTCAAATTGAGCCGTTCGTCCATCTCGCGTTTCCCCACCACGGGTGAGTCGACCGTAATCCAAATAGCACTAGCACCCTCTCTTTCAGCTCGCCGTACAGTCTCAACAGACTTCTGGATATCTTTATTCACGTAAAGTTGTTGGAAAATAGGTTGATCTGGCGAGACACGGCTCTTCATCACTTGTTCAATCGGCATGCTGGACCCGTTTGCGAGTACTTGGACCAGCCCTTCCTTACCAGCTGCAGCTGCTAGCGCACACTCCCCCTCCGGATGGGCAAGCTTTGCAAGACCCACTGGGGAGATGTAAACAGGCAGTGTGGTAGAGAACCCTAAGATTGTATTGGCTGTATTCACAGTAGGAATCTTTCGTAGGATACGTGGACGAAGGTAAACCTTTTGATATGCCAGGGCATTATTCCGTTTGCTGATCTCGTCATCAGCACCGGACGAGTAATAAGCCCATGTCGTGTCACGTAGTCTCTGCCCAGAAACTCGTTCAAAATCATGGAGATTAATCAGACTTTGTAATGGCGGAAGACTGTCATGGTTTGGCTTTGGTTGCTCCTCATCCACTCCATCTGGCTTGTTGTTCGGCTTTTCCAATCCAGTGGGATCAATGTAGCCTTGAAACGCGGTTTGAGGGAGTGCTTCGCTCAACAACTCTACCGTATGAACAGAGTCGAAATCTTCAGTCGCGTCTTTACCCGCACAGCGCAAAATCACAGCTACACCACCTGGGTGGGAGTTTAAAAAGTCTACCTAAGTCAGCCTGGGGTAGTAGCTTCCGCAGGGATTTCAAGTCCCTACCTGTGACATCGTAGACAGCCCCATGGATCACGACCCAGCACGATTCCCGGTTGTCATGTCGGGTGACTTCCTGGCGAGTGAGTTTCATCATGAACTATTACTCCGTATCTCCAGCTACAATTGTGAGGTTCATCAAATGGTGGCCCTAGTCATCTCATGCCCAGGCCTAACGACGATCTCGGAATCTACTATCCGAGCGTGGGGGTTCATAATACGCAGAAGCTCTGGAGACGGGGCCTTTTCTCCGTCTTGGCATTTTATACTTCGAATCAATGTATCTATGAGAATTTCTACCTACTATTCGGACTATGATTGATAAAATAACTTCATATGGAGGGATCAGATAGTAGAATGCTTCGGCATATCTTATTCAAAAGAGGGATTAACACTCAAATCGTTTGAGCGGAGCAGTTCGCAAAGAGTTGGTTTTTTACCATGCACATGGCTAAGGTGGTCCAAAATTGTGTTAAAATCGTAAATATTGGAGGGAGAATCACACGTAAATGTGAGTTGTGGAAGAAGTATAGCTTGAACTTGTGCCTTGTGCCGAGAGATCGAAATAGACGTATTATAACTGCGCTTTCGAATCTCCGATCGCTGCTCCATCGATGGCAAACTTTGTGTGGATTGCGGCTTCCCATGTGTTGTACTTGTAATCGATGGTGACGAATACAGCGAGGAGATGTATACCAGAAGGATGACAAAGTGCAAGATCTCTGGATTTAGAACTATGAAATACAGAGGAACTATATAGGACAAGCTGGAGAGAGAGAAGGAAGAAATCTTACTCATTTAATCTATGAAAGGTAAGGTGTATATACACTCATGACTAGCAAACAAGCGCTCAGCCTAGCAAACAATATGGGAGATGGGATCACCCAACAGTAATCGGGATATGAAGGGCCAAGGCAGAGTCTCGGATCAAGTCTCTCTCATACACGACACCCAGTGGTGAATGCTTCACCGGAGAGTCCGAATGAAAAGGAGTGCTTCGACCGAGAGTAGTCAAAAGAATCACAACTTTCGAGACAAGGTAAAAGCCATTTTCAGGTTACAATGTACAAGGCTTCATTGAACCTTTTAGAATAAGCAATGTTAATAGGCGCACGTCTTTCTATATATAAAATTATACAAGTGTGGGTACAGCTTGGCTTATCCGATCCATATTTCTTGCCCCGCATAGAGTGGCCCTGATTTTCCCACCAATCAAGTAAAGAATGCTTATACTGGACCTCGACGTGGGGGAACTGATACACGGCAATCCGCTTAACCGGACTTTCCCCGAGGGCCCCGCGTGGGATGCTTGATGGGGGTTGGATTTGCGAGCCTTCTATAACATGGTCGCATCCCGGATTTGGTTGCTGCTCCAGGATACAATACCCGATTTCATTCACCATGGCTAAGATCAAGTCCATCGAGCACTTCCGTGTAAAGCCTCGCTGGCTGTTTGTTAAAGTCACCGACGATGAGGGGAATTTCGGCTGGGGAGAGGGCACACTCGAAGGACATTCCCTTGCAGTCGAAGGAGCACTCGATGAGATCATCACTCGCATTATAGGATACGAAGCAGAGTATGCATGAACCCCTCGTGTCTGATCACAGAGAAAGGTCTAATCACCTTACACAGTGACATCCAGCACATTTGGCAAACAGTATGGCGGCTCGGGTTCTATCGGGGTGGACCGGTGTTCATGTCAGCTCTGTCGGGAATTGACATCGCTTTGTGGGATCTGAAGGGCCGAAAGCTGGGTGTTCCCGTGTACCAGCTCCTGGGCGGGAAGGTGCGCCAGAAGGTGCAGGTTTATGCCTGGATTGGCGGTGACCGACCAAGTGATGTTGAGGCAGCAGCGTGAGTTCCGAAACAGTAAACAATCAAGGCCACCGAAATTCTTACAAATTTTGACAATAGGAAAGAGCGAATCGCCCAAGGCCTCAAGTGTGTCAAGATGAACGCTACCGAAGATGTCAACTGGCTAGACTCGCCCGCCGTTTTAGATTCCTGCGTGGAACGCTTGAAGCAGGTAAAGGCTTTGGGTCTTGATGCCGGTCTGGACTTCCACGGTCGCTTGCATAGGCCTATGGCTAAGCAGCTCGCCAAGGCGCTGGAACCCTACCACCCTCTGTTCATCGAAGAACCTCTACTATGCGAACATCCCGAAGCGATCAAACAACTTTCCGAGCAGACTACAATTCCTATAGCATTCGGCGAGCGTTTGTATTCCAGGTGGGACATTAAGAGGTTCTTGGAGGATTCCTCGGTAGATATCCTACAGCCGGATATTGCGCACGCAGGAGGCATCTCCGAAACTATGCGTATCGCAAATATGGCCGAAGCCTACGATGTTGCTATCGCGCCTCATTGTCCTCTGGGCCCCATCGCCTTGGCAGCCTCTCTCCAAGTGGCCGTCTCGATACCCAATTTTGTCATCCAAGAGATGTCGCTGGGTATGCACTACAATGTTGAAGCTGGAGATATTGACCTGAACAGCTACTTGGTGGATAAGACGGTCTTTGATATCAAGGAGGGATATGTGGCTGCGCCCTGTAAGCCCGGCTTGGGAATTGATATTGACGAAGACCTGGTACGGAAGATCAGCAAGGAGACAAAGCCTTGGCAGCCCAAGGAGTTCTATGGCCCGGATGGCTCTATTCGTGAGTGGTAATAATGACGATAACATATGAATATTCCTGTTATAAACTTGTCTTCCAATGTTCAGTGCAGCGCTTTCACCAGAGCCGAGACGATGCACTATTATGATTTGAATGACCAGATACATATATCATGATGTTTTGTATCTTTTTGTATTATTCCTGGCTTCGAACCACAATTTCCAATATTGAATGGTAAGATGAGGATTTCATGATGGTCATCGGCCTTTGATCCGTATGACATGTAAGTTTCATCATCTCGATATACAGTAACACCCGCAAGAAGTTTCCGTAATAACAGGGCAGGGTTATAAAATGATGATGATAGTGTGCTCATCAGAGATATAACTTATTGTTCTAATGTAAGACTCCTAGATTCCTCAAATAATCCAGTGCTCGTCAAATACCATCTCTACTTTTGTATTCAACCATCACCATATAAAGAGAGACACCAGCACATAATGATTCTGAAAGCTCTTCTGGCATTTACAACTCTGGGACTTGCTGCAGAATATCCCGTTGTCTCTCTGTTCATTCCAAATGCCGACCCTCAGTCCTTGTTGGGTGAAGTTTTGGCAGAGGTTGGTATCAATTGGAATGATCCGCGAATATCCAACTAATTCTAAATAGCAATCAGCAACAACTACATACAGTATCAATTGCCCAGCCGGTCGCACCAATAGCACAGAATGTGGTATGGGCCCTGGCCTATTTTTGACCGCGGCCCCAACCAGTGTCGAATATCTGATCAGTGCTGAGTCTGACAACATGTGCGTTTACCCAACCCTCAACCATTGCCGCGATGTACAATTGATTGCTCATTAATACAACAGATACAACCACGTTGTCTGCGATATGACCGATCTCCCAACCGGGGCTTATACTTGTACAGACACTGTTACCGGGAAAGGGGCCGTTACGCCTGGCACTAGCACCTCAACCCTCCCTTGGGATCAGATAACGTTGTTGCCGGTCACAATCACTTCCACTGCTAATGCGGTTGCCGCAACAGTAAACAATGGCAGTACCACTACTCCAAGTACTACTGAAGTTGCGTCGGGTAGCGAGGCATCACCCGCTGCTGCCACCGTCAGTCCTACTCCCGTGGCCGGTGTGGCTGCGAGGTCAAGGCCCACTGGTCTCGTGCTAGCTTGCGGTGCAGTTCAAGCTCTGGCAGGATTGCTGTAGTGATTGAGTTTGAGGCTCGACTTCCTTGGCATTCCTTGCCTTTCGAACTTTTTGACATGCACAAAGGGGTTGCTACAAAATCTAGTTTAGCAATCTTGATGCTCTAATTTGAACTTGAGGACGATTTCACCACCAACCCAGTTAATAGTCTACATTGGCACATGGCAAACCCATATATTTTGGAAATACCGGAACCTAGACCGGCCTATGAAAACTACTTTTATGCTTTTATATCCACATATCGATAATATATTGGGAGAACTGTATCTCAATCCTTGTAGAGTAATTCTCAAACCACTCTGCAGGCTGTAGGGGGGCAATACCCATGATCGCACGCGAAACTGCAAAGACCCAAATACGAATCATCCTCGCCAATAAGAGGTGCCCCATGAGTTCCGGTTGATGGTGGAGGCAAGACAGCATTTCCATACTGGGTACAAGTGCAGGGTCCGGGTGGACAATAACCATAGTTGCAGCAGAAGGCACACAGCCCAATATAGTTATTGGTTCCAGTTCCCGCAATGCAGGTACTACCACCTCCTCCACCATTTCCACCTCCACCACTGCCACCTCCACCACCTCCTCCAGTCCCACCTCCTCCACCGGTACCACCTCCCCCACCGCTGCCGCCGCTGCCGCCGTTTGGAGGGGGACAAGCTGTTGGAGTCAGAGTCTTAGTAACTGTGACCGTGCTCACGACAGTCGAGCATTGTCCAGGTGGTCCAGGTGGTGGTGTTGTAGTCGGGGGGAACCTGGCAAGGTGCTGGTCGTACTTGTAGATGGAGGATCTGGGGGTACTGTACCTAATGAGGGGGTCGGCTGACATGTGTGAACACGCAGACCCTGTGTAAAGGCAGAAAGCCCATCTTGCTGGAGGGGGTCACTGAATCCTGCTGGAAGGGTTCCAACTAGATACCACAGTTAAAATGGAGACTCAACCAGTCGTTTTATAGTCCACCTACCATAGGCGTTGAAGTTATACAAACCACACACGCATCCGTTGATGATCTCCTTCAGACTAGTCCCTGAGAGAATAGTCTGCCCACTGCGAATGACTGCGAAGCTTTGCGAGCCAACTCCCATCGGGACCTCCTTTGCACTTGCACCTGCTGGTGCTTCGTAATTGTAGACGCTCCCGCCGCTATTGACCTGCACTGTGGCTGGGGATGTAAGCAGTGATACAACGAAGACAGAGTCGGCCATGGACTGCCAGCCGTCTGGTCGACCCATGAAATAATTTCCACTGCCATTGTTTGCTGGTACCATGCAAGTATCTGTGGAGTCACAGTCCACCCCACGTGGTGCAGGTCGATACCAGTAGACCAGCTCATCGGATGAGATATGACTGCTTGGAGACGACTCGCCTGCTTTGAATGCAGCAATGTATGGTTTTGAAATGTCCAGCCATCCGTCGTGGGGCCTGTAGTCATTTGTTAGTTGAGTTGGCTGAAATGGGGATTATAGCTTTGAAAGAGTGGTTTTGATGTTTCTCACATGTCATTGACCCATTTCGAGGCCCCATCATCAGTATGTGGTGATTTCAAAGGACCAATGTAATGACTCTCTCCATAGTCATTCCATGTCACAATTTCGATAAATCGGGGTTTCATTGCAAGGATCTCATTCCATCTGTTAAACCATAGGAGATCAGATGGAAAGTTCCAGTTCTTGCTATAAGACACTTCAGGTCCGAAATGGGTGAAGAACCATGGAGATACAGCTGTTTAACAGTCAGAAACCCAATTCTAATCTCAATGGACATGGAAACACTGACGGGCAACATAAGCTTTTCCGCCAAGGGCGTTGACATATTCTCGATCCCCGTCAGCCACAGAAACACTGTGACCTGGAGTTGGTGCTTTGTTGTTTCCGTTGTTTGGCCACGCCATCCAGTTCAAGAGGCCGTCAACTGTCGAGATGTCTGTCCCCATAGCTGGGTGGAAATTGGGCGCAAAAAAGATCGATCTTCCAACTGCAGCTCGCAATGCTGCAACATTTATTCCATCTCCGGCAAATGATGAAACGAACACCTTGTTGTCGACCATGAGTTGTGCAGGCTTGCTAGCATACTGGGCAATTTTCTGGCCAACTGCAGTAGCCTGGTCAATATGCCACCAGTTGAAATCGAATGACAAGAACACTTTCATGTCATTATTGGCAGCAGATTCGTATGCCAGTTGGAGCTGTTGATCAGTATAGGGATCCACGCCAATGTTCAGAGCAAATGCATCAATTCCTAAAGACTTAGCACGCTTCATATCATCGTCAAAGTCCGCCGCACTCCTTCTGTCGCTGACAATTCCAATCTTTAAGATGATCAGAATATCTCCGACACAATGAAGAAATTCGAGGGCATGTTTACCATAAAGTGTGCAAAGACAAGTCGGTTTCCCGACGACTGTCTTTTGGCAGCACGCGTGTCCTGGCCCACCGCAGACACCGCATGCGCCGTCATAGACAACAGAGTAATTATGCCCAAAATGAGCCGTATCTTCGTCATGGTGTGTGAGTCCTCTTTTTACCTCGAGTCAATATCTTGAAATTTGGCTTGTGGTATCCGTGTTCGCTTTGTGTAAGTAAAACGTCTTTAAATATATCTTTCATTCACCAAATGACTCTCGGGAACGTCTTGCAGCTGACCTACGAGGTTTAATCATCAGGATGATGAGTGTGATGTTTCCTAGTTATCTCTCCCGGCCCAATCAATTCCTTATATTCAAGGAACCATGTGGTTGTTAGACAATTGTTGGGAGGTAAAATCGTATATTTGTTGCTTGTATATCTTTGTGTTCCAATTAGGTACAAAGTGGCCACAGGATATTTTCTGGGGTAGTAATGATTCTTCTATTTTATGTATACTTGCCGATGATTATGCAGAAAGAAAATTGCAGCATCTTCCTGAGGCGGGATAGACCCGTTGGTTCCATTAAGAATAGATTCAATGTGTATCTTCGTCGTTCTTCTCTCAGATAATTTCTACCCAGTTCCGGTTTATACTGCGCCAGTTGACGTTATGCATTGTCATCAATAACGATAGAAATCGTAAAATACTTGATCTATTGTAGTAAAATACCAGAAGACATGCTCGAAGTCCCCCGAACTTTAAGTCATCGGCATTATATCAAACCTCCCGAATGTAACCCACGGGCAAATAATTCATATATGTGGATATTTGCATAGATCATAGAAAGTCCCGGATTAAGCAAGTAACTTCCAAGATTTTATCTGTAGAGTGTGCCTGGTTGCCTTGTTACTATATAGGACAGGTACGACGTTCGCATCAAAACCTTAGCGAGAACCCACGAGTTGGAGACGCAGGTTTGAACCGACATTAAATCAAAAGCCAAATTGTTAAACACTGAAATCTGAATGGAAAGAAATAATACTATCCTTTTCGGAGAAAACTGTTAGTAATAAAACCCCATGCCCAGGTTCAGCTGACCAATATTGTACGACCAAGATGTTTTTGGGTTTGATGGCTCGGAAAGTATGTTAGATGAGAAACTCAATGGGTATCAAAGTGACACTCCTTCACATAGAAATTATCAGCAGACTATTGTAATATTGGGGAGTTAATAACCGCTTGAATTGTAACAAAACCACATGGCCATGTCACAATCCCCCCATTAAAGGTAATTCCTTCCATATCGTGTGTACAATGTTAAATTCCATGCCGCTAAAAGACACCCAATCACTTCCATGATGTAGTAGAGATAGGGGTGTGGCTGTTCATCTCCTATTTCCCAAACTGGCATTCAGGACACCCGAAGTTAGGTGGCGCCCGGGAAGTATTCGGACAGGGGCATTGAACTGCGTCATTATCCTTCCCGCATATCCGTAAGGTATGATCTATAACAAGCGCAAATATGTCCCGAGGTTCTCACACTTGCCGACATGCTTGGCATTACTGTGATTGGTATACTGCTGAAAAGACTACTTAAAAGACTTGTTACCACATATATCGATAATAAATGAAAGCGTATTCTAAGAGTTTTAACTCAAGGAGAGACATCGTGTTTTTGAGCTGCAAACATAGCTGTGTCAAATTTGAGGTTATCCTCACTTCTTCTTTAAACGGACCGGCGAGAAGGAGCCCAGCCGAGATACTGGGCGAAGCGAACAAAGACCTGTATACGGGCAAGAGCAATGAATCCATCTCCAATACCCGGTACATTGCTTTTCCGTGTGTCAGAAATTTTGGTATAACCTACGGGCAGTGACTCGGTTTTGTGTCGGGGCTCGACGAGGACCACTTGAAGCCAGCTACTAGGACAGATTCTATCATCTCCTTCATGTATTTATTGACTAATTTATGGACACTAGTAGCAAATGGTCGCCAGATAGCCTTAGTAGAATTCACTTTCGACTTGGTAGCCTGGGATGGGGGATTGAGCTTCTACGAGAAGGTGATCGAGTATATGACTACTACTAGAAATTCACGAGTGGAGAAGCGTACGAGTCTTAGATCTAGTAAGGTCTTTGATAAGACCGGCTCATTATTGACTGCCGGACTTCTCGGCAAAATGAAACACTGTTGTTTCGATGTACCCGAGGAATCGAAAGGTCGGAAGTTTCTTCTAGGATTCAATAATGACGAATACAATGTGAGGAAATATACCAGAAGGATGATAGGCAAGATTTCTGGATTCATACCTATGGATGGAATGCAAAGGAACTATATGTGACTATCTGGATGCAAAACACAGGCAAATTCAGGGGGAAATGGGATCATGGCGGTCAGCAGTAATTCGGATATAACCCGCATCCAGGCCAGTAGGTAATGTGATATTGAAAGTGTAGGCGCTGTAATGTATCGTGCTTATGATAATAACAGGATCCTGCATCTCGAAATTACTGGCATTCATCTTGGATCTCCGGTTACTTCCAAATTCACCAGAATGTCAAATAAGATGTTTGATATTGGATGATGCGGATAGGGAATCAGATGATACCCTGGTTGGTTTAAAGAGAGGGAACTGAGAATAGCCTCAAATTTGGTACATTTACCATTTCATTTATAGATCTCGATGCCGATACTCGTTGTTGCCCCCAGTATTTTCTTACCAGACTCCAGATCTATCTTTGCTCTTCGTGACCAGGGAGAATATCATTGGAAGGCCAACCTCCCATCCCAAAGTTTGAGTTGTTGCCTGATATATCAGGCAACAATCATGAGTTCCCATCGGTTTTTGATAAACAACTTGACGTTGAAAGATATTCGATCATTGGATATTGTTGTCTCTGCTTTTCAAAATTCGTCATTATAAGCGCATCATTTGTGAACATCTCCCCATCTTTAAATATCCCAAGAGTTCTTGTATGGCCCCATTCTTAGTGCTCTTGGCGAAACATTCTAAAAATAGTCGGCATGCAAGGTTTGCCCAAAAAAGACTAAAATGAAGGGGCGCAGTTGTGAATTTAAGGGAGAGTTATGTGATATGGTAGTATTGTCAGGTCTTTCCAGTATACGGAGTAGAGCATACTAGTCATAAGATGTATGTTGAAAAGCATTGAGTGTAGTATGTTACCGCACAAGATATGAATAAAATCTGCCGGTGCCGCGCGGCATATGTGCAGTTCAACTAAAGCTGCTCTAGTTCCCTAGTGGCTGATTCCACAATTACGAAAATAAGTCAAAACATACCTAAGTGCATAGCATAATTACTAGATCCATCGGGTGTCTACTCAGCCTAGCGCCCCGCGTGGCGTTTCTTTTCTTTTTCTTTTTCTTCTCAAGTCTATCAACATCTTGAATTATTCTGGTCCTCTTTCCAGGATATCTTTTCGCTTATTTTGTTCCATAATCTCCCAGTGTGGTGCGACAACATGCGAATTTCGATATTCGCGCTTTGCACAGTGCTGTGCTCCCGGGTACGCGCCCAGCCATACGCCTCTGAAATCACGTGGATTTCAGCTACAACAACATCCGTTGAGTGTTCATGGCCACTCTCAGAGCCAACTGAGGTAGCCCAGGTCTACGGGAAACGCAGATATGGCGATATCCTCCAAGCCAGAGACACCACTGCGGCAGCAGAGGTGACGTCCACAGCCGACGCCACAACAGCCGATGCCACAACCGACACAACAGCAGCAGAGACAACGGAGGCAACCTCAGCAGAAAATACCACATCAGAAAAGACCACATCAGAGACAACAACTTCAACAACGGAGGCTACAACCGCAAGCCCCACATCTGAAACTACCACCGAGACCACCGAGACCACCGAGACATCAGAGACCCCCACATCTACCACCGAGACAACTAGCTCGACTGCCAGCAGCTCTTCGGTGGCGGCCAGCAGCACCTCAGCGACAACAAGTACCCCAACGTCAACTAGCAGTGCGTCATCGACGACGAGTGCTACTCCAACAGCGACCGGCTCCATGAGCAAAGCGGAGCTAGCCGGTTAGTCATCAAATCCATATGCCCCAGAATATCCATCGTACTGACAATACCCAGACTGGAATCACAAGGGTAACATCGCAGCGATTGTATTTGGCGCTTGTTTTATCGCGATATTCCTCGGCGTCGCCATAGCTTACTACGCGCTTGGTCGAGCAAAGGCACGACGAATTGCGGCTAACCAACTGGCGGATTCCAGTCAGTCGTACTCGAAGATACCCCTTGTGGCCGTAAAAGAACCTCCGACTGATCTTGAGGTTAACCGATCCTCTACAATGTACACCAACAACCCGCAGGCGCAATATTTCCCTGCAGGCGGCGCCCCATCAGTGTCAAATTACAGCGACACTCCCTCCGCGGTCTCTCCAATCACGGCGGATCATTCATTCCCCAGGGAGCACATACCGCGAGGACACCAATGAGCAGAATAGACAATTGTCTTGAGATGTCGAATTTGCTCGGACTTCAGTATTTACATTATTTCCACCTTTTAAGGCGTTCTGGCCCGGTCTCTTTGAAGCATGATCATGTATTTCTAGCGTTACAAAAATAAGATATGAATTGCATTGGTTCCAACCTCATGCAAGTACTACTCGGATGCCCGGGGTGGAATATATATCGTAGAAAAGCGCGTATAAGGTTTCAGGATGGAAACTCAGAGCTTAATATAGTTCAACGGACCACTGAGCCTAAAATAAGCCATATTCTCGGTATTCTACAAGTAAATACATACTTCAGGTTCATTTTCCCGAGGCGTCTTTCCTGGAAAGTTATTATTCCGTCTTCTAGCCGCGGGAGCTTCGCGAAGATCACATACAAAATCACAAGCCGAATTTTCAAAAGTAATATTCCCTAAAAGAGCCAGGCCAGTTCAAACCCGCTTTGTCGCGATAGTCTGAATAGGTTTGCCGTAGTCACTACTTGAGTTCGGCTTCTATGATGCTTTGCCCGTCACCAGGTGGTCCCCAGAATTTGATAATCTGGAAACCAGCAGCTTCTAGCAAGCGAGTCCATTGGGACTGGGAGCGCTCCATGCCGTTACAGAAAATCATCATGACCCAATCCCACATCGCTGGTAACATAGCATTATCGCGATCTGCCAGCACAAACTCTTCAATTATCAGTTTCGAGTAGCCCTGCTTCATTGCACCAGCCAGCTGGGTAAGAATGGTTTGATTGTCCTCGTCGGACCAGTCATGAAGAATGAATTTCATATAATAAATGCGAGCGCCTGGAACATATGTCAGCCATTATCCAGATGAACTAGAAGTGCACGAAGCTCACCATGAATAGGCTGTGGCTTAAAAAGGTCAAATGGTAGTTTTTCGATACGCTCCGTGTCTATAGTGCTATCTTTCAAAACATGTGGCTGATCTTCGAGCACTAAGCGACCTTTCACCTCCGGATAGCGTTCCAAAAATGCTGCAAGATCGTGGCCTCGACCCCCTGCAATATCGACCATAAGCGTCTCCGCATCAGCTTGAGCACCACCCAGAAGACGCTGTTCCACAGGGAACCATTCAAGCCAACTGGGTCGTGCGCCGCGGTCACCCTCCATGAAGGTATCGCAAAGGTCAAGTTTCTCGGGATTTTGTTCGAACCAGCTCCAGATCGATTCGTCGATCTTCTCGGCGAATTGGAATGGACCTTTAGTCACGCCCTCGGAGCTCTGGTGTTGCTGGCGACGGAGGAACTCGGGGGTTTTGGCAAGAGTGGGCATGCCAACATCAAATATTAACTTGATCACCGAGATACTGAGCCGGTCAGTCAGTTGGCGCGTCATTGTAGTTGGGATGTAGATCCGGGTGCCGCATTCGCCAACATAGTCAATTCCAACTAAGACACGCAAGACTCGTTCTACCCCAATAATTCATTGTCAGCCACCCATCACCCATGCAGTACACAAGGCCCCATGAAAAACAACATACCGACCAGGATTGGACTGGCGTTTTTCACGGCTGCCAGGTCATCGAGCGACACCGGTCCATTACGCTCCGTCAGCGTTGTGAATATACCCATGTCGAGGGCAATACGCACACACATGGCTTGAGTAGGCTAGACCCGAGTTAGCACCAAGATTAATATCCTGAATGGTCTAATAATTACAGAATATGCCAGATGATAGACCGAATCTTGCGGCTTCTGTAGTGCATTCACTAGCTTTTGCGCTGCCTTCAGGGCCGCGACGCGATCTGCCTCATCATGTTGGCTTCGGAAAGCCACCAGTGACTCCGTCACTTGGTGCTCTAGCTGGTCAATTGACTCAATGGATATAGCTGTTGCCATCGTGTTAATTCTGAATAGAAATATAGGTATGGATGTATAGGGGGAGGTTTCGGCTTCAAATGCAGCTGGAAGCGAAATTCGGAGTAAGAAATTTACGGTGATGATGCCAGGATTCCTTGGCCGTTGAGCTTTTCTGTCTCCCCCCTATTTAGATGGCTTCTCTGGTGATGCTTAAAAGTAAGGAAGTGGATGAATCACGCGGGTGTGTGTTTGGTCCATATTTGAGTTTCAAGCCCAGAGCCTGTAGGTGATGGTAGTGCAAGATGTCTAGGCGATCATTTCAAGAAGAATTGAGGTTACACCTAGTCTTTACTTCTAGAATTACCGTGAAACCAGTAGTACAAGATGTCTAGGCGATCATTTCAAGAAGAATTGAGGTTACACCTAGTCTTTACTTCTAGAATTACCGTGAAACCAGTAGTACAAGATGTCTAGGCGATCATTTCAAGAAGAATTGAGGTTACACCTAGTCTTTACTTCTAGAATTACCGTGAAACCAGTAGTACAAGATGTCTAGGCGATCATTTCAAGAAGAATTGAGGTTACACCTAATCTTTACTTCTAGAATCACGCGACCCTCCGACAGTCCTACGCAGTGGTGCTGCAACGGTCCGGCAAGAGTTCGGCGTACATGCGCTCAGAATCGAGCCCTCGACAGAAGCCAATCCCACTTGTCCGCCGTGCCCCAGATGCTGCTTCCTTGTTTTCCACTCAAACCGAGGCAAAAATCGACCGAAGAGACAGCCGTCATTCCAGTCAGGAAAGTATATTAGGGCATGTGGGAATACAGAAGACCACAGAGGTTCGCATGTCTCATTAGCCTCGGCAGATGAATGAGAGGAACCCGCATTTCCAATAATTGAATCCTTTTCGAGAGCATTAATATAAGCCCATATGTGGAATACACTCCATTTCCGTAATTACTTGACACTATTATGTGGAGACTATCTTAATGGCAGGCGTACAGCCATCACATGAACACCCTACTTCATTCAATTCCAAAAAGGCCCTCTCAGGCCACCATTGGGATCATATCGTCGCTTGAGTCCCCGTAGCTTCGGAAAGTTATCGGCATATATCTCAATACACTTGTCAGCTTCTAATTAATTGCAGAAAATTTGACATTGCTCACCTTTCTTGGGTCATTGAAGTCCTCAAGTGAATGGGTGAAGTACTCCAATTCACATTGTTCATTGTGTCCGCATATAAAGAACGGAGCCTCTCTGATCTCCCTATAAGCCAACTCTCTGCTTTCTCTGGAAGTAGATGGGGCACCAGTTCCAAGTTGCAGAATAGATTGACCGCGCGTACCCGGCCAGGCTCGCAGCGTCGGGTCTACCGAATGAAAAGCTGGCTAAACGATGTAATAAAATCAGGTCAACAAACGCAGGTTCCATTTTGATAAGGTAATCGATGATTACATACCGTCTGCATGAATTCAATCAAGACATAGGTCCCACCAAGAGAAAGAGATGGGTCCTTTCGGGTCAAACTCTCAATCCAGTCCCATGCCTTCGAAATCATTTGTTCATTGACCTGGGAAATGATGAGGCATGACTGGAAGTTTGTAGTTTTCCCTTTGGCAGCTTCAAGACGATCTTGGTTTTTATGTCAGCTCATTCATACCACAGCATCGGCATTTTCGTGTGTTTACCCCAAATTTGGTTGCACTGTCGAATTGTCATGGATCTGGTTCCATCGATGGCACCTTCAATATCCAAAGCCCAGCGGAATCCCACTGTACTTCTCCCGTGTGTTTCTCCATGTGCGTCAAAAACTTGAAGGCCAATACCCGGCTTTGGACTCTCGCCCGTATAATGACCTTGGCTAAGATCGAGGGGGAAAATGTGCATTGCCATCTTTGGATCCTTACATTCCGCAGTGAATCTTGAAATGGCCTTTGCGACGACAGAGAATGCCGACCTTGGATAGGATATTTGGCCAGAATATATTTTGTCCGGGTAGGGGTAAACTCGTAGTTTGACCTCTACCAATACTGTATATGGAATATAAGTAGACAGTTCATCTAGACCGATACGTGAAGCTTGCCTTACCTCCAAAACTGCCCCCGCCACCTCTCAATGCCCACAGTAATTCCGGCTCAGTGGACGCCCACAAAATCCTGCCATCCGTCAAGACGACCTTTGCGTCTAGCATATTGTGCGGGTCAGCACCAAGGCCTTTTTCGGATGAGAGCCAAGATATTCCGCCTGCAAGTATGGAGCCGCCAACGCCAACGTATGTGCAGCGAGCACCAACTACTGTAATTTTTATTTAACCTTTTGCACTATATATAGCAGAGATATCTGACGTACCAGCATGACCAGGAGCATTTTCCTCGATTTTTCCATCAACTTCTCCCCAGGTTTGCCCTGCACCAACAGCCACGGTCTGTTCTTCTGCGTTGTATTCGAATTTGTCAAAAGCAGACAACGAGATTAGTACATCGCTGGCAGATGAGGACCCCACCCCAGTACTTCGGATCGCCCAATCCAGATCAGTACTTGACAAAAAACAAAGTAAAGTTGCGAGAGACGAAGTAGTGCAGGGCCGAGCGATGATTTTAGGCTTCAAATCTTTCTGGGCTGCCCAAGTGCAACTCTCTAATCCGTAACGTGGAGAGTCCGGGCATATTATTTCGGAGGAAGAAAGAGGAAGCTCGGCAATAAATTTATGAGGGGACATATTTTTTCTTTAATGAAATCGAGGATTAATGAATCTGATATATTCCCAAGGAGATATTCATTTTCAATGGGAATTCTAACGTGACTGGTAAAGCAACTAAATTACGTCATACACTCATAGACCGGCCTCGAGGGCTGTGGACGTTCACCGAGAATGACAAGACCTAGTTAGGCATTGGCGGACTATTTAGAGCCATATCTACCTTGATATCAAAGATCCTGATTGTTATTTAAGGTACTTGATCCCTACAACGATAAATGTGATATAATCGCGTACTGTTGGACTTAGCTACTCTCCCGCTTTGCTCAAGTTACGTGCAGTATGATTATAATTCCATCAATCACATAGCAGATTGATTCGAGTGTTCAAGGTTTTATATATCTGAGACCAGGATATTAATGCATTACTCTAGGGCTGCATATATGGTAGAGCATATTCCTCGCGCGAGCGGGAATGGCGCATTAAGACTACTCTGTTCTGTACAGTCTCTCTCTAATCTTTTCCATGCTTATATCCAACTATTTGGATGAAGCTATTCTTTCAGGGTCATGGATTTTATCGAGACGACCATCTTAGAACGATGGGCAACAACCCCAAAACCACCTTCTGTCCTCTCGAGTTTTCACCGGCTCTGTTTTCTCGTCACCATAGTCCACGGACTCCTTAGTGAGATCAGGAGTATCGACGTAACTCTCGCGGAACAATCCAATGGATTGAACCCTCAGGCTAAATTCACCGTGTTGCTCCCCAAAGAAACTGTAAGATTAGGACCAATTTTCTGTTCCCCATCGACATAAAGCTCACCTTCGCATCATGATCCGAAACCTCCTTATATGCGACAAGTCCAACGGCCTGGCATCTTCTACCGGCTTCCCCCGATATGTCGGTCTCAGATCCTTCCATGACATACGCACTTCGCGGCCTGTCTCATTTGGGCAAAAATCATATTCCCAGACAAGAGCACTCTGTTCACGACTATCTGGCCTCTGTTGTGGAATTTCGTCTGTCAGGGAGAAAGTGTATCGTTTTCCGTCCGATGGAACAATGCGTAGCTCAACACCGTCATAGCCGCTGAGGTCCCATATTTGGTCGTTTCCGACCGTGCGTTGTGAGGCAAACCCTGCGCCGCCGAGTGTCTCAATGTCGAGGTTGCCGTGAAATATTACCCCTTCTTTGGTAGGCTCGAGTTTCGACACAGATGATCCACCACGGACGCGGTCGTCGGAGGCGGTCCAGCGATTGAGGTCCCAATCTGGACCAAAAAGAATTTGTTTATTCGTAGGGTATTCCATTGTGAATGCGGAAGGGGTTGGCAGGCGGTCGAGACTAGTGTTAGATTGTGGGATTATCGCGAGCTGGGAACTGCAATCCGATCGATCCATCCATAGATCGGTTGGTTGATTGACAACTGACGTCATTTGTTTAAGCGATAAACAAAGTCTTGCCTGACAAACAAGGCCAGAATTTAAACTAACTAACTAGTTAGTTAGTTAGTTACAGGCATCTATCAAACATTAGATATGGCGCCTCTATATTGTAGGCTCCATACGAGAGCCTTAGTTTTTGTTGTGGTCTAATGATAAAATACGCTGAATTTATTCCCACATCTATGTATCCAACGCTGGAGGTAATCTGATCTTCAAAATAACATTGGGGTATATTGACTCTATAACGTGAATTCATATCTATTAGACATCATAAGGTTTCTTTTCAACATCGTAAACGGGCGAGCATGCCAATTTACTTCTCGTTCGCAGCCATGGACCGTATACCTTGAACAAAACAGGAATAGGGATCATGGCAATCGCGATACACCCTAGCATTGTACCCGCCCATTGGACTCCCAGGTTCTCCATCATTTGCCTGGAGAAAAGTGGGAACGAGCAGCCAATAGCTGAGCGTAAGATTGTGTTCGCTGCAATGGTGGATGCAGCCCTGTCAATTGGGTTAGTCACTCGTTCTCAAGTGATAGACAAGGGTAACATACAACGTAGGATAGCAGTCAACAATATAATTGAAACATTGCAAGAAGATCAAAAAGATCCCAGCTCCGGTGAAGAGCCCTGAAGCTACGGGAGCCATCCAGTGGATAGATGAAGTGTATCCGGTCCAGCCGAACCTGTTGCATATTAGCTCTGAACACCGTACATTGTTGAAAACTTCAAGAAGGGCACTTACCAAAACATTCCCCCGGCAAAGAGTACAGCTCCGATGATGGCAGGTGGAAGGCGCCATTCGGGGATGGGCTTATCACCGTTTGCCGCCAGCTTGATTCTATATGAACCCTGTATCAGGAGGATATAAACACCGCCGAGAAGTTCGCCGATGATGATTCCGATGAATGCAAGTCCACCGACACCCATGTTCATTCCGTAGACGCCCTGAAACACCGTAGGATATGCACCTAATAGAGCATAAATCAGCCCATAGATGAAAGAGATGTACAATGAGATCAGAAGCAGTATGGGTTCCGTGAACAACATCACAATGGGTCGGGCAAAATTGTTCCGTAGAAGCTCCTTTACATCCACTTCGACCTCATCTTGCTTGGCATGGATGCCCCAATTGCGAGTCTGTCGGCGCAGGGTAGCTGCCTTGCGGACAAGGATGACTGGAGCATAAGTCTCCTCTAGGAAGGCAAAGACTAGGATAAACCCTAGGAAGACCATGATTGCAGAGATATACATCGTCCACCGCCAACCCAGAGGGCTCATTGCAATGAAGCCACCCACAAACGGTGCCGAAAAGGGCCCGATAAACACCGCCATGCAGAAAATCGACATGACGACACCCCGTTGGGTATTGTTAAACAGATCAGAGAAGACAGCTGGCACAGTTGAGATTGGGCTTGCAGAAAAAAAGCCAGCCCAGAATCTACAAACCATGATGGTCTGAATATCTTTGGCAACTGCACATGCTATGGTGAAGATAGCGCATCCGAAAAGTCCAAGAGATAGTGGCCAACGTCTGCCAATCAGCTCCGATCCCGGTGCCCAAATTGTTGGCCCGGCTGCGAAGCCAAGGACATAAAGTGTGACTCCAAGTGAGCCAATTTCGCTGCTTGTGTTGAACTCCTTGCTGAAGCCAGGAATAGCAGCCGAGAAGACAGCGCTGGTAAACGATCCGGCGAAGGTACCGTAACATAAGATGCAAACTAGCATTATTCTATTGAGATATTAGCAGGTGTATACAGATGTTGACAAGGAGGAACGATAGTAAACATACCGTCTAGATGTAGACCAATTGTAAGGATGTAAGGGATCATTGGCTCCATCAAACTCCACGACATAGCCTTCAGAATCCGGGAGCAGAGGTGGATACTCTTTGTTGGCACCCATAGGAAGCCATTTATCACGAGGAAGAGGCCCTCTCGTAGAGCCCACTGTGGTTTTTTGTTGCAGACGATAAGTGTTGATCCGGGTAAGCTCGAGGGTGTCGATTTCCTCTATTGTGTCGTCGGATTCATGGCTGCGAGAGTCCATGGGATAGTCGGTATCTGTATCATATTTGTCTGGGTGTTGGTTGATATGCTCCATTGTATGCTGTCATGTCAAGGTTTCGGGATTAGACTGGGAATTTGTGTGGGAATATACAAGGCACTGGTCGAGGAAGGCAACACAGTATATGTTCCTGTTTCGGTCAGCCCATTGATCACATTTTTTTCCTAGTCTTCGGCCTAATCCGCAATCCATTGTAAAATGGGCCCTGATTGTCGCAAAGCGACCTCTACTAGGGCTAAAAATTAGTTTTAGTAGATCCATACTTTTCCGCTGTGGCTTTAAATTCTTTAAATATCCACTATCCAGTCATATTGCCCCGGTAGTGTAAGTCAGCGACCAGTTAAAAGTTAGCTCAGGTCGGCTAGGATCGGAGGTGTGGCTGGCATCCGCTGTAAAAGTGGTCCACCGAGGATAAGCGATCATAGCCGTTATCAATTTTGTTTCAGGCGAACGAAAACTCTTCAATATGTTGTTTTCAGGCTGAAATTAATCAACAATGACAACATGTTTATATTGTAGACTGCCTCCAGACCGATTCCGACTCGCCACGTGAAACCGGTTTGGCGTGTTCCCCGTGCCGAAGCCGTCGAGGCGGACCGGGACCCAGTTAGTTCCACTATCTTCGGGATATAACTCGGTCAAAGCCGCTTAGTACAGATGTATATGTTAATCAATTCTCTCATATACCGATTTAGTCGAAAGAACACTGCCAGTATTTTGCAACAAATCGATTTCCTTGCTTGGTGATACCTATTATATACGACGATCACAATCTTCCTCGTGTAGCTTCTTACAGAGGTCTTTCAGTGTCCACCCAGCCCAGTCGAAGTCGCTGGTCTCAAGATAGATTTGCCCGCTCAGTCGAACCCACCAAGATCCCTGAAAAGGGAACACTGGCATGAATGTGTTGTATGACTTGATCATCGTCTGCTGCATCCATTCAGTCACCGTAGTGTCGGGCTTACCTCGTTCTTTGACCAGACTACCGTCTCCCGAGGTAGGTTTCTGGATAGGAAGGAGGATGTTAACCATGAAGCAGTCTGTCGAAGTATGGGCAGTGTTGTCCAGGATCACGGTTCCTAGAATATCTGCAACCCTCTGTCCACCGGTGCGGGAAAGTTGAACACAGTAATTCCGAATCTCGGTCTCGCTGCCGCACACCCTCTGTCTCCACCGGATGGCTTCAGGGACTGCTAAAAATGAAAAGTTGTCGGCTGTTCCAACGAATTCGAAATTGGAAACGAATTCTGTCTTTTCATTCGCTGACTCCTTGAAATAAACACGAGATCCTTGCGGCCGAGGAATGAACCCGTGACTTGTTGGTAGAGTGCTTCGCATCATGGCTTGGTTGCGCTCGGGGACGTAAAATACAGCACATGAGCGAGGAGTAAACAGCCACTTATGGCAGTTGCTGATCAAGAAGTCTGGATCCAACGAGGATAGATTGAGATCGATTTGCCCAATTCCATGGGCAGCATCAATCAGACTCAGTACACCCTCTGAATGGCAGAGCGCTGTGAGTTCCTCGAATGGAAGCCGAAGACCCGGGTTGGATGAAACTGTGTCAAAGATAGCAATGCGCGGGCGATAACCTTCCCTGCGTGAATCGCTAATCGCTTTTCGAAATGCAGAAACCATCTCAGAGTCATCAACTGGATGTATGAAACCAATCTCTCTAGTGCGAACCCTGTCTTCATTGGCCTCACAAACATAATTGGTCGTCTTGCCACATGCTCCATATATGATATCCAACTGAAGAATCTCATCTTTTCCATCACTACTCCATACCATGTTTCGAATAACTGTATTGACTCCAGTGGTTGCGTTCGGAACAAAGACAATGGTTGACTCCGGTACACCAAGGAAGTTACTCATGGCAGCCCGTGATTCGTCCAACAGTTCAGGGAAACGATATTTGATGAAGGGACACGGAGTCGCCTCGCATTCATCGCGTAGTTCATTTGCTTTGTTGCGAATAGCGATAGGTGACGCTCCAAATGATCCTAAAATACGCGGTGAGCAGGTGAATATATAGGAACCCGCATCTCTCTTACCATGATTCAGGTTTCGATAACCAGGAGCAAAGGAAAAATGCCGACGCATTTCATGTCCAAATGGTGTTGGCTCATATTGTGACATTTTTTACGTCTGCTGTTGGAGATTTGAAAGGAGTTCGCGACTTATTTCCCCCGCACTTCCCACTTTCTCTACAGAATACAACACAAGGCTCGGACCTCGGACATCCCTACGATAAGCCCGCCGATCATTGACTGGGGGAATATTGGCCCCAACATCATTTCCCTAGTGATTCCGACCCTTTTGATCCTCCAACCTCTCAGCTGTCACTCCGCATACTACCTAGGTAATCCCCACTGTCTATCCCCACAGGTCCGTGCATTCAATACAAAATATCCAATACCCCGGAAGGGTCAGTACTTTCACTATGCGACCAGTCTCGACAGGCCGCAGCACCTCTCTTGAACAAGATACAAATTCCAGACCACTCATAAAATATGGAGGAATACAACAAAAAGAGAGACGATATGAAACATCATGAACGCACCGAACCCGACAAGGGGGTCAGGATGCCGATGGAAATGGGCACCTTACAGCGCCGGCTCAAGTCCCGCCATATTCAATTCCTTGCTCTCTCTGGGGCTATTGGGACTGGACTCTTTGTGGGCACAGGTCAGATCCTTTCGCTGGCTGGGCCATTATCGATGGTGCTCGCGTATCTCATCACGGGATTTAATCTCTACGCGGTGATCAACAGCATGGGTGAAATGGCGACCTGGCTTCCATTACCTGGCGCCGTTCCCGTGTATGCATCTCGATTTGTTGATGAGGCCCTGGGCTTTACTCTGGGATGGAACTATTGGTATCAATTTGCTATTGGTGTTCCGATTGAAATAAGTGCAGCTGCTCTTGTGATCGACTACTGGCCTAACAACATTTCCTCGGCCGTGTGGATTACGGTACTCTATGTGAGTATTTTCGCCCTCAACTGCCTTCCTGTTCGGATCTATGGTGAACTCGAGTTTGTGCTTGGCTCGATAAAGCTCTTAACTATTGTGGGTTTGATGTTGCTCATGCTCATCATCACGCTCGGCGGAGCTCCGACACATGACCGGATAGGGTTCCGCTACTGGAAAAACCCGGGTCCTATGAATACCTATCTAGAGGATGGATCCTTAGGGCGCTTTCTGGCGTTTTGGAAAGTTTTTATTCAGGCAACTTTCAGCTACGGGGGTAGTGAAATGGTTGTCATCGCCGCAGGAGAGACAGAAAATCCGCGGCGGAATATCCCCAAAGCCGTGCGGCGTGTTTTCTGGCGAATTGCCATCTTTTATGTTGGCAGTGTTTTCCTTGTCGGTCTATGTGTCTCATCTCAAGATCATAGGCTGCTCAACGCCATTGATGCCGGCGCGGCAGGCGTGGGGGCAAGCCCTTTTGTCATTGCAATCGAGAATGGCGGTATTCCGGTGCTACCATCCATCATCAACGCCGTTGTTCTCACATCGGCATTTTCAGCTGGCAATTCTTTCTTTTATGCCTCGACTCGAATACTATATTCCACGGCATTGGATGGGAAAGCGCCTCGGCTGCTCCGATTCGAGAAATTTGGAGTTCCATATGCCTGTGTTGCGATCACTGCTGCTCTGAGCTTACTTGTGTACCTCAATGTTGCATCAAGCTCAGCTGAAGTCTTTTTCTGGATTAGCAACCTGAGCTCTGTGAGCACATTGATCGTGTGGTCTTCAATTGCTGCGACATATGTTCGTTTCTATCAAGGACTTAAACACCACGGCATCCCGCGGTCCACTCTTCCATTCCAGTCACCTTTCCAGCCGTTCCTGGCCTACTTTGCAATAGTATTCTCCTTGAATGTGGCATTCTTTAATGGCTTTGATGCTTTCTTTCCTGGTCATTTCAGTGCCAAGACCTTTATCCCGCCTTACATTGACATTCCCATATTTGCTTGTCTTTTTCTAGGTTACAAATTCCTGAAAAGAACAAAGTTTGTCAAGGTAGAGGACATGGATTTCTGGTCTGGAAAAGAAGAGATTGACCGACTAGAATCCGTGTGGGAAGAGCCAAAGCCTCGCAACTTTCTTGGTACGTTCACCTCTTTCTTTTTCTTCCTTTGGCAGCTTATTACAGATACTGACGCACATCCCACAGAGCGAATATGGTTCTGGATTGCGTGAGCTTATAAGCCGCTCGGTGCAATGGCCAATCACTTTCATCGACGTCCCGCATCTTGCTCCCACCGACGGGCTATATACAATATCAATTGCAAGCTCTAGTGGGTATAAACTCAATACTTTTGATCCAATATGCTGCGCGAAATCTTTTCACGCGGCCATTGTAACATGTTTATTTCTTCGCTTGTCATATGACAAGTCTATCATAATATAATATGTCCAGTTGCTCAGCACCAAATAACTTAAACTCCAAATGCAAAAATACACAATAGCCAAGTAAACGATGGCCACACACATGCTAGCGGGATCAACCACCAAACATCATGAAACTCATGAGTCCAATCCAGCCAGCCACGAAAACTGCAGTCACGATGCCAGCCCCTGCCCTGTCAGCAGTTGTGATTGCAGTCGTCTTTTGACTGGAAGCAGTAGTGTCATCTTCACCTGCTGTTGGATTGCTAGTACTGTTTCCGCCAGTGGTCGAGGTCACCGGGGCAGTCTTGTTAAAATTGATCAAATTCGCGGTGAAGACTTTTGTCGCGCTGATCTGTTCTTCCATTCCCATCCAGCCGTCCCATGTAGACTTATACCATCGGACACCACAAGTACCATTGCTGTGACCAGTACAAGATGCAGCGGCTGCCTGACCCGATGTTTGTAGCTTCGCGATAATGCTGTCAAATGTTGATGGGACAAGTAGAGCAGTGAATGCCAACCAGGTAGAAGTCAATCCTTTGAAGAGGATCTCGTTGTTATTACAGTTTTCTGCAGGCTCGCAGTAATAGTCCTCAATGATGCCACCGGTGATGAAAAATTTGTCAAATGTCGCATTCAACAAGCCATTGACTGCCGTCAGCCATTGCGACTGAGTAGTTCCATTTGTCTGTAGGCAGTAGTGGACCTGGTTAGTCTACATTCTTTGGGACAACAATGAAACGGGACATTTGAAATGGGCATCTCTCACATAGTTGTACATATACGCTGCTCCCATCAGGTAAGTGCCGTAGTTATACGTCCATTGGGAATTTCCCTGAGTTGCACAATCATTATCAACATTGGTAGAATCGGCAACATTCCACGTTGAGTTGCTAAGCAGAGGTGACGAGAGAGACCAATCCCAGATCTTGTTGGCCCACTGGAGATAGATTGCATCTCCAGTATAGCGGGCCAGACGCGCAGATAACTGGAACAACCCCCCATTCGAGATGGCATTTTTCATTGCATAGCCTGACTGGTAGGGCCAGATTTGCCACCGTAGGCCACCGCCACATGAGGATGTATCCCATCTTTTGATCTGTGTATTGAAGACGCCCTGGGCTAAAGAGAGCCAAGAGAATCCAGTCGGGCGGTCCGGGAATGAGAACTCGGCAGCGGTCATAGCTGCTAAACCCCAAAACATTTGGTCGTCGTTTCCCTAGTAAATGATTGGTATTAGCTCTTATTGTCTTTCGAGAGTATGACGTCGCTCACCAAATAAGAACTGTAGTTGCTTGGCATATAGTCCCCGTCCGTGCCTGACTGCCATTGCAATCCAACACTTAGCTCCTCGTTGTATGTTGTGTCGCCAGTAAAGTGCCAGTATTCTAAGAGTGCAAGAAATAGTGGAGCTCCTTCCCACCATTTGTCTGGAAAGGCTCCAGGTATTTGACCGGTCTCGTTGCCGTAATAATATTTCATCATGGCGTACGTCGACGTACTCGCGGCGTCTTTGATCGACTCTGTGATAAAATCAAACGTTAGCTTCTCATTGCCGTTAGTAATTGACATGGAATGAGAATATAATCTCTGCGTACGTTCACTGCTGATATCTAAGTCGATTGCGTGTGCTGCGCTGGAAAGTAGTAATGCAGCGACAGCACCTCTAAAGGGGGACCACCCCCGGAGCAAGTACATCTTATGAAGGTGATGTACGGGAAATCGCACAAATTTCACCAATGAAAGATATCAGAGAAGAGATGTGGAATGTGCTCAAGAGACATCAAGGAATGGAAGAAAATATTTTCAAATTGGAAATCACGAACCATTTCCGCCGTGCCATTTTTAAATATAGAAGGGCATGCGTAATCCTCGGCGCTAGCGTCGTCAACTGTTTCATTGTGGAGTATAAAGCCTGTGGAGACAAAATGCCAAGCTTTTACAAGCTTTCTTGGTTTCGAAATATCTGATCTGATCTTGATCGTCGCATTAGACTTGGCCATGTGTCTCAGATCTCTTCGCTCTTGCACTAGAGTCTTCGGTCAGCCTTTCCGAAACTGCCTGTGACTAAAAACAAAGCTCACTATTCGTGCACCGGGAGACCTTCTAATACCTTCCTGCTTGCTCAAGAGTGTAGGCAAATACTCTCATCACCACGTAGGTCTAATTACATTTATATGAAAGCCTAGCAGAATATATCAAGATTATATCAATTTCTCCTGGCTTCCAGCTAAGGTTCTTGCCATTCTAGTCGGTTCGTTGGAGATGGAATTCATTTGCCTTCATATTTGCTCCGGTCGCATATTTTCCAGCGGGATTCACAAATCAGACGGATTTTGGGATTCTTCCTCGCGGTTGTGGGAGAGTTCCCTTCTCCAGCGGTACCCCCGGTAGAAAACAACCCATAAAGCAGGACTACCCAATACCCAAAGGCCAGCGATGAATGTAGCTGTCCATCCAATGCCGATGGATTTGATGAGGGGTGACGCAATAGCCGTGGCTCCAGCGCCCATAAGACAGCGGAATAAATTATTCGCTGCCGCAGCAGTGGCGGTGTTTTGGTAGTTGATATCGATAACCAAAGTAGTCAAGGTATTGAATGCACTTGTGGTTGTAAGACCAGTGAAGAACAACATCACAAGGGGGCCAGTCAGTGCAGTGCGATATTGCATCACCCAGCCGTACGCTAAAATGCAAAGACTGGCCAAGTATATCAATGGGAGAGTGATTGCCAGGCGTGCTCGTTCAATGTTGAATTTTTCGATTTCCTGCTGTCGGTTCTTTTGAATGGCCATTCCCTGCAACAGTGCCTCGCGGCGGAAATTCCAGTCCAAAAGTCGACCAACTACCCAGCGCGAGCTTGTGCTTCCGATGCCCATGGGAAGATAACACAGTCCAATTTGGATAGAGTTGAATCCAAATCGTCCCTCCAGCTCGGTCGACAAAGTGCTGAGAACTGTCATGTAGCCTGCGTACAAAAAGCATCCATACAAGAGAACCAACCCCATCTCTTTCTGTGTAGCTATCAAGAGAGCTGAAAACGGGTTTGGGCGCTGCTTCAGTTCCTGGATGGTAGAGTGATCGGGGGTCGCTTGTTCGTTATGGAATCGTGATTTTCGTACGAATAACGTCCACAGTGGGCGATTCCACGATGCCGGCGGCACTGACCCATTGCCCACGACAGCTCGACATGTCTCAGGGAAGACAAAGAGGATCACGACAAAGCAAACGCCCGATAGGATGACCAGGAACCAAAATATTGATCGCCAGCCCAGAAAATGGTCCAACAGCCCACCGATAACGGGGCCAAGCGTCGGTCCTAGGGCGATTCCAATTCCAGCGTATCCAATGTACTTTCCTCGCTCAGCGCGGGTCGAGAGATCGGATACCACTGCGGTGCCCAATACAATGGTGCCACTACTTCCCGATGATTGTAAGCAACGCAAAATAATCAAAGCCGCGAAGTTATTTTGCAAAGCGAGGCCGATATTAGCTCCGAGATAAATGACAAATGCAATGATATATGCAGGACGGCGCCCATGGATATCAGAAAAGCTGCCAATGAAAGAAGGTGCCAGTCCTTGGAATATCTACAGATAATCAGCTTCATATCCTCTCTATAGCTCGGTGGACATTACCAGGTATGTGGTGATAGTCAAGTTTATCAGCGACACAGAAACTTTCATGTCGCTAGCCAGGGATGGGAGCGCCGGCAGATAAATACTGCTGGAAAGAGGTGAAATTAGGGCCGCAAAAGATCCCGCCATGATAACGAAGGCCTTTTCGCCAGTTGGCAGGACACTATAGACGGGCACCAGTTCATCGTCGATTGGTTGTATTTCTTGATCAACTTCTTGTTTTTGTAATTGATTTGGATTCAGGCTCTTGGGGTTTTCTCCATCGATCTCATGTCCTACCTCGCACAAGGGCGATGGACGCGGCTTTGCTGTACAAGAATCTGGGTGCACAGACTGCATGGCCAGGAAGTTTATATTGAAAGGTCATTTTTAGGAGCCCAGAAGTTATATATACATCTTTTTCATCGCGATCGCGCTTTATTTCAAGCTTTATTTTTGTTTCTTCTAGCGTTAACGGACCGTCACCGGGATAGAGAAGAGCTGAGTGGAGCTGCGTTCGGGCCTGTTGATGTTGTGATCACGTGATAGTATATGTCTGGGTGCCTTAGGCAGGGATATATATATTCTCCACATTCCGAAGGGTTGACATTTTGTGACCATAAATCCGGAAGTGATATATTTCTTCCCGAGACTCAATTATATCCGATATTAGGATTTCTCTTGCATAAGATTCTGGCCTTGGAAGAAGTCCTCGAAAGAAGTCCGGGATTGGCATCTTGAAGATCCACTGCCCCCACTTAGCAGGACGTTGAAATTGTAACAAACTTAATATCTCGTGTTAGACAGTTGAGGTTGGTCAAGACGGGTCGCTACTCCAGACAGTTTCGACAGGTAGGGAACCCATTCCCCGCTTAGAGTTAGAGCATTGCTCAATGTGCAAGGATTTCCCCAGCAGGCATTCAGCATTGAATATACTATGACGACTAAAGGCGTTATGCCACTCATGTGAGCCTTGGAAGCTACCTATAATGTGAAAATGAGAGATTTTATACAAATTAATACACTTCCATTGGAGTCATGTATGGTATTATGGTTATTTTTCTCTACTAATGAGATCTCATCGACATATATCCTTGTAAATTATAAAAACAAACTCTCTTTCTTCCTTGCACTTTAACTCAGCTCGTATACATAACCGTAGAACTTCTGAGATCCGTGGATGCTTCTTTCTCTACATTCTTTGGCTTTTAATATACACATTTTGATGAGGCGAGGAGTAGAGAGAAGAAATGACTGATTCTCTACAAAAAAGAAAACAGGAAGCTACCTAAACAGCTAGGTGAGGTCTGGCAAGATAAGAAACTGAAGAAACAGGAGGCGAGAGAATAGAAATCAGATTAACAACCATATTTGTCCATGATAGCTCGAAATGACGGGTCATGTAAAAGCTGAGTTGCAGTAAGACGTTTTTCTGGAGAATATTGAAACACTTTGCACATGATAGAAAAGACATGCTGTCGCTCGATCGGATCAGCATCGGGGCGGAATTGTGCAATTGTTGAAGCAAGATTATGCTTTGGATTGGGCGTTTGAGATTGGTCATACCAGAAATCATCCACCCCGGGGCGGATATAAAGACCCTTCCAATCTAATGGAAGCGGCCCCAGACGGGCAACGCAGCCAGCGATAATCCCCCCTGGGATCCAGCTTGGTAACGGCGGAAAACGAAGATAAAGCACGGAGAAGACGACCATATAACTCCACATATCACAGGCAAGACTTGGATCTTTCCCATGAAGACGTTCTGGGGAGCAATAATCCGAAGGGGGGAACCCCATTTGAGTCACACTATCGCTAAGCTTCTTCGCTAGACCAAAGTCTCCGAGATAGAATTCCTCCGTGCGTAAGTACTCAGGGATCTGAAGTGGCTGAACAAGCTCTCCTTTCTTCGAAAGTTCGACATATGGTATGCTTTGCTTTAGTGGCCGACCGAGTGCCTCGTATTTCGCACTCCTGCTGAGATTATCGAGAGGAGCCATCCCCCACATACAGTTTTGCTCATTTAGATCTAAGAAATATTCATTGAAATATACATAATAACATAATATGAAGATTACATAATAGAAATGGACGGAGGGGAGATAGTCACTTACCACGGTGTACAATCCCTGCTTCGTGTAAATTTTCCAAGGCTCCTAGCAGTTTCCGAGCAGCGGACATGCGACTAGCCATCGATATTTTTTCGAGGCAATAGGGTCAATACATGGGCCCATCAAAGGAAGCACTAGCACTCTATGCTTGTTTTCGGGGAGAAAAAAAGTCCCTAGAGGTAGCACCAGATGAGAGGTATCCTGCACATTCTGACGGATTTCGCCCTGCATGCGGTATTCGTTTTCCCCCCAGTCCCCTAAACCCATGACTTTAAGGGCCACTTCCCTCTTCTCCTGGAGGTCATGAGCCATCCAGACAGTAGAGCCGCCGCCAAAGCCGAGTTTATGCTCAATCAAATATCTCTCGTTAAGCACTTCTCCGAGATAAATGGGATAGAAAACATTCGGCGTTTCTTCTATTTCGTATATACTCCATGGCTCTGCAGCTTCTTCGAGTTCGAACACCTCCTCTTCATTGCTCGCAAAGTGGCCAAAATCCGATGTGCCATCAGGCAGCGGTGCTATTCCAGTCATTTGAGGCGAGTATATGTCAATGCTAGAAGGGGTGCCGATGGTGAATTTCCACAAGTATCCAGGGACAAAGGCGACACTAGGTTGGCGATATGGCTCCTTACACCGCTACACCACCGTTTCCACCTACGGGAGTGGACAGCGACCACCTCTTGATTTTTCTTTCAGACACTCACCTCGGTCATGTGTCTACAAAGTTCGGGGTCGCATGTACTCCTTTCTGAAAGTTGAGGTTGTCAAATTCTCCAATAAGAAAGCCTGCGTCTAGGATTGCTACTGCGGGCTGTATAGTGAAAGACGTATGCTTTCGTTAATATAATAATTGTGAGAGAAAAGTGAGATTCTAGATTTTAGTGTAGGAAACGAGGCTAGAGACTCTAATAGCGTATACACCATAGTAGGTGAGGTTAACATATAGTAATAAACTACCTCAAAATGGGCTGATAGATAAATTTGTATTATAACTAAACATATCTTGGTTTTATATACTTATTGGGCCGATTTTTTCCGTGGCAGAATAGGTCAATGATTCAAAATAGACCGTGGTTACGGAGAGGTCTAAAAGGGTCTATACTGAGGGCAAATTCAGGGATTGGGGCATCAAACGGGCCTATACGACCCTGGGCGCTATGTCCCCTCCCTTTGTATATGTCTAACACTTAGCGAGGCCTAGCTTGCATTTGTTTCTTATTAGTACACTCTTTAACTAGTCTCCCTACGTATCGACTTGGTTTATTCCTCTTCTTGGCTCTACTGCTAGGGTCTGAATTTGAGACACTGTGACCTGTCTAGCCTGTTACGAACCCATCAACCTGATTTAAGCATAATATATCGGTTGGCACATATCTCGTAATACTTACATTCAACGAAGACGGATCAGGACAAAGCCATCATCCCAGTCAGTAGGAATAACGGATGTACAAAAGTAGCGAGGTCATCCTCTTTCAATCAAATGGTTCCAAACCTCGTTTAGACCGGGGCCACTGGAGTATACCAGTTTCTTGTAAATTAGCTTGCATTATCACAAAGAGAATTCGATTCCTTTCATGGATAAACTTGGGTCAATTCGATCCACAGCCTCTATCGGAGATAAAGGGGGTTGAAACCAAGCAGGTGTATAGATATGGACTTCGTTTCCATGAATCCTGAGATTTAATCATTTCGAATCAAACTTATACCATACACTTTGGCTCCCTATTTTTGTTACATGGTTTAAAGCTCTCTGCAGAACTAGAGCCATATCATGTTATTCACAAATTTTCTGCCCAACGATGCCGATGAAGGCACGATTGATGACATTGCCATCCACTGGGGCCCAAACGGACTTACCCGCTTGGTCCAAAATGCTGAGGCATTTAATCTACCTCAAGTCGATTTGAAACATGCTACAGAGCATGTGGCTCACGCGTGTGCTAAGCGACTCGGTAAATCCAGAGTTCGTATCTCGTATGCCGTCACAACATTCATATTACGCTGAATCGGTCTAGTTCCCCAATTGCTCTTAGGGGATCATTTCATCTTTTTACGTCAAGCAGATCAGGCGTCTCTTCGAAGGACTCATGTCATTGTACAGTCGGACTTTTCCCAGGTAACCTCAAAAATCCATATATATGTAGACCTCCGCCTTGGGTTAGAGCTCAGCGATATGGCAGTGCTGGGTGAAAGCGTTGTTTTGTCGGGCCACCGCAATAACCGTGTTCACAGGCGCCCATTGGTGAGCCTACTGGTGAGCCTACTAGTTACCACGACTAGAGGCCTCGAGAGCGTTCTTGAAAGCTGTGAGGTTGAAGAGCGCTGGTGATGCTAGGCGAGGCTCCCTGAACATCTTTTTATCCAGATGGTGCTACGAAGAAGGTGTCATGTCTGATGCTGACCATCTGGTGACTTTCCGAGTATGTCTTCCAAGGTTGCATTTCTCGCAAAGTGGTGCGTTCCTGTGGCACCTGACAAGTGATTTTGGGCTATGTTCAAGCCATCTATTTATACGCCAATATATATATGTCATTCAGTTGCGATATATACCTCAGTGTATATGGATGTCTGACTCTGGGAAGCAGCGAGAGTGATGTTAGGATTTGCGGGGTTGATCTACAGCCGAACACATTTTTTTGTTTGAATATTCTATTGGCTAGTAAATTATATTATGACATGATCGATACCGTATTCAGAAGTGGGTAGAACTATGTGAGAGGGAGAGATGATTACTGGGAGTCTTATTACAGTAGAGAGAGATTTTCGCCTCAAGTCTTTTGTTGTGGTTGGTGCCCTCGGGATCAGGCATCGACCCCTCAAATAACTAACTAGGTAACTAGATGGTTCGGGGTTTGCTCCTTCCCCAATACAACTCTCTCCCTCCTTTCTCTCTGGGCCTTCTCAGTAGTCCCAATATCTTTCAACGTAAGATATCACATTACGACCTCGGATCCTAGGGGATCTGAATGTCAACTTTGGAAGTGGGCAATAGAAACAGCACATGGCGGAAATCTGGGGTAGCTCTCCACCTTCTCCACCTTTCGTCATCCTCTCTGTAGATACCATGAAATCAGGCCCCTACCTCCCCACCCTCCCAGTTGAGCTGGTCGAGTTGATCGCAGGCTTTATCGATGAAGATAGTTTAGTAGCACTACGTTTAGTTTGTCGCAAGCTCCAGAGGAAAACGTTCCATCACTTTGCGCAGCGATTCTTTTCATCCATCAGGACCGACCTCTCGGGAGACAGTCTACGCCGTATCAATGCTCTCTCGCAAAACACCGCGTTACGGCCTTATGTGAACGGATTGGCCTTCATGCTCCAAAATGGGATCGGTCGCGGCTTGATATGGGACCGTCATCCATGGGGTCCTATCTCCGCTCCTCTCGAGGTCGAGGCGATTCGCTCTCTGCGTGATAATTTGATCCACAACTTGACTAATTGTCGATCATTCTTTATCTTTTGTCGATACCCGGAGGGTCATCCAGATATGAGCCATGTCACCACCACGGACGCTGTTGCCGTGTTCTTTGCTCTGGTTGTCGATTCTCTGCCGGTTTCGTCATTCCATCTTATCTTTGCCAACTCCCGCTCCCGTACCTTGATCATGGACATGCGTCGTCTTCCCAAGCTCCTCTATCGTCAACCGGAGTTCAAGATTGTGTGGGGCAATTTACAAGAACTCTCTTTAGAACAATATCTCATGTTGGATAATTTCGGCTTCCTGCTTGAGTTGGTTCTTAGCGCCCCAAACCTCCAAACCCTCCTGTTAAAGCTCGGCTCACACGACTTGGCATCTGAATTCATGCATGAACTGGCTGAGAGCGCCAGCTTTTCCCAACTGCGCGAATTCGCCTTGTTCCGAACATCCATACGGGGCCCCGATCTCCACAAGTTACTCGGCAATATCCGCCCAAATTTGACTTCACTCACACTACACCATGTTTCCCTAGCACCAGGGAGCGATTGGACTCCAGTCCTCAAGGAACTGAGTCAAGGGTTTTTGGCTTTGCAAAGTATCTCGTTATATTATCTGTGGGACGGTACGCCTGCTAAGGGTCTCTTAACCTTTCCGGACATTCCAAAGACACCTTCACTATGCACCTCAAAGGGCCAGCATCTCAATATATTTTACTCTGAAGATATCAAAACACCCACTGTTCTTGGGGTCGAGTATTCTGGGTCGGAGATGTTACATGTGTTGAATTTGTTGCCGACAAAGACTGCAAAAGCTTGCTCACAAATAGAGCAGGTTACTGCTATGTGATATTTGTATATCCTGCACTCCAGGCTTGTTTGAATTTTTTTCTTTTTCCGCTGAACATACTTCCTCGGAGATTCCGAGGAACATCTGCTTTTTTCTGTTTTCTCATATTTAATTCACAAGTTCTGTTTGCAATATAGCGACGCAATACAAAGAATTTACGAAAGCTGAAGCCTTTCTTTTGTGTACTTGTTCGTAATTTATATGATGCTCCGGCCAAATGCTTTGGGGGATATTATATTCGCGGTGTATGAGGTCAAGTGCGACTATACAACAGGCGGTAATGAGAAATCAGCAGAGATGATTCTTCAAACCGCAATTACCACTATATTTAATGGACTTTGTATTCGAGATCTCAAAAGGCCTTTCTTTATATAGCAAGTGGGCTAACGGCTTCTTCATTTACAAGCAAAGCTGTCGGTCTTAATATAAATCCACATCATCCCCTAGGCTACATGGAACCCTTCATCATCTCAAACACCCTGAGGCTTGAGGGTCACTTTCTCCACATTCCTTCCTGTGACTTCGATCAGGGTATTCTTGATGTCTCCCTTGAATGAAACAGTCAACCGGAGCTGTTCTTTCGGCCAAAGAGTCACATAGTTGTCAGACCAGTAGACCGGTGCGATCTCCGTGTTATCGAGTTTATTGATAGCATTCAGACGAATGAAGACTGCCGGTCCCGTAGATTGGTTTTCGAGCACGACCTCAGCATGAGTCAGCCCATCATCTGTTGGAGACTTCATCTCCAGGGTCTGCAGTGGCATATTTTGTAGTGAAGCCTTCAAAGTAGCCGGTTTCAGTGTCTGCAGCTTGGTGTATTTGGCAAATTTGGTAACTGGTGTGGTGAACCAATCAGACTTGGACCAGTCCAAGACATCAGTGGTAGGAGAGAGCCAGTAGACATTGCGACTAAGGACAGCTTTGGATTTGGGATCACTCAGTGTGAGACGGAGGAAGCCAATATCTTTGAGCTTTTTAACTCCCGCAAGTGAAGCCACCACTTTTGAGGAATGAGGCGTTGTCTTGCTGTCCACTGTGGTTGCGGATAGTTCTTTGCCATTTGAATCAATGAAATCAATCTTGATGTGCCGGTTTCCAGTCTTTTCAAGCGAGTGGTTAATCAACCAGATGTTCTCGTTCTGGTAATCATAGGCCACGTGTTCCTCCCGCGCTCCAACCTTGGTTCCGAAGTAGGCTCCGATAGGGTTGAGATAGTAATCAAACAATTGCCAGTGCAGATTTGGCCAGGCACTGTTCAACATCCAATATATAAGTCCCGTGGCAGGTCGAGTGGCATTTTGCTGCGTGCTGTATCCCTCAAATTGGGATCGGGTGGCCTCATAATCTGCCATCTGACTTTTGATGACGTAGTCTTCCAGGCTAGATGGCTTTCCGTATCGGGCAAAGAGAGCCTTGTTGTAGAGCGAACGGTCGTAGAATTGCGAATCATAACGGGACATGTGATATTGCTCTGCATCTGGTTCTTTCCAGAGTGTTTCCAGATCAGCATCAGACATGAACTTTTTCATGCTGCCCATCTCGGGTGTTCCAACTCCGGCGCCCAATTCAGATCCAAAGCCAAATGCCGCTCCTTCTTTGTTGTTGTACCAGTAATTCGGGGGCACCCAATCGTACGGGCCATCCATCTTCATTCCGGATGGTCCAAGAGCGTCGGGGTAACCACGCTTGCTGGCTGATGCAATGATTGGGTTGGGCCAATCCATAGCCTTAAGGGCATCGAGATAAATTTTGGTGGCCTGGTCATTTGGCCAGAAGTCAGAGCCAACCAAAAATCCAAGCATTGAAGCATGGCTTTGCATCATCTCTGCCTCGTGCAGCATTGACGCCTTCGCAACGGGGTAATCTGCATTTCCCCATTTGACACCGTCGGCCTCATCATTGTACTAGAATTTCATTTGTCAGTAGTCTGCCCCCTCAGGTAGAGACTTGAAAAGACTTACCTCCCATCCTTCCCATTTATCACAACATTCCCATCCCGCCAGGACCATCATGCCCATTTTATCTGCGAGGTCATAAAGTTCTGGGTGCTCCTGCTTTCCCTCCAAGCGCACAGTATTGAGTCCCATGTCTAACATGTAGGCGAAAATCTTCTGTACCCTGTCAATATCGAATCTCATAAAGATATCCGGCCCATATCCAGCTCCGATGACCTGGAAAGGCTCGCCGTTGACAGAGAATTCGGTATCATTGAACTTGTTCAACTTGGAAGATACATGGCGAATTCCAAATTGTTGGCTAATTGAACTATCTGACACCATTTTCTTGGGTTTCTGGATGATGGCGTCGGCCTGTACTGTGTACAAAGGTTGCTGACCCCAACGGGCAGGCCACCAAATATCAGGGTTCGCAATGGTCGCAGTTATAGACACCGTTTTCTTCTCGTTTGACTCCAAGTCAAAGGTCCCGCTAATTGGCATAGGTGCGGAGCCATCTGGTCCTTTGACGGTGCCCTTGACCATTACCTGCTGAACAGTTGATTCGTGGTTGATCAAATCAGTTCGGAAGGTGACTTTGACAGGCTTGGAGTTGGACTGAGTAAAATCGGTGAGGACGCGGAACGGCGACATTGAGACCGCTCCAGTCTGAGAAATTTCCACGTTTCGCCAAACGCCGGTGCCATTGTCGGCTGGGTAGGGATTCCAGTCCACAAATCCCATAGCAAGATCGCGAAGATAGTTCGTTGGGAACGCACGAATGAGAAGACAATTGGCTCCTTCCTTGACATGTTTGGTCAGATCGTACTGATGGCCGCCGTAGGAGCCTTGCTGATCGTCGCTCGATGCAATGAGCACTCCATTCAGATAGATGTCTGCCTTGGATGTAATTCCGTGTGTCTTTAGGGTGAAATGCTGGCCGGTGGATGGGCTCAACGTAAATTCTTCTCGATAAAACCAGGGTGCGTCGAAGGTGGAAGGATCAGCAATATCATCCATATTGTCAGAATAGAACAATTCCGTCTCGTTGTATACCCCGTTCTCAATAAGCCCGGCCATGACAGTGCCACGAGCACCAACCCGATACCATGATGAGACGTCTTTTCCTGGGGTGGAGAGTACATCCAGCTTGCCTGATACTTTTGTCGATGATTGGAGGTGCCATCCCGGGATAGCAGCAATGTCACCGGCAGAGGCGACAAGGGGTTTGGGGCCTGCTACCGCTGCACAAGCACTGGCGCTAAAAGCCAGTGCTATGCAAAGCTTACTCATGTTCTTGAACATGATCATTTCGTTTGCTCTGGTTCTTCAGACACCAGTAGTGATGCTGAGCTTGTATCGCAATTTGTATGCGACAGCTTGTTCATTTAAAACATAAAACTCACGAAGTGGCGTTCAGGGCGAAGTAACACTGTGTCACACGGTTGAAGGTTCATACGACCGTGGGATAAAGGTTGTTTTGTTTGGATGATCTTCTCCGACGACTTTCTGGGCTAGGACTAGTTCATACGGGGATTCCGGCAAACCTGCAATCTTTCCCGGTTCTGCGCAGGATCACCAGGGGAATTGCCCAAACAGAGTTTGAGAAGTCTGGCTAGTCGAGCTGTGAGGATGATCGGGTTTCATTTCTGTTCCGATGAGAGATGATGGACTGGGCATATTCCTATTCTGGCCTTATCAGGATCTTTTATTCTTAGTCCTCTTGGGATTTGTGGGGGTTGCATCCTGCCGTGCAGATCTCTTGGTAATATCAAATCCAAGTCTGAAATAAAAAAATGTTGTTACTTGAATATCCGTACGGAGAACTTCGTCCCAATGTGGAGACGGCAAGCTGTCCACGATTATGGATTTTGTGATGATTCATGCCTGATTGGTCAGGCATAAATGTCTGGCGTTAATATCATTCAGGCATTAACGTATTTCACATGCGAGTGGTCCACGCCAAAACACATAGTAAAAGCGATATAGTTGTCACTTGTATTTCAACAACCAACGTTTTTATTTAATTTCATGACTGGCCGATAGCAATCGATAAGTATTTTTAGTGTTATATGTCAACTTCAAATAAATCAAACATCTATATTGTTGTCGTATTGAAAATTACAGTGCTAAACTCTGGATATATATATATATCTCAATCACTTATGTTTTAAATCACCTAAAATTCTAAAAAGTGGCTATATATCATTTAAAATGTACTAGGTCATAAAAAACAGTTTATATAGACAATCGTTGCTGCACTGACATGCTGTAATCTATCGCTTTTACTATGTGTTTTGGCGTGGACCACTCGCTTGTGTGGACCACTCGCATGTGAAATACGTTAAGGTATCAAGGCACTAAGGCCCCAAGGCCCCAATAGCTTTCATCCCATTCGGCAAATAATGGATCACTTCTTGTAGACACCGGGAGACTCGTATGCTTCTACTCTTTTCAAAGAATGATTGCCTGGGGGCTGGCTTAGAAAAATCATTCTCACAACATGCACAGCCTCCCTTAGGGAGTTCACCCTGCGGTATGCCGAGAACTCCTAGGCTCTAACCCCTGCATTGTAGGACAACTCCTTAAACACGGGTGGCGTTTGTTTTACATCGACATGGTAGTCTCCCAGATGAGAGAAATTTAACAATGGGATTGTATTCTCTAATTCACGCGTGCAAGAACAACCGATGGCCGGACAGGGATACAGTTACAACACCGGAATGCGTCAACTGTCGCCTCGCATTCGTTTGCAGCCGTAGACTGCCCTATCTACACCCCTTATCCACTGTCTCCTCTAATCAACCATGCGTCTCGGTTATTCGCTAGTTTCCTCGGCTGATCAAATTGATCTGTTTGACAGCTGTTCTGGAATGCCACAGCGATCCCTTATTGTGGAGTGCCAACAAGGAAACCATGGAAATGAAGGCTGCGCGTTGCACTTTTATGTCCTTCCCATCCACTCTTCAATCGAACCACAATGGAATTGTGGGTTTTATGCTTAATGCAGTCGAGTGTCGAAGGGACGCTGGTACAATTTCCCCTACAGGAGGTGCAAATGGTCTTGGGAACAACGCCTTGTTACCATGCCAGTGCTCCTAGCCGTTTGGAATGTGGCCGTTCAATCCACAGACACGTATCCCCCTCTTACTTCTGTCTCTTGAGGAGTCTGACGTTGGCTAGGCGGTTTTTTTCATCTTTATTTGTCCTCATCGCGCTAACGATTGGGAACAAGCCATACTGTCCATCTTTACGAAATTTTGAGCCTCATGGTGGTGTCGATAACCGATTGACGCCTCTTCTTTCAACAACTGCACAGATTTTTTGGGACAAGTCGCTACCGACCTTGATAGTGTTCTTGCGGGATTCAACTTGAAGAGGGTTGCTGTTTCACTTTGCTATATCAGCTACCATGCGTGTGTTCAATTACGCATCACAACCTTCATGGATGGGTCTGCTAGCTGCAGCTCTGCTGGGCACTTCAACTGTGCAAGCGATAGAGCTGGATCTTGATGATGGAGGTAGGTGTTCTACTTTTCAGCCTGGCTATGCGCAACGACTAATTCAAAATCAAAGACTCCATCCGAAAAGCAGCCAAAAATGTCGCCACCAACATGATGAGTTACTACACTGGTATGAATCCCGGTGATACCCCAGGTAATTTGCCGGATCCTTATTACTGGTGGGAGGCCGGTGCAATGTTCAACGCCCTTATCGATTACTGGTTCTACACGGGCGATGATACTTGGAACGACGTCACGATGCAAGCTATGCTCTGGCAAGCTGGAGAGAACAAAGCATTCATGCCGGCCAACCAGAGCAAAACCGAAGGAAATGACGACCAAGTTTTCTGGGCCTTCGCTGCTATGACCGCAGCGGAGCGAAACTTCCCAAACCCGCCAGAAGACCAACCACAATGGCTTGAAATGGCACAGGCTGTCTTCAACACTCAAGCTCCCCGCTGGGATACTTCTTCGTGTGGTGGTGGCTTGCGCTGGCAGATTTTTACGTGGAACAACGGCTACAATTATAAGAACACCATCTCCACTGGCGGATTCTTCAATCTTGCGTCTCGCCTGGCAAAATACACCAACAATCAAACCTACCAAGACTGGGCTGAAAAAGCCTGGGACTGGACTGTCGACGTTGGATTCATGTCCCCCGAGTACCGCTTCTATGATGGAGGTAGTGACCTCACTGGGTGCAAGCCAATAAACCAGATTGAATGGACTTACAACGCTGGTGTATACTTGCTTGGCGCAGCGAACATGTATAATTTGGTATGTGAACTCTACCTTTCGGTGCATTCTGATGCTTCGAAACAATATCTAACACTTTCAACAGACCGAAGATCCCAAGTGGAAGGAGCGCACTGAGGGGATCATTGATGCTTCTGGTGTTTTCTTCTCTCACGACCCACCTGACGTGATGTACGAGCGAGCCTGCGAGACCGTCAATACTTGCATGGTTGACCAGCGGTCTTTCAAGGGATATTTTTCCCGCTGGATGGCTCAAACTGCCCAAATGGCCCCTTTCGCGTACGACAAAGTCATAAAACGGCTAAGGGCCTCTGCTAAGGCAGCTGCCAAGACTTGTACCGGTGGCATCAATGAGAATGTGTGTGGTCTCAAGTGGACAGAGCAAAAATGGGACAAGACGAAAGACTTCGGTCAGCAGATGGCTGCTCTTGAAGTCATTCAAGCCAATCTAATCACGCGTGTGGCAGCCCCGGTCACCAATGATGACGGTGGAACGAGTAAAGGGAATCCAAATGCAGGTTCTAAGCCCAAAAAAACGATTCCACCCGAACTCGACTACGACATAACTACAGCCGACAAGGCTGGTGCGGGCATTTTGACCATCCTTGTTATGATTGGCATTGGTGGTTCCACTGGATGGCTAATTTGGGATTGAACTTGATACTGTTTCTTTTGATGTTTCTTTTGGTTTTTCTTTTGTCCTTTGTCGCTTACTTTGGTGTCAACTTATATTTTGCCAATCTGTGATTTCTCTTATATTAATTTCTGGACGACGTGGCCGGGGTGGCGTTTTGTGAATATTTTTCTGAATCTAACATATCATTCTCGCTTTAAATTGCCCTATTTCCCCGGATGTACGGGTTAAAGTACATCCCTGCATATTCTACTCTTTCCCGAAGCCAAGCCGTTGACAGTGATACCAGCAAAAAGAGGGGTCACACACGTTGAAATCACGCCGTACTTCTGTAGCTTCTTACCTCGGTGTGACTTCGGCTTTATTCTCTGAATTGTATTATTTATTGTCCATCGGAATGAGTTCGAATACTCTCCAGACAACTTTACATCCTTGAATTTTCGCAATACAACTCCTCGAAGCATGGGTTCAGTCATAGATCCCTCTCAGGTCGAGATTCCCCTGTTCTGTAAAGCGGGGGTGGTGGTCAATGAAGGCCCCGGTTTCCATGTCGAGGTACAGATGGTTCCTGTGCCACACCCAGGTAGGATCCCAATCATTGTTGGAGTGACAACCATTCCACTACACACAAGTTCGCGGCCATTGATGCTCATGTGTAGGGCCCGACGATGTTTTGATCAAGCTAAACTACACTGGACTTTGCTCCTCCGATATCCATATGATGCAAGGAGACCTAGGTCTCCCGCATATGTCGGCATTCGGTGTGCGATCTCCGGGGCATGAAGGTGCGGGTGTGGTAGTCAAAGTTGGAGCCAACGTGAGGACTTTCAAGATAGGCGATAGAGCCGGAATCAAACCGATCATGGATACATGCGGGTCCTGCTCACTTTGCTGGGACGACAAGGAGACATACTGCAAGGACGCAGTTCTCACTGGCCTGGTGACGGCAGGTAAGGCTAACTTGAATCATTTCTAATGGTCCGGATTGCGGCTCATTATACCAGGTACTTACCAGCAATACTTGGTATCACCGGCACGATATACATCGCCAATTCCGGACGGGGTCCCCGACGAAATTGCCGGCCCCATTATGTGCAGTGCCAGCACTATCTATCGATCTCTGATGGAGTCTAACCTTCGATCGGGGGCTTGGGTTGTTTTCCCTGGCGGTGGCGGTGGCGTGGGGATTCAAGGTGTACAGTTGGCCAAAGCAATGGGAATGCGTCCGATCGTGGTGGACACGGGAGAATCCAAACAGAAGTTGTCGCTCGAGATGGGAGCAGAGGCCTTCGTGGATTTCAAGGAAGTTGCCGATCCCACCAAAGCTGTGATTGAAATTGCCGATGGGGTCGGGGCTCATGGGGTATTTGTGACAGCCCCTGCTGCTTATAAAAATGCAGTCTCATTCATCGGGGACCGTATCGGAGGCATTGTGATGTGCATTGGTCTTCCTGTTGCAGGGTCGATGACGATAGGAGCCGATCCGTGCCAGTATGTCTTCAAGAATCTTACCATCAAGGGTACCCTTGTGGGTAGCCGGAGTGATACTGCCATGGCGTTGGATTTTGCACGGCGAGGAGCGCTACGACAAATTAGTGAAGTGTATCCAATCAATCGCATGCCCGAGGCTGTGGAGAAACTACGGAAGGGGGAGGTGGCCGGACGGATTGTGATAAATTTCAACTGGGAGGAGTAGACAGATGAAAGTGAGCTTAGCTCCAATCAAACTGCTCTGCAGATCAAATGCATCATTCCAATGACAATTGGATAAAAAAAAGAAATAAAAATGAAACACAAAAAGAAAATGCTCACACTCGGAATCGAACCGAGGATCTCATCATTACTAGTGATGCGCTTTACCGCTAAGCCATGCGAGCTGATTGGTGGGTGAAGTGAGGATAGAGTAGATTATAGATGAATATCATAAAAATCGAAGGCAGAAAAACCAAAACCCAAAAAAATGGACTTGCAGGGAATCGAACCCTGGACCACTCCCATGCTAAGGGAGTATTATACCACTAAACCACAAGCCCAATTTGATGGAAGAGCCATCTATTTAATGCTCTATTAATCAAAGACAAGTATATACTACAGTTATAACCTCCAGTGCTCGTTGCCCGACATCTGAAGTCAATCTTCCAACCCCCTTTCAAAAAAAAAAACTATATACAGAGTATATGCTGCCAAATTATTATAATTACGATTGTATCTGAGCCACCTACATCTGCATGATGACGGTCCTCTTCGATCATTCTTAAGAGGGAACATACAGTACTGCAATATATATAAACGCGTTGATATGACGTGACAGCCAAATGTATCGAAAGTTTGTCAACCTCTTTGGACTCAACCGAATAAACATTCGGCTCAACTTCGGGACTTTCCTTCCCCAAATTTTCCAGGTGATCTGCAGTGGCGCACAATGCGGAGAAGCTGGGGGGACTTCCCTGAGCAGATGCAACCAGGCATTGCAACTCCTCACCAGCTATGTCTCCCGGACTGCCGATCAACACCCCCGAAAGCTAATTATGTGAGGAGGTGGCACTGGACGCATTGCGATTGAAGGCATTACCAATTTGAGTTTGACGCCATAGATGTACTGCTGTTCCCATGGGCCGACAATTAGCCGGCACACCCACCGACATCTGAGAGTAAATATCCCTATTTAAAGGGACAACTGCCCACGCATAAGACGTGAAAACGGCGTAATACAAAAATGCGAGCATCGTTCATTTCCCTTGCAGCTCTGGTTGTGGCTATACAGGCACAGGAAGTATACTTGACAACAACTGGTTACTCCGCTCGACCACAATGTACACAATCAAATGTGGTCCCGAAATACCACTTCCAGCCCTTCTCTTATACTTTGAATGAGACAGTTCGGTAAGTGATACATAGATCTAGCTCACGCCATCGCTTGCTAATTAGCGTATAAGATATGCAACCTCGGTTCCTTCCCCGACGACAACACGGAAATATGCCCCACCCTATACTGATGCAGTCAAGCATTTGACCACCAGCTGGTCGACCTCAACGTGGGGCAGTTGGGTTCCAGAGCAAACCATCATCAGTGCAACTGACAGGGAGGACCCATATGGACAAGCTGCGTGGTCCTCGATGTGGCTGCAGGCGGATCTTCACAACTATGTATGTCAGGTGCTCTGGAATTTCCTCTTTTTGAAACGGAGTTGAAGCTTACTCTGTCAGACCACCACTGGGCTGTTCTCGACAACTGTCAGTCCAACACCTGTGCCCAGCAGTGAGCTGGTATTGCCACCGCGCGACTACTTTGGCCCCACAGACTGCTATAATTTCCCCAAAGACTTTGTGTTTGGCGTTGCAGGGAGCGCAGCCCAGATTGAAGGAGCAGTTGGATTGGATGGCCGATCACCTTCGTTGTTGGAGAAATTGGTACCCGACAGCAAGCCGAAGGACTATGTCACCAATGAAAACTATTTCTTGTATAAGCAAGATATACAGCGATTAGCTGTAATGGGTGTGGAGTATTACAGCTTTACAATCCCCTGGACGCGCATTTTGCCTTTTGCCCTGCCAGGAACACCCATCAATCAACAAGCCATTGATCATTATGATGACTTGATTGACACAGTCCTCGATGCAGGAATGACGGTAAAGAATTTCAAATATCTCGGTGCCTGTGAAGTTCTAGTATTCTAACCGTCATTGCAGCCAATCGTTACAATGCTCCATTTCGACAGCCCATTAATGTTTGTCGCCAGCGACAATATCACGAAACGCCCAGATATTGGCTACAACAATGCCGGCTATCAAAATGAAACCTTTGTCGACGCATTTGTCAACTATGGAAAGGTATGCTCTCTAGCCCGCGATTCATCAATCTTCACGCAAGTCTGACGTGGCTCACTTCCCAGGTTCTGCTTTCTCATTATGCAGACCGAGTTCCAATATGGGTGACCTTCAATGAGCCCCTGCTCTACGCGTACAATTTTAAAGGAGTGGACCATGTTGTCAAGGCACATGCTGAGGTCTACCATTTCTATCACGATACGTTGAAGGCTACAGGAAAAATTGGTATCAAGTTCAACGACAACTTTGGAGTGCCTAAAGATCCGAAAAATTCTAGCCATGTCCTGGCAGCTGATCGCTTCCAAGAAATGCAACTGGGTATCTTCGCAAATCCAATCTTTTTGGGTAAACAATACCCAAAGTCCGTGTTAGAAACACTACCCGGAGCCAAGCCCTTGAGCAAATCTGAATTGAAACACATCCGCAACACCTCCGACTTTTTTGGGATTGATCCGTATACCGCTACGGTAGTATCCCCAGCCAATGAAGGTATCAAAGCTTGCGCTGCCAACCCATCAAGCTCGAATGAGCTTTTCCCGTACTGCGTCAAGCAAGAAACAAAGAATATTTACGGATGGAACATTGGGTATCGCTCTGAATCCTACGTGTATACCACACCGACACATTTCCGGGAGTATCTCTACTACCTGTGGAACACTTTCCGACATCCAATTCTGGTGGGAGAGTTTGGGTTTCCAGTATACGCAGAAGCGGAACGGGAGCTTTCTGATCAGCTTTTTGACTCTCCACGCAGCGTATATTATCTTTCCTTCATGTCTGAAATTCTCAAATCAATATACGAAGACGGTGTGCATGTTATGGGAGCCCTTGCTTGGAGCTTTGTCGACAATTGGGAATTTGGAGACTACGCACAGCAATTTGGCATTCAAGCAGTCAATCGCACGACCCAGCAGCGACACTACAAGAAGAGTTTCTTTGACCTGGTTGATTTTGTGAAAGCTCGACAGCCAAGCAAAGACTGAGGTGATCCACAGAGAACGTCAGGTAGCTAAATTGGCAAGTCATGGACAGAGCAGATTGATTCAGGTTTCTTATGATAACGATAGGAAATTGGCACAAGATCTCATCCATGAGATATTAAGTAATCCATTATTTCCTGCGATCCTTCGTTGTAGCCTTTTCCCCGGCATCATATAATATTCTAGGCAAGGTGGTGAAAGCTGTCTTCCGTGATCACCAAGGAATCTCTTTGCCATCATACTGGTTTGCACCCGGTTGCGTCTCCGATCCAGGGAGATGTATGTTCACAAATTTCCCATTCTGATCCGGTGTTGCCTTTTGTATGATATCCAGAACCTTCTCGGCACCTGTTTCAACCGGAAGGTCTGCTCGATCGCTACCAAGGTCAGTGCGAAGCCACTATTGATGTTAGTAAAGTTTGAGTAATTTGCGATCAACAGATAAAAGAAAAGGCTTGACTCACACCAGGACTGATCGCAAGAAATGTGAAGCCATCATCCGCATATTGCTGGGCATATTGCACAGTGAGCATGTTTAATGCGGCCTTTGAGATCTTGTATGCCGGTGTTTTCAGGTGTTGAAACGCATCAGCCATAGCTATGGATCCCACAGTGGTCGATCTTGTATTTAGGTCAGTTTCTTAGCTAAGTATAAGAAGGCTCATTTAGTTTCTTTCAGATCTTCTCACATGTTGATTACTGTTTTCTTCTCGCCTTTGCGCAGAAGTGGCAGGAAAGCGCGCGATACAAGATGTGCTGCAGTAACATTGACATTGAACGTCTCGTTTAGATTGTCCCTATAAAATCAATACCATAACAAGTCTTCTAATGGGATATCCAACTTACATTCCTTCCAGTCCTGTTGGCGACCAGTCGCTCACTCCCGCGTTGTTGACCAAGTAATCAAGTCCCTTCCCTTGCAGCTGGCGTTCTACAGCCGCCACAGCCTCTTTCACACTGGATTCATCAGTGACATCTAACTTGACCATCTGCACTCGCCCTGACGAGGCACTTGCAATCTCCTTCAATTGAGCGGAATTGTCCTTGCGCGCGGTGGCGATGATTGTCCCCACCTCAGTTTTGGGCAATGTCGCTAGACGGGCGATCAGGGCCAATCCGAGCCCTCGAGAAGAGCCAGTCACTAGGTACGACGCCATGGTTTGCGGAAGTGATGTTCGTAGAATTTTGATGGAGAATATCTTAACTGGTAATATGGGATGGGAGAATTCAAATGCGATGATAGCGTATATAATAGAATGTGGGAAACCTTAAAGTCCCAACCTTGCGGGGACATTCTTTCAACATCTATGCATTTATAAGATGCATTTATAATATGTACCTGTATACATGTAGACATATATCCGTGTTATCTCCATTAATCTCCGGTCGGATCTAATTCCTGAGAAGTCTTATACGGACATAAGTTAGGTTATCTACCGAGGTATTTATGTAGGCATATTAGATATTTCAAGATTGTCACTAAGAATATCTGGAGAGCTAATGGGATAAGTTATAGTAGGCCTGTTTGAGGAATACAATTGTTTAGTGATGCTTCCAATGATATTTGATGTTTATCAACAATGTTTATCAACTGTAAAAGGGACTAGTTTCACGGACGGCTGTAGATATATATATTGTACTTTGTGACATCTAGGTCTTTCACACCTATTAATTTGCAGTGCCATTCAGACCTTATTGCACTACATGTCACTGATATTTCTAGGACAGTAAAAGGAAACATAACAACAATGGGGGTTGGAGGGGAAGTCAACTGTAAGTGGCCTCCTATCTCGATATGACGATCACGTGCGACTTACGTCACCGAATTGAGGTCCAGAGGTCGTCCACTCGTTCTTCTTTCTCTTTCCTCTCAAGCCATTGATTTTACTAAGCTCCAAGCTCACGGTTGCAGAGGGGTGGATCTTTGGGTGAATTGACGCCATGGCCGACTCCTTCACCCTGCCTTTGCGCCCCATCCTTGAGCAGCGTGATCGTCCAGATACCCTGCCTGTGGAGATCGCGCAAATCAACAATCAGTGGGGCTCTTTTCGCGAGGTGAACGAAGATGTCCTTCGAAACAAGATTGCCGAGGAGGAAGAAAAAGATGGCCTGGATGAGGTAGAGGAGAGTGACCAAGATTCGACCGATCTTGACTCGACGGAGCGCTTGGAGCAACTGTACAAGCGGCGTGCCGAGATCACCCAGTTCGCCATGTGAGTTTAATAATGGTCTTGAACTGATGCCCTCAGCGCGCGAGAATTGACAATATTTTAGGCAAGCCCACATGGAGACCATGTTCGCCCTCGACTTCGTCTCCCTTTTACTTTCCAAGCAGGCCCCGCGTCAGGCCGAAACCTCCATGTCGGCCTTCCTCAAGCAAGTCGCACCCCTTGGTTCACTCAATGCCGAGGTCGTGAACCCTCCCCCGAAGCCAGAATCTACGAGCAAAGATATATCAACAGTATCAAGAGGATGGCGGATACAAAATTTCAATGCGGCGGCGAACAAGCTTCTGCAGGCCGCTTCCAGACTTGAAACTGAAGTCGCGTCGGAAACTCGATATTGGAATGAGGTGCTGGCTGTTAAGGACAAAGGATGGAAAGTTTCACGTCTCCCACGCGAAAGGCAAGCTTTAGGCGTGCAATATGGGTTCCTTGAAGGTGAGCGCATACCAATGGGCCATTGATACCGTAGGAAGCATCTGCTGACCAAACTAAACACAGCCACGCCGGTATTCCGCGACCGTGGCCTTGCTTCCTTGCGCCGAGCTGAGGATGGGGCTTTGCTATTGGATGAAGGATTGATCCCATCTAAAGCCCGTTATGTCCGGGTACGCGTGATACAAGATGGTCAGCTTTCGGGAAGCTCGAAACCGACTCGTTCCACGTTCGACGGGGACGGGACGATTGAGGATCGTATTCTACAAGCGCGTGATACTGTTTATGAAGAGGAACTCTTCCACGAGCTAGTCCGAGAAGCCCGGGCGATCGCAAGCTTTGGCGTGACGACACGTCAGAATCTTATTCAAATTCCTGCTTCAGATGACCTCGAAATCTTACTGGACTTGGTTGATACTGATGAAAATGCGTTGCAACCTCAAAATGATATCTCACAACAAGGAACTTCCCTTGCAGAGGGCTTGGCACATACGATCCGGATCTTATTAGCATATGCCCACCGTCAAAACCTGAGACGTCGGACTCTACTTCCGCCGCCCCTGACCCCGAAAACGCGATCTATTCCTGAACATCAACTTATTCGGCCAGCTCTAGCTTATATCAAGCACATGTCCCATGTACGCTGGCTTCAGTCTTTACTGAATGACCTTTTCGGTGTTTTGCAGTCGGCAAATTTGAAACCTCCAGCGTACACCGCAAGAGTCTTTTCGACAGGGAGACAGAGACAATCCTCTCCTGCTTCAGCAGTGGAGACCCTCGTTGGACAGTTCCTTACTCCCTTGCTGTCTACATTCAATGGGAAAATTTTGACCCCTCGGGGCTCTTTCTCAATCTCGATTCACACCAACCTTTCCTCACCACCCTTCGGCACCACCTTTGATGTGTCATTCAATATGCCCAAGTACCCGGACCTTGGGTCTCCCGGAAAACTTTCTCATAGGGAAGAAGTGGAAGCCGCCATCACCCACCTCTTGTTGCTTGATGTTGTTTTCACTATATCATCCAACAACAGTTCACCAAAGTCCGAGAGTGACAAGGACCAAGCAAAACGCACCTGGGAAGCAATTTACCCTCAACATGGTGAACTTCTGCTCTCTCCTTCCAAATCAGAGAAACGAAAAAAGATGAAGATTGCTCTGTCCCGTCATGAACTGTCTCTCGAGATCTACACCGTGCGCTGTATCGACGGGACCGGGCGCGGAACATGTGAGCATCCCTCTTACCATTCGGTGCCGCACACTTGGAGATCATCGCCTTTTGCTGGATCACCCAACCAGCCCTCTTTGATGGATTTTGTGTCCACTGAGGTGTCACGTGCCTGACCCACAGAGAGCGCAAATTTGGTATCGGGCCGAACCACTCCACCTGGGCCGCCTTGAGCCGATATTTCCTCGCCTCTTCCATCAAATTGGGCTTGTGGTTTAGTGGTATAATACTCCCTTAGCATGGGAGTGGTCCAGGGTTCGATTCCCTGCAAGTCCATGTCTTTTTGTTTCTGAATTTTTTTTTGACTGAAGCAAGAAGAAGTCATTAGCTCGCGTGGTGAAGTGGGCCTATGCAAATTTTTTTCATTCCCATCTTCTTTCGCAAAAATCCATAATAGACAGAGACTTGAATAATACCCTGTACAAATCATGACTACAAAAGCTGAATTGGAACACACTTCCGCTTGAAATCCGAACTGAACACCAGCATGGTCAACCTATATCTTCGATCGTAGTGCATTGACGGCCTTTGGGACTGTGAGCGTCTCTTGGAGTCTCTTTTTGCCCAGTCCGTATGCAACTGGGAGCCAATCACTGACATCCTCACCCAAAATCATCAAAGCCAACGCCTCGCCACTCATCAGGCTGTTGGCCATACCATATCCATTGAATGCAGCAACAATCCATTCGCCGTCACCTTTCCGGCCTGTCAGCGTCGGTGATAACCGTCCGACCACCGGCAGACCGTCGGAGGAATATCCCATAATTCCACTCCACGAACTGATCAAGCGCCAATCGGATCTGTCATCCTTGCCAAAGAATCGTGGGAGGACGACCTCCAAGTGTTCAACGGAGTGGTCGGCGACAAAGCTGTCATCTGAGGATACTGATTCTTCAAGACGCGCATTCTCGCCGCCGAAGTAGAAATAGCCGGTTTTTGCACTCTGCCCTAGGTAATACAGTCCATACCCGAGACGTTTGGTATTGGGATCATAGGATGGAGGGTAGTGGAAACCCCATGATACAGCCGTGCCTTGATTTGACACAGTATTCTGCGGATCTTGAACTGTCATTGTGCCTTTGAAGGGATGGACAAGCCCTCTTAGACGAGGAAGGAGATGTCCGCTGTACCCATTGGTGCAATGGACTACAGTCCGTGCTCGGAGTGGACCGCGAGAAGTGCGCAGTGTATATGGATAAGTACTCGTGAGGGGTGAGGGTGAGGCAGGTGCTGAAATGTGCTCAACGGATTCAACTGGTGTATGTGTCTCGATTGTCAGACGACCTGGGTATTTTTCCGAGAGTGCCGCAAATACTTTGGTGACAAGGCGATATGGCCAGACCGTTCCAGCAGGAAGCAGTGCTCCCCCAGATGCTCCATGAATTTCATACTCCTAGAAAGGGAAGATCAGAACGACGCCCTGTGACCACATGGGGACAAGACTCACCTTGAGCACAGCATCCGCATCCAAAATTGTATACAGTCCCTTCCTAGAAGGATGATCCATTTCCAGGCGCGCAATACTTTTCTTGAAGTCATCAAACTTCCCCTGGGTCAAGAAGACTCGCAGTTTCTGTAGGCGCTGCATCTCACTCACCTCCACGGCATCATACTCTTCAATTAATTCCTGCATCTTCTCCAAATTGCGGAATGTGAAATCCACAATCTTGCCCGCCGTTTCGACTCCATGAGTTTCTGCAAGATACATATACTGTTCTCCGGCATTCGCAGCCACCTGCCCACCATTTCTCCCGGTAGCACCAGAGCAGAGCGCACGAGCTTCCAAAACGGTTACTGTGGCAGTAGGGTGGCGCTCCAAGAGAGATTTAGCTACCGATAGACCCGTGATACCAGACCCGATGATCGCAAAATCTTGGTCAGTTGGCAATTTTGAGGATTGGATGTCGGCAAGAGCATGTGGAATATGCTGCCAGTAGGACTGGGTGGGATTGGCTCGCGGCAAGCCTGGGTCAGCCGTAACGAGACTCAATACTGGACTATGTTAGCCTTCAATCTATACCGCGGCGGAGTCACGATAACACATCAGTTAACTTAGGCATGGGGGTGGATTGGGGCTACCTGGATCATTCGGCGCCATCGAAAAGGATGTAAAAGGCTCAGAACTCGATTGTTCCGGCTAATAATCCAGAATTTGAAATTGATATTTTACTCAGAGATAAATGAGCTTTTTGAGAAAATAGGAGCTGGTACTTATATGGACGTAGTTCTGAAGGCATCGTGCGGGGTTTATCTTATCTCGTAGGGTCAAATTGCCCAAATGGGAATAGAGTGAATCCTCTCTGACATCCCAATATCGGAATGATAGCTTTTGCACACAAATACTATATGTTGCTATACTGTTTGCATTGCTTGATCTAAGCCGATTAAATATTTTCTGGGGCTCTATACAATGTACACATACAGGGATCTCCCATTCAATCTACTATGGCTAGGACTAAGTGCAATGATCTTGTAGTGATGCTTAAGATAAACTCGCAAGTAATGCGTTGTAGATTTCCGCTTGAGGTACTTATTATGGATTGGCTGAAACCTTGAAGGTGTCAAAACTTTGACGAATGTGTGAAAGAACAAGAACCGTTTTGGACTAAGTGGATCGATTCGGAATGGCCCGTATCTATGATCCACCAGCGGAAATCTTTCATGCTAAATATCATCCTTCTAGAGATGAAAGATATCGGAGGCCTCCCAGCGATCCCATTCGCCTAATAATGACTAGCTGCATATGTAGGTAAATACCGCCAGGAACGGGAAGATAATAATGGGAATATAGTACGGAGTAGACATGCCGCGCTTACTATCACCCTAAGACAATATCGGAAGGCGACATAAAGCCTAAACAGCACAGAGAAACTTTATATATGTGCCAGGGATTGATTGGTCTAAACTGATTGAATATTTTCCAGAACTCTATACACAATGCTAAGCATGGGACGAGATCCACATTCCTGCGTCCGCCACATGGGTTGGAGAAGAAGCTTGACTAGCAAGGAGTCACTTTTGAGCTTTAGAATTAGTAGCTGCAATCTTTATCTGATTAAATATATTAGTACTACAGCACGTAGCACTGACGTGGAAGCCCAGGGTGATTCTATAGGATAAACATAAGAATCTTGGCGGACCTGATATGCAACTCCTCCACGTTTGAGGCATGCAAATGGCGTAACTGCATTCCATATGGCATTCCAACTACGTATGACCGTGGAACTAAAAATGTGAATGACCTGCTTTACGAAAGCATATCTTCAATTTCGAGGGATGAACTCGCTATAATAGTTCAAACATTTCCACATTATTTTGCTTCATCCTTTCGCTATCTCTCGGATATTTAATCTGCCTCACAATGAAGGTTTCTTCCATCATCCTGACAATTTTTACACTGGCCACAACTGGCCTGGCAACGAAGACGTGTACTCCTAGCTTTGATTATTGCTCGGACGTCCTTATCAAAGACAAAGGTAATATGTTTTCCGTCAAGAATTCGTGCACCATGCTAATTGAAGAAACAATAGGGTTCACCGAGGCCGATCTGAAGGATGTTTTGAAAGGGTCAGATCTAGAGAAGGAGGATGTTAAGAATGTTCTCTTCCATTGCAAGAACCCCGGCGACGTTGGACACCCGAAGCTTTGCACGAGTGGATGCAAAGACCCAGCGACAGAGGGTAGCCACTCCTGCTCAGCGTAAGTCATAGTTTTGCTGTCAACTTCATATTCGCAGCTGAGAACGCAGCAGCTAAATCATACTATTTGTGAGAGAACAATAGCTGCACAATTATATTTGCTAGCAAAGATTCGGCTATGAATGAACCTGAGGGCAATCGGAATCAGAAGATGTTTCAATTTAGAAGTTTATACGTATTCAACCGCAATCGTAAAGGCCGTTTTTGGAAGGGATCAAAGCAAAAGGGAATTTATGCTTTAGACGGCAGGCTGATAGTGAAGCAAGTCACATTGTCGAGTTTTCAAAAGGGGGTTGACGAAGGTCGGTTTTAACTTGGCAAATGGCGCTAAACATCGAGCCACTTCGGCCGAGGCCCTCTGCCGGGGTCACTTGACCCCAGCTACTATATCGTGGGCAAGTGGTCATTACCGGTAGTGCCGAAGAAGCCGATTACCAAGATCTCGGAGGAGCAAAAGGACACAATACCACGTAGGCATCAGCCCATTCGTCCGCACGGGCGTGATAGAAACACAATATGTTTTAATCATGTCAGATACAAGGATGCCCCTTTCACCCCTGTGAACCACTTCGCACGAGGCATCAGCAAAGAGCTGCAGGGACAACGTGTCAGCGCCAAAACGTGGCCCGAGGCCCCATGTTGTATGGACACATGCAGGTGGCACGAACAAAAGTCCTACAACTGGTGTGGCATTCTTTAACCCACCGGAGGCTCCCGGGCATGGTAGTTAAGTGCCACAAGTACTACCTGTGGGCGACCTGTTTATAATAGTTTACAATTATTGTGTACCGAGTTCGTGACCAGTCAGACCATGTTTGCCAAGAATGGCTAGTTGTACACCAATAAAATCTGCAGGGTTAAACAATATTGAAGTAGGATAATGATGAGGTCGATGACCTATGAAGAGAATAACAAGTATCAGCTTTGAGGAGAAGATGTCATCGAGGCCAGACCCCCGGGGGGTTCGGAAAACAAACAAAACAAACAGAATCCAGTGACGTCAAGTAAAAAGCACTCACCGCCTACACTAAACCCAAATCGACCAAGCGGTGACATGTGTCTTGCAGCCAAATTGTAAAGGAACGCAGGTACTAGAAAGGTATTGGCTCAATAAAAAGATCAGACCACTTTTAAATTTTGAGGAGATTATATACAGATATTAAAAAGAATCCAGGCCAGTTCATCTTTTCTCAATTCTCTTAAATCCAACTTCTAGTACTTTATAGCTTCAAGTTGTTTTGTGACGCAAAGCACCCACTTCTGCCCGATTTCTCTCACCGGATTGGGTTCAACCCCTCCACATCCCACCCATCCACAATTGGAGCTTTACAACTATTATCGAGCTTCTTTTCTTCTTGTTTTCTTCACTTTTCATTTCATTCTTTTGATCGACCTGTACTTCAGGTCTCCTTCAATTGATTCGATATGGAGCCCATCAAGATCGCCACTCAACCGGCTAAGAGACGCCGCATCGGTGTTCTCACCTCTGGTGGAGATGCCCCCGGTATGAACGGTGCCGTGCGGGCCGTTGTCCGTATGGCGATTCACTGCGACTGCGAAGCCTACGCCATTTTCGAAGGATACGAAGGACTGGTCAATGGCGGCAACATGATCCGCCAGCTACACTGGGAGGATGTCCGCGGCTGGTTGTCCCGCGGTGGTACCCTGATCGGCTCTGCCCGTAGCAAGGGATTCCGCGAGCGTGCTGGCCGTATGCAGGCAGCGAAGAACATGGTCATGAAAGGTATTGATGCGCTGGTCGTCTGCGGTGGTGATGGCAGTTTGACTGGTGCCGATGTCTTCCGTGCCGAGTGGCCTAGCTTGTTGGCAGACCTCGTTGCCGCCGGGGAGTTGTCCACTGAACAGGTGGCACCCTACACGGTGTTGAACATTGTAGGCCTGGTAGGTTCGATTGACAATGACATGTCTGGGACAGATGCCACCATCGGTTGCTATTCGTCCTTGACCCGTATCTGTGATGCAGTGGACGATGTCTTCGATACTGCATTCTCCCACCAGCGTGGTTTCGTCATTGAGGTGATGGGCCGACACTGTGGATGGCTTGCATTGATGTCTGCCATCAGTACTGGCGCAGACTGGATGTTCCTCCCTGAGATGCCCCCGAAGGAAGGTTGGGAGGATGACATGTGCTCCGTTATCACTAAGGTGAGAATTACTCAAGCGTTGTTCGATGTCCTTTTCTTTTGCTGACTGATGTGGTTTGACAGAACCGAACCGAACGCGGCAAGCGTCGTACGATCGTCATTGTCGCCGAGGGAGCCCAGGATCGCCAATTGAACAGGATCTCGAGCTCGAAAATCAAGGATATTCTCACAGATCGGCTGGGATTGGACACTCGAGTCACTATTCTAGGTCACACCCAGCGAGGTGGTGCGGCGTGCGCTTATGATCGCTGGCTGTCAACTCTCCAGGGTGTGGAGGCCGTTCGTGCCGTGCTAGAAATGTCACCTGAGTCCCCTTCGCCAGTTATCACCATCCGCGAGAACAAGATCATGCGCACCCCTTTGATGGAGGCAGTTCAAGCTACCAAAGATGTAACAGCGAAGATCGAAGAAATGGACTTTGATGGAGCCATGAAGCTCCGTGATCCGGAATTCAAGGAGTACTACAACGCATACATGACAACTGCGAAGATCAACGACCCGAAGATGATGCTTCCGGAGGGCAAGGTATGCACCTAATCCCTCATCCCATCTGGGCTGCTCACGCTCCCCGATCTCCCCAAATACTTACTTTTTTGCAGAGAATGCGGATCGCCATTATTCACGTCGGTGCCCCGGCCGGTGGTATGAACCAAGCAACCCGTGGCGCCGTTGCATACTGCCTGACCCGTGGCCACACCCCACTGGCTATTCATAACGGTTTCCCTGGATTGTGCCGTCACCACGCCGACCAGCCAGTTAGCTCAGTCCGCGAGGTTACTTGGCTGGAAGCTGATAACTGGGTCAACGAGGGTGGCTCGGACATTGGAACGAACCGTAACCTGCCATCTACTGACATGGAGACCACTGCCAAGTGCTTTGAGCAGTACAAGTTCGATGCCTTATTTGTTGTTGGTGGCTTCGAGGCCTTCACAGCCGTCAGCGAGCTGCGCCAGGCTCGTTCGAAGTATGATGCGTTCAAGATTCCGCTTATCGTGCTCCCAGCTACTATTTCTAACAACGTCCCGGGCACTGAATACTCCTTGGGCAGTGACACCTGCCTGAACACCCTGATCGACTTTTGTGATGCCATTCGTCAGTCCGCATCCTCTTCTCGCCGCCGAGTGTTCGTGATTGAGACCCAAGGTGGAAAATCTGGATATATTGCGACCACAGCTGGCCTCGCTGTGGGTGCCGTGGCTGTCTACATTCCCGAGGAGGGTGTTGATATCAAGATGCTTTCGCGCGACATCGACTTCCTTCGCGACAACTTCGTTCGTGACAAAGGAGCTAACCGTGCAGGTAAGATCATTCTGCGCAACGAATGTGCGTCTGGCACATACACTACTCAGGTGATCGCCGACATGATCAAGGAAGAGGCCAAGGGCCGTTTCGAGTCTCGTGCCGCTGTTCCCGGTCACTTCCAACAAGGTGGCAAGCCTTCGCCTATGGATCGTGTTCGTGCTATGCGTATGTCCATCAGGTGCATGCAGCACATTGAAGGATACGCCAACAAGAGCCCCGACGAAATCGCCGCTGACCCTCTCTCTACTGCTGTGATGGGTGTCAAGGGATCACAGGTGCTATTCTCCCCCATGGGTGGCGAAAATGGACTGGAAGCCAGCGAAACTGATTGGGTGCGCCGTCGCCCCAAGTCCGAGTTCTGGCTTGAACTACAGGATGTCGTCAACGTTCTATCCGGACGTACCCACGCTAGCAAGAACGAAACCTGGTCCTGCTATGAGAGTACGTAACCCGGCCAGGACCCCGCTGATCATTTGCTTGTTCATTTCTATTCGATTTATTTTCGCGCTACTCGTTTTTTTCCTTTGGCCTTTGAGGATCGACTCCCCCCGTACAGTGATTATTTCTGGCGCCCCTTCAACACGGATGTTAACGATTACCCCGTTTCCTACTTTGCAGATTCTTCGTCAATCGAGCCTATCCCCTCGGCCCCCAACTCCCCATGAAAGGACTTCCACCCACAGGACTTCAACTTCTTTCCAACCAACCATTGACTCCACGCCAATGACGCACCCGGGATATCCTTGATTGTTTCCAAATACTGGCCGGCGAGCCATCCGCTAACTTGTGATGTTGAGGGCGATCGTACTAGACGTCCGTTACGCTTTGTACGATGCTATGCAACAAGTCCTCCAAACCTAAGGATGGTCTACGCGACATTTATGCCTGGGAGTTTGGGTGACTGTGGTTTTTTGCTCGATGATTTTTTACCCTTCTTGAACACTCTTGGTTTACGACATAGAGTGCGTTGTAGATAGAACCATCAATTTCAATCTTGCAATTATTTCAGATGAATCAAAAACGCTATGGGCGAGTGCTATCGTACGGATCAAAGAGGTAGTCCAAAGACAGTACTACAGAATCGCTGAGGGTGTATCAGTCGTAGCGCTGACCCTGAAACCACGAAAGATGAACCCGGACAGATGCATAATTCCAGGGTTCAATGTGGAGTTCAATGACTACGGGTGGACCGACTTCTCCAGTTCATCAAGTAGGTCTACAGTCTCAGCGGGGCTTGCAATCCAGGCAGTTGTGGATGCAAGACGGGCCTAATAAAACATGATGTTAGTCTGATCAGTAGCCAAGGAGAGAATTATAAAATTTCCCACCTTAAAGTCATTAGCCCCAGCCGACAAGAACTGGTCGCCAACATGCAGTGTTTTGGCTGGATCGATGCCACCAAAGTAGCGCTGACAGGCGCGCACACCCCATGATTTGTCGCCAATATCGACAAAGACATCGTTTCCACCGTTGAAAGCACAGAATGGCAATCGTCCTGCAACAGCGGAATGTTGGACCGTGTGCTGCACCACCAACAC